GTGGGGGTCTTGCAAATTCTTAAGAATTTGCATGACCCGCCCGGCAATCTCAAAAAAAAACCGAAGGCAGCGCAATGCCCTGCACATGAGTCGACGCATCTGAGTCGGCCACCGCCGGCACTCGGCTCTTGTCGTAGTCAATTCGTAAGGTGCAACAGCTCACCCGCGGGCTGTCTCTACTCTAGCGGCTGTAGCCCGTGGGAGGCCGCAGGAAAGTGCTATACTAACTTGAAGCCGGGCGAAGCTTGTGGAGGCTAGTTATATATTATAGCAAAAAAACAAATAGGAATCAGGTAAGATGTTTAACCATCCAAGTTTATTTAGCATGAAAAACGCTGTTATTATGGTCTTGCACAGAACGAATGTGGAATTGCAACGTGGGAAGTCACTCTATTTATTCGTCGCTCGCCTTTCGGACTCATAAGCTCATAGGTTCATAGGATCATGGTTTTGCTGTGTTAGTGTTTTTGGTTCAAGTGTTTTTGGTTCGGAGGTTGGAGGGGTCGTTGTTGATTTTTTATCTAGCTCTTTAGAGCTAGCCTCCACAAGCTTCGCCCGGCTTCAAGTTTGGCACTTGCCTGCCTCCGACGGGCTAAAGCCGCTAGAGTAGAGACAGCCCGCGGGTGGGCTGTTGCGCCCTACGAATTGATGACGGCACGAGCCGCGTGCCGCTGCCGGCGCTGGCCGACTCAGGCGCGTCGACTCATGGGCAGAGGATGGCGCTGCCTTCGGTTTTTTTATGGGATTGCCGGGGAGGTCATGCAGATTCTTAAGAATTTGCAAGACCCCACGGCGGTCCAACAAAAGACTAGGTAGAAGAGAGCCGCCAGACACGCACAAGAACCCGCATGCCCCAACGCGCGCAAACGCCTCGCGGTGGCACCAGGCAAGAACGAGGGGCGACCTTGACGGGTCAAACAAGAAAAGGCAACGCATGGCCGCGCTGCTTGGGTCTCTCTACGCGCCTACAGCTGGCGGGGCTTCTTCCTTGCTTCGTCTGGCGTCTTTCGTCAGAAACACCGGGGCGCACTTCGCGGGGGCGTGGGGCGTTGCTGATGGGCGACGGCCTTCGCCGGGCAGGCCGGCGCCCTTCAGCAGACGCCCCGGGTCAGGCTGAGGCTTTTCGTCGGGGTGACGTCTCTCGTCAGGCTGACGCCTTTCGGCAGACTGCAGCGCTTCGCTGGCCGACATCTTCCGCCGGACCAAGGCTGACGCCTTTGGTCAGGTTCGTAGATGGCTGTCTTCAGCTTGGCGCTCTTCGTCAGGCTGATGCACTGACCATGTGACGCCTCTCGCCAGACCCGCGCACTACTTCGCCAGGTGTCTGCTTTGCGTCGGAACAGCCTGAGCCAGTGGAGCCTCTCTTCGGGCTGCGGATGTCTTTCCTTCGTCAGATTGACGCCTTTCGTCGGACTCACGTCTTTCGCCAGGCTGACCTCTTTCGTCGGGTTAAGAATATTATATAGATTAAGGATATAGATTAAGAAGGTAGCTCAAGAATGTAGATTAAGAATATAGCTCGATAATGTAGATTAATAAAATGTAGCCTGATAGTGTAGATTAATAATGTAGAGTAATAATGTAGCGTAATGATATAGATTGATCAATAATATAGATTAAGCATATAGGTTAAGCAGCGTATAGGTGAATAATATAGATTAAGAATATAGCTTAATAATATAGACTGATAAGCTTAATATTGTAGATTAGTAATATCTTAACTTTAATGATGTAGGTTAATGTAGATTAATGATTTAGATTAATAATATATTTTTACTGTTCCTAGTTGGGTTGGCTACAACCATGTTAATGATAAATTTTTTGCAAAGTTTGAGCACTATCAACTTACTTATAATAATTACTAAGTAAAGACAGCCAACCCCGCGGAGGCAAGTTATGACTATCAAAAACCAGCTGGCCTTCTACAAAGACCTCCTCTGTTTCGTTTGAACTTTTGGTATGAAATTCTTGTTGTTGAGCAAAATACTGACCGCACACGAAGTTTTGTGTTGGCCGTGCGACTGGGAAACGTGCATTGGATCTCATGCTGGTGTTGTTGAGATGACGATAGTTTGTTGACTGGTGCTTGATCCTCGTCGGAGATGATATTTTCAAGTGGAATACAAATCAGGGAGCTTTGACTCTTGAATTACCGATATTTTCAGCTCCTGTCATTAGCCGGGCCACATTGTGGATAAGTATCTGAGAGACAGATCATACGCGATTAAAAAAAAGGTGAAAGGTGGCTCGATGGTCAGTGTGAAACTCATCGACCACTGTTCCTAGTTCAGATCAAATAGATTTCTTGACCACTTCGAGCAGGCATAAGGACGGAAAGCGAGCGTGCTTTGATTTCTTCGAATGCAGTTTTATTTAGAATGGTAATGATGAAGCGCTGGGGCAAGTGCGCAAGGGGGTTCTTTCGTTGAAGTAGGTTTGAAGGTGACTCCTGCGTGTGAAGAAAGACGCTTCCTTACCAAAAAAATGGAACCGGAACAAGGACATTCTCAGACCCAGACCTGGAGCTCGTCTCCAGGTAAAGCCGAGTTGTCTTGTGAGGCGATGGCGCATGCGCGGGCTCTCTCTGGCTTGGCGGTTATCGAAAGGAAAGTAGCACATGGGTCTTGTCGTCATTGCTGGCTTACACTGTCATATTGTGCCTGTTCGGCTCTACACAAGGAGTTGCTGACCACAGCGAGGCGAGGGACGAAATTCGTCGTTTTCATGGACCCTTTAGAGTTGCGGCGCAGTGTGGGAGCCAATACCGGGAAGATGCTGCTTCTCTGGGGAGCGGAGCTCGTCGTTTTTGGCCACACGGAACATATGCGTCGATTAGAACAACTTTGCGCCGCCGCGCGTAGACCTCCGGTATGTCTGTTCCCCACTGCCGACGCGGTTCCAGTTCCGGCATTCGAGGGAAACGGAAGCCGCGGGACCATCGTCGAGGACGCCGCAGACGATCATGATGGCGACAGGCGAAACAGGGCTAATGAGATGATTGATCTTCAAGGTCCTCCAGACTTGATCATCATCCCGGATGGAGACTGGCGGAGGTGCAAAGTCATGCTCCGTTGTTTGCCTCCTCGAGTGCACATGTGGGCCTTGCGGCAAGAAGACAAGGAAAAAGCTGAAGAGAACAATGAGGTTGGGCCTAAGGAGAAAGCTGAAGAGGAGAATGAGATTTGTGGTGAGGCCCAAGAGACTAAGGAAAAAGCGCACGAGGAAAGAGGGAATGTCCCAAAGGCGGAAACAGTCCGGGAGGAGGAGATAGAGCAGGAGAAGCGTCCGACGGACGTGCTTTTTGGACGGACTAAGAAGTACCCGCTAGGACCAGTTGCTCGTGTCCAAACTGCAGGGGCATTTTGGCTACTCTGCTCTCAAATGGGGCAACGATTTCTCTCCGAAGGATTGCTAGAGCTGATGGCGAGCGACATACAGCATCTGGTTTCGTGCTATCACCGGCAAATCAATCGCACTATCGTAGCAGATGGTCCGCAGCCACATCACTTTTCCTCAGGTCGTGAAGCAAGGCGAGCACGGATAAATCGTAGGCGCGCCGAACAAAGGCGTAATATTGTTCCTGATGTTTGTTCTAGCCCACAAAGAACACTGACAACACTAAATCCTCCTGATCGTAATGTAGAGTCGCGCTCTTCACTATCTAAAAAACAACAAGAGCTCATGTTTGAGTCTCACGGAAGTGGAGGTGCATAAGTAATATGACAATTACCCTCAGATATGAAATCTCATGATAGATAACCTTCAGTAAAAATATGCATCGTGAAATTGCACAAGTGTCGTGCAGATCTTGTTCTTTCTTTACCCAAATCACTGTCTTGAAATTACAATTTTCGATGTGGATGTCGGGAAAAATTCGGTGATGTGGGTGTCAAATTGTATTCGTGTTCATCATAATTTCAGTCATGTTTAGTGATACTACCAGTACGGACGTTATGATGATGATCGTACCTATAACAAGCTCTAGGCTCTGCTTTCTGTGATAATGGAAGACTACCCAGTCGGTGGAAGACGTGTAGGTGGATTCTGAAGCAGAAAAATGCATGCTGCCGGTCCCTCCACCAACCTCAAATGATTTTGTTGTTTTGATATTTCACATTTATAGTGTTCATCTCCTAGATCCATCACGGTTAATGTGCGCATAGATAGGAAGTTCTGAGAACTCGCGCTAGTTTTTCTACAAGTCAGGCCACGCCCCTGTCTTCTCTTAGAATTCGTAGGTCCGGGCCACGACCCCGATTCAAGCCACGGAAATAAATGCTGGCTGACTCTTGTAGACAAGTAGACAACAAAAAAAAACTAGAGTAGGCAACAACAAAAAAGAGAAGATTTTTTTCTTTGCACTGACTGAAAAGCACCATGAACCAACAGCGTACTCATGAAGAGCCAGCTCTTAGCAGGAGATTCGCGGAGATTCTGTAGCAGTAACTAGTACGCAGCACGCCCTCAAGAAGTAGAAATATATTTTTTTTCTAGTCCAGCATCTGGATCTGCAGCTATAGTTTTTCGGAAGACTGTGACCTCATGTGGTTCAACCTGGACGATGTTAGTTTTGTGCCATAATTTACGGTAAAACCGTTTTCAGACTTGATACAAAACAACATGGCGGCTGAGGAAGAGTCTCTGGCGCGTGTCTTTGTAGCTGCCGTTGTGCCAAACGAATCTATACGTTGGACGCATGTTGCTGGGCGGCCCGAGGCGCGTCTTGGCAAGCCGTTTGTCGGCTTAACCCTACGATGCGAAAAACCATCATCCAAAGAGTCTTGGTTTTTCGAGCCATGGAGTGACCCGCGTTCGCTTTTTCTCATCGACGTTTTGCAGCAGTTTTGGTCTGACGTGCGTTCTCATGGTTTGGATTTTGCCCGAAGTCGGTCGCAAGAGGAAGTACGGCGTCAATTTGGACCCTCTACTGTGGAACCAAACCGCGTAAAGAAAGTCGAACACAGGTTTTCTAGCGATGATGGTACTGCGGGGCGACAAGGACAGCACGAAGTCAATGGTGCTCCCAGGCACAGTCGCTCTTTGAATTCGACGACGTCGGCTTCCGCACCATCAGCTTCGCCGTGTTTGGCAACTTCCTCATCGACGTCATCGGCAACCTTAGTTCATGGCATGTCAAGGATCAAGTCGGAAATTGCGGATAGCACTTCTTTTGCCAGTCTTTCGACGATGGACTCTGAACTCATCGTTATTCCAGATAGCGACGATGAAGAAGAGTTGGCACCTCCCGTGCCGCCGAAACGTGCGAAGCGCGAGATGAACACAGAGTCCTTTCAAACATTCGGACATGGTGCACTATTCGACGGACAAGGGTTATTTAGCAGCAGCAGTAGCAGCACGACCGCTGAAAAGTCGCTTCTTTGCGACGAAAATGCAGTTGACAGAGGAAGCGGAAACATTTTTATCAATGCTGAGTCTAGAACCACGACGACCGCTTGTGTTTTTACTAAACTTGAGTCGCGTAGTAGTTGCCCTGCAGCTGGTGCGTATTCTTCTGGTACTCAATTTGCAGACCGGCAGAGCCAAGGAGCGTGGCTTTTTGATGCGGAGCAGGCCGTTGTATCGTGGAATGCCTCTGCGACACAAGTCGAAGGATTACCCTCCCGAGGCTATCCGGGTTTCAACGTGGGAGGAGAAACTCTTCGAGGAAAAGATAAAGAAAAGCCAGATAACCCTATTGAGGCATTGCGACAGCGCTTGGAAGAGCTATCAATCAAAGATCAAGACATGTTAAGGCTGTACCGACCGGCTCGAGGGTTGCCCGAAATATCGACTCCTGAAGATGAGGATAGCGAAGATCACGAACGCCCATTAGTCTTACGACAGGACGACAGACCCTCTGATGACTGCACTATCGCTACAGGTAGTAGTTACAACGGAATGCATCAAGAGCAGCAGAACGCAGTGGGATCGCACGATGGGGCAAACTACGACTCGTTTCGGGCTATGCTGTATTTCGAAGAGCAAGATGGAGTCTCTGCCCCCGAAGCTGACCCATTGCAACAACTCGTGAAGCCAAATGTATCTACGTGGCTAACACATGAGCCATGCTTGCTCGAGTTGTCGAAGGAAAAGTTTTTATTTCGAGACAAATGGAGGGATGCTGTGGAGAACAAGGACGAGCCTGGTGGAGGGAACATCAATATCAGAAGAGGGGCAAAGACGAAGAGCGAGGACCAACAGCAATCTTCAACACTTCTCGAATGTGGTGCATCATCTTCACCACCTTCGTCTTTGGATGTCCATTTCCATTTTCCGAAGATGCTGCAGCCTCAAGAGCAGGTTTGCGCTGCGACGGCCCGCTCCATGTTGTTCGGGAAACATGCGGTCTTGGAATCTCCAACTGGAACTGGAAAAACTGCGGCGCTTCTTTGCGGCGCGCTTGCGGCACAGCGGTTTCTAGCTACGCGCTACGGTCGTGCGCCGCAAATCATCTATGCGACGCGCACGCACGGGCAGGTAAAACAGATAGTAGCGGAGATTGCGCGTAGCGTTTACAGGCCAAGCGTCGTTGCTTTGAGCAGTCGGAGTAAAGGCTTGTGCGTGAACCCACAAGTCGTCGGTGCTCGTGGAGGAAATGCGGCAATTACGCAGCTCTGTTGCACGGCGCGAGCCAATGCCAAGGAAGCTCAAAAGAATGGAGGCAGCTCTGTTGCAGGAGCTTTTGTAGAAAGAGGTCAAGATCAAAACGATTATAGCCAGCTCCTCTCTGCCTTTGCAGCTTCAGCTCCAAGCACTCAAGCCACAGTTTCAGGCAGTGGCGAACAAGATATAGATGACGTGGCTTGTGACCGCGTTTTAAAAATGGAAGGCGACGGCTTTGCGGACCGGCTTCACAAAGGGTTGCGCCCGGACGTCAATAGTATGAGGAATCCGAATGCAAGTCACATCAAAGACATCGAGGAGATGGTAGACTACGTTAAGGTATGAAAATACGTGAAAAAGCTCTGGTTAATCATGTTTGTAAAAATACGGACTCGCGCTTGTCTTAGTTGTTGCAGTATCCAATGAACAGATTTTAGATTTATTTTACCTATGCCGGTGAAGTTCTGAGTCTGGCCGATCTCGAGCTCACAGCCTCTTCCATTTTTCACTCATAGTAGGGTGCCGGTGGTTGTCCATACTACGCGGCTCACGTCGCTCACCTAGAGGCAGACGTACTCGTTTGTCCTTACAACTACGTGCTAGACCCAAGCGTGCGCGATAGCTCTCGTATCTCCGTAAAGGACCGCTTTGTGATTCTCGACGAAGCACACAACATTGAGGATGTCTGTCGCCGCGCGGGAAGTTTCAGCTCGAACGATACGGAAATGAACCCAAGCACCCTGATGCAGCCGTTGTGGACCTTGCGCAGTAAGGCAACGCATTTTTTGCCGCATCGAAGCGCGGATCTCGATCGCATTTGCGCTTTTTTGGATTCCGTTTTTAGGACAGCGGAGAGGTGGCACCACGAAGTTGAGGCAAGTAACCGCGCTCCTGATGGTAGATGGAAGGATTGGCGTGAGAAGACTAAGGTTCGCTGCTGGGCAGCGGCAGGGACTTCCTATAACAAAACGCAGGCACAGGGTTGGCGCGTACTTGAGCCAAAGTCGTTACTTTCCGAACTTGGTTTGCATGCCAGTGCTAGCAGCAGTCGGACGACTGGAGGGCGGTCTTTACGGTCCACTTCTAAAACTGGGCACTTGGAAGATCCGGTGGATCTCCTGGATTTGATAGAGGCGCAAGACAAGGGTTTGGTAACGGCCTTACAAAACCTGGACCGGGAAAAGATAAAGAAGGCCCTCGGACGGGCGGGTGACTTGTCTCGAAGAGTCACACCACGGCCAGAGCGGTTGGAATGGGGAGACGTCACAAAGTGCACCCAAGCACTACGACGTGTGACGGAGATGCTGCGTGCCTTTGCACTGCTGGCGCAATTCCCTGACGAGTACGCGGTTCATTTTGAGCCGACGACGCCGTGGAGCAATAACGAAAGCACTTCGTGTGGCTTTGGGTCCTCCGCTATGAACCCTGGAAGATTCACACTGCATATTCTATTGTTGCGACCTGCAGTCGTGTTTCGCCCGCTAGCGAAAGCTGCTCATGGACTGGTGCTCGCTTCAGGCACCTTGTGCCCGATCAACGGGTTGTTTGCTGAATTGGGCAGAGAATTTTTGGCGCGGCAGTTGCGTGGAAAGGATTGCCCAGGAATATTGGGTGTTCCGTTGAGCCCACTGGATGCGGGTCACGTGATCGACCGCTCCCAGCTCTTTCTTCAGAGAATAAGCAAAACTTCCGCGAAGGGTTCGGATTTTTCCAGTGTCCGCAATACCATCATGAAAGCAAATGGTGCCTTTGCATACGGTGGAGGCAACAAGGCTGCCGGAGGCAACAACAATTTTTATGTTCGAAGTGGAATGCTTCCAGTTGGTGGGGCACAACAGGCAGGCGGCTTTGGTGGCTTCGCTGGCGGTTCATCAGCACAGCAATGGAATGACGAGTTGTTGGCGGATTTGGGACTTTCTGTTCTAGCGCTTGCACGCTCAATACCCGCTGGGCTGCTGGTGTTCTTCGCCAGTTACGCGCATCTGGAACATTGTCTAGAACTGTGGACAGCTACTGGCACTGTGAATGCACTTGAGCAGGTGAAGGGTAAGATTGTAGTCGAAGATCGCAGGCGCGACGTGCAGGAAATGAAGAGCGAGTATCAAGAAGCGGTTGAACGGACGGGACAGGCCTTGCTGTTTGCTGTGATGCGCGGAAAATGTTCAGAAGGGCTCAGCTTCAACGATAACTTTGCGCGAGGCATTGTGATATTGGGCATTTGTCTGCCGGCTTTTGGCGAGGCTGCAGTAGTGCATAAAATGGCCTATAACACGCATTTTGGAGGATCTCGTAGTGCGTCTACCAGGGCTACTCAGGCAAAGAAAAATGCAAGCAGCGCTGCTACTTCTTCTAGATTTTTTAGTAGAACAGCTGCAGAAAGCGGGACACGTGAGCTCGAAAATAGTGCGATTAGTACTATGTTGTTAGATCGTGCTGGGCTTGCTTCAGGGAATGCATGGTACGAGCAGCAGGCCCTTCGAGCGATTAATCAGGCATTAGGCCGGTGTATTAGACACCAAGGGGATTATGGGGCGCTATTTCTCTTTGACACGCGTTGGACAACACGTGCAGGCAGCTTCACGAACAAACTAGCCACGTGGATGCGAAATCTTGGCGTTCGCCCTGTACTCCCGTGGCCACAGCTGCAGATGGATTTGGCTAATTTCTTTAATGCAAATAGGAATAGGGCACGTGTTGATTTGATGTTATAAGAATACGCGTTTCAGCTCGTCACCATCAAACTTTTTCAAATTCAGTCCTCCAGCCTGATTGGTTGATTCTAAAGATGATGACAATGAACCCACTGATTTTCTTTTCCACCGGCTTGGAAAAATATGAACAATTGAGATGAGATTCAGTGCTTATGCTACTTGAATGTAGGATACACGTGAAACGAAAGGCCAAACGTTTTCGTTTATCTTTCCCACGTGGTCTTGCTGCAGCCGAGTGAAAAAATGAGTTGGTGGAGGGGAGGGAGAAGGTCGTCGCGAGTGAATTTTTGAGAAGAAGGTAAAAGCGACCATACAATGAATGAATGACCATACAATCGCTTTTACGAAGAACACCGGTCGTGCTCCTTCAAGACACGTCAATGTCTATCACACGAATCGTGTAGTTGTTTGACAAAACTATGTTAGTTCTGATCGAACATTTTTTTCCAGAAAAATTTCTTATCTACTGACACACGTAGCAGCAAAAAACATGTTTGCGCGGCTGGTCGCGCGGGCTCCGGCACCAAGCCGAGCGCTCGGCGCTAGCGGGGGGTTACTATTGAATTATCAAAGCGTGTTAGCAAGGTCACGGTCATCGAGCGCGCCGCTGATAGATGCAGCCCGTGCGCTATCGAGTTGCACCGTCGCGAGGCATACACTCATCGTAACAGAAATATATAGTTTTATTGACTCACGGAGGATATGCGCCAGAGTTTGAGTACATTCTCAACAATCGAAGGTAGGTTGGGGTTCACATTCCTGCAAAGAAACTACAAATCTTGGACGCCACGTGCTGCTGCTAGTCGATGTTAAAGGATGTTTCATCTATGTCTATCCATTTCTAAAACGCTACATCTACGCACTAGCTGCACAACCTAAAAGAACAGGTAGACATCATTTTATCCACATTCATTTCAGTCACCGTCTGCGCCGAGTTTGTCTGAGCGCGCGAGGTATATCCAGGAAGCCCACACTGAATCAAGAGTGCTTCAAGCTAACGGAACGGTCGAGCCACAAGCGAAAAATGTTCTCGCTTCTACGCAAGATTAAGGCCTGAAGAATCTTCTCAGTCTTTGTGCATTTACACTTCCACGACACGTATCATAGATGCTCTGCTACATCATGTTTTTGGAGATTCAAGACGACCAAGCCACAGATGCGAAGATCTAATAAGATGTTATCGCGTTAGCAGATGAGGCTGCTGAGGAGAAAAATCACAGGAGCTTTTTGTTCCAGGATCAAGCGCGAGACGCAGTGCAAGGAAACTCCCAGAAACCTCTTGGTGTGTGGCTTATTTATGATACCAATACTACTTTCACCCTCGGAATAAACGGGCCTCCATGTCCTCCTCAGAGGCGCATCATAATACTTAGATCCTCGGTTTTGCGATTGCGCCCCTAGTTGGAGTTTAGTTAATTGGAGGGTGTGTAGTTTTGATTCTTCATGGCTGCTATTTCCTGATGTGCTCAGAGTGCATTATGTTGTGTATGTTCTTCAACTCCTGGTGGTGGGAAATGGCATCGAATTCTTGGCTTCGCGGTGGTTGTATCTAAGGCGGGTGAGAAGAAGATGAAGGCGGGTGATGCAATCAACACGGTGAAGGAATGAGTGTTGTGTTGCTTTCGTCGTTATTAAGTGAATAGATGATACTCCGCACAACTGACTATCGTGGGAACAGAAAATGGAAGAAGGGATCTCCGTGTGAAAATCTTACGCGGTTTCATGGACTAGAAATCATTCTTCTTGTAGACGCCACTTGATCTTTCATCCGCCCATAGGACTACAACAACATGATATTGCACTAGAAAATTAGTAGACCGAAACGGAAACTGTGCTGCTGAGGGGTACCAATGTAAGATTTTTGAGAGGAGAATAATTTTAGCAGGCTGTTGCTACGTGCTTACAGATGCAGCCTTTCCTACTTGAAAACGAGGAGCCTCAACATGTGTTCATTGTGCTATTTGGTGATAAGTGAAGAAAAAGTCATCGGAGGAGTTTCTTGAGCTTCCGCCCGTCTTGTCTTGAAGCTGATTAGTTTATATCTCTTTCCGTCCTCGAAAGTGCGCCGTAAAAGTGAATAGCTGGTAGCTGTGCTTCGTTGTAGCTTCTTTTTGTGCTTATTTTTTTCAGTCTTAACCTTTCCTTATTGAGCTTTCGCCCCGCTGGGGTTTCTGTCTAAAATTTCAGCTTTGGTTATGTATACTCTTATGTACTTAGTAGCGCCCTCTTACCGTTGTCGAAGTCGTTAGGTCAGGTAACGCCACTCCTGTAGGGTTGAGCTCGTCTCTAGGTGCCTGTGGTAGTTGTTGCTATAGCTTCTCTTCTTACTTCCTTGTGGTTAGTCCTTCATGCTGTCTTCCACTTGTCTGATGCTTGCGAGTCGTAACTTGCCCGATGTGGTGGCCAGATGGTTGGGAGTGCTTCATATGACGAGTTGATCAGTGCTCGACCCTGTCTTTTGTTCACCTCGTAGGGTTTGGGATGGACGCCTTTTTTTCTGCATCGGTCTGGCGTTGGTACGGCAACAAAACAACACATTTCGCCGGATCTGCCCTGCATGGTTTTTCGCCGCAACTTATCGGCGCTTTTTTCTGTGCCCCCTTAGCAGGTCCCCTTGTTGTACTTTTCAGTGCCGTATTCCGGTTTCCCCGGTCTTGTATTTTCCGGTCTTTTGCGTGCAAGCAGACGCCGATCGGGATCGTGCGACGGATGGAGCTTTCTGCAGCACTGGAAGCCTCTGCGGCCGTCTGGGTGGGACGCGGAAAGGATGCGTGACAAGTGACGAAAGGGAGACTGCGGTTGAAGAGATAAGAAAACTAGCGTAGTGACGACTTACTGACGTGACTAAGCGGCATGTTTTTATACAGGGTCTTACACCAAAATATTGGCTATCAGCTAGCTCTTTTTCACCGATTGTCGAGCGCGTCGGTGTGGGTAGAAGTGGCAGGTGGCACCCTGTTCGCCCCGACCTGAGTGTCTGCGCTATGAGTGAGGCGATCGGCATATCACTGGGGATCGTGGTGTAGTCATTCCCTCAACCTCCTAGTTTTTTGATCATTTTAAGATCGGCGGGCTCGTAGAGAGTAGCTTTGTTAGAGGGGCTTATATTCCCCGCCTGCCGCCGGTTTGCGAACTGGATAGAGGTCAGGAGATTCTTTTAATCTCCCCGAGGTTACAAAAAAAAGGTTTTTTCTGAAGTCTCCAAATCCAAACCCAAAGTGTTTTTTTGTCTGGATACGGATAGGACAGATCTGTGATTTGAGAGAACGAGTCAAGATCTACGTAGACGAGAGAGCTTGTGAACGACTAGTAGAGAGTGCCTTTGCTGCGTGTTCTGGTTTATATGGACGAGTATCATCTGTGAATTTGAGTTGTTTTATCGGCAGCGACCCACCTGAATCTCTTTTGTCATTGATTATGTGAGGAGATGCTGTGATCTATCCGTGAAGGCCAATCTCATAAAAAGGGTTAAGACCATAACCATACAAAACACATCGCAACATTTTCTAATTTCCGCAGTGTGTGACAAATAAGTAATCTTTTCACATGCAAAAGGTGAAGTTCCACGTCGGCTTGTAAGTGAGTCTTAGTTTCCTTAACAATCGTTTTCGAGTCCGTGATGCCTCTATCCTTGGGAGCGTCTACCTTCTAATTACCCTTAAGATTTTGGCTTACTCATAGATTTTTTTCGAGAAAGTCGCCCGTGTGGTAGTAAATTTTTCGGTTCGTATTAGTGTCGTTTTGTAAGTCGTTCTTGTTGTCTATTTTGTTTTGCTAAACAAAAGATATGACTCTTAACCTCCTCCCATAACAGGATCTGATACAATTTTTTCCCCCTTTGAATAAGGACGAGGCGTGCTGCAAACCTTGGCTGGCTTTCACCTTTTATAGGTGAAGGTTTAGGTCCCGCGACGCTTAAAGCACTAAGTAAAGCAGCCGGTTAGTTTTCACCTCTGAAATTCTAAGGTTATCCCGTGCAGCAATCTATTTTTGTATGAATTTGAGGGTTTATCCGAAAGGTCCGTAGAAACTACTACAAAGATCCGAACTCCACTCTAGTATGAATATGATATTTTGACTTTCCACGGAGGTATTTAGTTCTAGAAAGTGTACTATGAGGTATCTTTTCCGTTCAGTTTGATCACGTGAATCTATGTTTTTCTATCATGAGTGTGAATAAATAGTTCTGTCGCCTCTACGGAGATCAAGTTTTTAGGAAGAGATACACAGTTGAGGAGTAGTGCTAGGTACTAAGATTTTTTATATTTTTTTGATTGAATTCATCATGGTCGTGGTTATGACGGGTAGTTCTTGAGGTATCTTTTGTTTCTGATCTTCATTGGCTTTGGGAAGAGACGGAGCGTGAGAACGACGACGCGAGCGGTGGGCCCCTGGGGGTACTTTTGCTGGTCGTGAATAAGAACTACACCGAGACGAGACTACATCGCGAAGGAAGACACGATCGACGCGTCCTCATGACGGAGTACAACAACATGCCGGAAAGTGGCGGAGCGCGGGGTTCCCAGCTCTCCGATGTTCTGGTCATTCCATTGCGAGAGCAAGTCGTTTTTCCGCAGCAACGCTTCTCCATCTCCTTGGGCCGGGTTATTTTTGAGCGCTTATACAGACATTGTGAAGAACATGGCACTCAATGCATTGGCCTTGTGTGTCAGCCCACTAAGCGGCATGAAGCACAGCTAATACCACCGGACACTACAAATTCCAAAGAGGGAGGAAAACAAGGTCACTCGCGCGAACTCAAAAAGGCTGTAGATGGTAGTTATACCTGGTGCTATTTTTGTTGACGAGTTCGTTGTTTCTGATACAGATCCTAATCTTCCTGTCGGCAATTTACTTCTTCTTTTTCTGTTTTTGCTTAGCCACTCGCTTAGCTACTTCTTCGTTTTTTTTGTAATTGAGATTACTATTTGTTGATGCTGATGACGCTGCTGTTTTTAGAGTAGCAGCAGTCCATTAGACTCTTATCCTCATGTTCACTTAGAGCAAAACTACATGTGAATGAAAAAAATTGATGGACATGGTTGAAACTACTTCTGCATCGACTACCACTTACAACAGCAGCCGGTGTGGCAATCGATCTGTACAAGATTGGAACTTACTGTCGGCTTTTGTCACACCGTCGATCTGCCAGCAGCGTGACCCTCTCCGTGGTGGGCATCTCGCGTATTGAGCTGCAGTCTGTGAAGTTGTATGATTACTACGGCATGGCGATGGTGCGGTTGATCCCTGAACCTTCGGGTGAAGTGCTAAGGTCAGCGGCAGTGCGGGTGGCATGCCTGACTCTACGTGAGGCCATCCGGGGCTACGCGACGTTGATCGGCGCGACCAAGAACAGCGGAGGGGGGAAAGGAGGCATCCGCGGATTGGGTAATGCCTCGCAGCAGAGCACGCAAATCCGCACCATGGGCGAATTGCTAGGAAGTCTGTTGGACGATCGCGCTCAGCGAATGCTCTGGCACAATAGTCGAGAGGAAAATGCGCTCTCCGATATTGTTGGCGGAAGTGACAACGACACTAACAAGGATAGCAACACGACCACTTTGAGCATCTCGAACAAGTACAATAATGCTGCGGCGCAAAATAGTTCCTCTGCCGGAAACGGTGGTGACGAGACCAATAGCACCGGGCGTTCAGGCTGGGGCGTTGTTGAGCAAGGTAGAAGTCACATGCCCCACGTTCTCGCAGACGCCGTTTGCGCCTTGTATCAGTTTGCTACTCCGGAGCAGCAGCTCGTTCTGCAGGAATTTGACGTCGTGAAGCGCTTACACCTGGTTGCATCCCTTTTGACGCAACTGACGCAAACACGCAAGATAAAGCAGGAAATCCAGTCCAGTGTGCAGACAAGGTCCTCGAACGACATAAAGGAAGCTATCCTCCGTCGACAAATCGGAGATTTGCAGCGGGAGCTCAGAGCAGTGCGCGGCAAATCGAAAGGAGACAAAAAAGGTAACAATCATTTGATTTGATTCAGATGATAATTTGTTTTGCAATTTTGACCGACTGTAGATATTATGTATGATACTTTAATGTCCTTGGTTCTTTGCTGCCGGAGAATAGAAGCTCCCGCGTTTTGACCGTTTTGTATTGAGTTTCACAAATTTTACGTATCGATCATTTCAATTGATTCTCATCCACAACAGGTGGCGACGACGATGAGGAGGAGGACTCTGATGAGGACGAGATCACCACCATGCGTGAAAAGATTGAAAGTGCAGCTTTGCCCGGTGAGCCGAAGAAGATAGCCCTGCGAGAGCTCAAGCGCATGTCGCAGATGCAAGCGCATCATCCCGACTACAACGTTTGTCGCACTTATCTCGACACCGTGACTTCCCTACCTTGGGACAAGCAGACTGACGATAGTCACTTGGACATCGCAAACGCATCCAGAATTCTGAACGAAGATCATTTTGGCCTTGACAAGGTGTTTTTCGATTTAGTCGTGATCTAAGATTACATTTTGGACGTCAACGTGTACGACAAGAAGAGCATGAGATCACATACCACTTGGGTTTACAACTTGCAATATATATTTTGAAAACAGCGACGCATATTGAGACTATTAATTCCACAGAGTACAAATGAGTTCATTTAGTCCTGCTGCCTGCATTGCCAACCTGTCGTGTAAATAATAATTGCACACGCTCACTCTGCATCGGACCCATTTTCACTGCTTCATCTCCTGCCTTCTTAGACACGATCACAGATAAATGTGAAAAATCAACGTGACACCAGATCAAGAAACGCGTGCTTGAGTACTTGGCAGTGCGAAAGTTACGGCGGGACATGCGCGGGCCAATCTTGTGTCTTTATGGACCTCCTGGAGTAGGCAAAACGAGTCTCGGAAAATCAGTTGCACGCGCGATGGGTCGCAAGTTCCAGCGGGTCGCATTAGGTGGCGTCCGGGACGAAGCGGAGCTGAGAGGTCATCGCCGCACATACGTCGGCAGTCTCCCGGGTATGATCATCCAGGCGTTGCAGTCGGCGCAAGTGAACAACCCAGTGGTGCTCTTCGACGAGATTGACAAGCTAGCGCACAACGGAAACCATAATCCTCAGGGCTGCCTGTTGGAAATTTTGGATGGGGAGCAGAACTACGCCTTCAAGGACCACTACCTTGCAATGCCCTTCGACCTCTCCAACGTGTTCTTCATGTGCACGTGCAACGATCTGCGCACGATGGATCGTCCATTGCTGGACCGCATGGAGATTCTGGAGCTCTCTGGATATTCGGTTGAGGAAAAGGTCTTCATCGCGCAACGTCACCTTCTACCAAAGCAGCGCAAGCTTCACGCTCTCGAGGACGGAGCGGACGATGGGACCGAAGCGAAGCGCGGTGCTCCGTTGCCTGGCTCCCACTCAGGCGACGGAGGCGGGACTGGAGCCACGGTCTCCAGCTTTGGAAGTGGCGCGCAATTATCTGGCAGGAGCACAACTAGCTGTGGTAATGCGTCTCCGGCAGGAACAGGATCTGCACCCTGGAGCCCACGCAGAGCAGCGAGCGTGATCCCATGTTCCGCGGATGAGACTATTATGGTGGCGATGAAAAAAGAAAGGTCCTCGTCCTATACGGCCGATGGAGGTCTAAGAGCTGCATCGTGGTCGCTACCAGGAAGCACAGGAGGAAGTGCATCATCTTCAGGTCTGACTTTGAAAGCGGTTGAGCGGTTACGGTATCACCTGAAGGAAGAGAACGCGGTACAGATGCGCAGCTTGTACCGTGATATTGCGCGAAACATACATGCCGAGTTGCATCAAAGTACAGTCGGAAACGCGACGGAGGCGCCCGCCGGTGCACCTCCAATGCCGACAACAGGTGGTAAGGATAAGCGCCCGCCGAGGTTGGACGTCACTCACTCGGCATTGGTGCAGCTTATCACGCGATATACCGCAGAGAGCGGCGTGCGTTCCCTAGAGCGGCGCATAGCAGAGATCTGCCGTTGGGTGGCTCTCGACATCGTGGAGAAAAAGTACGGGCCTGATTTCCAGTACAGTGTAGGACCCTCCGACTTGGTGCGCATCTGCGGCATGGAACCAATCCGCGCGGACGAAATGCTAAAAGACGCGACGGACTTGCACGGCGTGGCCATCGGTTTGGCAGTCACGCACGCCGGCGGCGAGATCATGCTGGTGGAGGCCGCGAAGACTAAGGGCAGCGAAGGTGGTCAGCTGACGATCACAGGGCAACTGGGTAGTGTGATGACAGAGTCCGTACGAACAGCCATGTCTTTGCTCCGACCCTACATTCCGGACCGCTTCGCGCGCAACGACGTTCACGTACACTTTCCAGCGGGTGCCACCCCCAAGGACGGGCCTTCAGCTGGTGTCGCGACGGTCTTAGCGCTTGCGTCCATATACTTGGAGCGGCCCTGCCGCGCGGATACCGCGTGCACCGGCGAGATCTCGCTTCGAGGTCGCGTCTTGCCTGTGGGCGGCATCAAGGAGAAAGTGCTAGCCGCCAACCGGTGTCCCGGCATCAAGTTTGTTTTAGTTCCAGCCCTAAACGAGCCCAATGTAGAGGAAGACTTGTCACCCGGCCCGGATGGGCAATTGCCCGGCGCGGGTCTCAAAATTGTCTATCTGCGCACGGTGAAAGACGCGCTGGAACATACTTTTGGGTCTGGAGCGCACAATGTCTTCCTCAACTACGCTAGTGCATACACACCAGTCGCCGAGCCTGAAGCCGCCAACGCAGCGCCTTCTTCACTATTCCAAACACAAATCAGGTCGAAGATGTAAGGAAGAGAAACTTCTACAATGGCTTGTGAAAATTGGGAGCGACGCTTTCAATGCTAGCTCCTAATTCATTGATTAAAACGAAGTTATCATCAATTGAAATTGTGGACATCGGCATTTGCTCATTGTCATTCTCTATCAGGCTTTTGACATCACATTTTTCGATCATCATTTGCAAGCGGTTGTAAAAAAGCCACAGGACACGTGGCTATGAAGCTTCATTTGGCAACCGACGAAACTACAAGGAGCCCCGTACATGATCCCGTTATTGGAACCCAGTAACGACATTTGTGTCAATTTACGTCTTGACCCAGGAGAAATTTGTCGTCTTTGACACCTGAGTATTAACTTGATTGTTTGAAATGAATCCAAACAGCTGCTACCGCAGTTCAGCTGACGGCTAGCGAAAGCTCTAGACTAATTAGTTCATATTCTGCTTGTTATATGAGCATGAAGAATCTTGCTTCTTCTCGGGGATCATGCTTTAACAGCTCTACAACAAAATGAACTTCACCATCTATCCCAAGATGAAATGAATTACCTCAACAGACGTCCAATGGGATGATTTGTCACCTGCTTATATGCAATCACCTCCGTTTGTATATTATGTACAGCGGCGACAACAGCTGAAATTCAAAACCTCTGACCCGTGCCGCAGTCAGGTTGCGATGTTGTAGTTTGTGTGCAGTTTTTTGAAGCATCTCCGTAATTGAACGGTGACAAAAGCATTTAGTTTAGTTTGGCCAAGCGAGCGATCTCGCTGCCATCATCGGAAAACTGAGAACCTTATGGCCCTGAAAGTTTTATGGTTTTTGTTACCCACAAATACGTTGTAGTAACCCTCGAAATACTGACTCGTCCCTATGTTAAACTAATATCGTCTTTTTTTTGATTTTGTCTTCTAGTTAGGTACCCTGCGTCACTTCTTCACAAGCATTCTCTCTTTCGTTATGGATGAACCGCGGGGTTTAGCTTCGGCGGCTTCTTTCTTTAGCAGGAAATTGTGCAGGATGACCGATTCCCAATATGCAAAATGTCGCTGAAGACCTGCGTTCATGTAGCGTCTAGATGAATCATGGTGATCGAAGTCAGCAGATAATTAGTCGAGGTGCAGCACCTATCACGGTCACCTACATTGAAGATTTTTTAGTACCTAAGCACCTATTAGGGACTATTTTTATTACAACGATATGAAAATATGTTTAGCGGCGGAGCATGTCAGAATGTTCTTTACCTAGCAGATCTCACACTGTGCTCGTTGTTCCTTTAGCACTATTATGCGGCCATTGTTCTGGCAAGAACTTGATTTAGTTTGTTTTTGAGAATTTTGACTTCTTCCTGCCTTCTAAACCCCGAGAGTGCGTACAGTCATCAGATTTTCAAACAAGTCACTGAATAATGTAATGAATTCGGATATCATTATCTTTATCAAAACCCTTTTCTCAAAACTTCAATCATGATGAGTGACTAAGTGCGTATATTTTTCAACTTAATCGGCACATCTTTGCTCATTTATTTTGGAACTATTTTTCGAATTGGAGAATTATGGCGAGGGGCAGGGCAACGAGTCTGAAGATCGATGGCAGATGGCACATTCTGAAAAGCAATATCATCTTCTGTGCTCTTGGTTGTCATATAGGGTTAGGCTCGATGAAGATTCAAATTTGATTAGTTCACCCGACGCTTCATGGGTTACTCATGCGTCGGGGAACAGGAACGTACCTAATAATTGTCCTGCTTGTATGGATGGTACCTAGCGTCCCAACATTTTCGCTTTCTTGTATTGCAGAAACCAACCCAAAGCCAATTCCTCCGACTAATCGGGGGGCTTACTAGTAATCTGATTGGTGAAATTTCTCAGACTCTCGTTGGTTCTATTTTCCTTATACCGTAGAGCAACACGCCTCTGCCGTTTGATGGGAGTAGTTGGAAGAGCGAATTCCCGCAGTATGAAGCCCCATGTGTTGGTCATTCTTGCATCGTTGTGAGACGACGTTGTTACTTCGGCGCAAAAAAAGACATTCGGTTTATTCTCTTGGACGGACATTCTCATTCATACACAGTACGGGTCTTAACAAATCATAATCAAGAAGGCGCATCGTCATCAAGAAGGATAAGTAGCGAGTGAGAATGGTTGCATCTTGACATTAAAACCTGTCATTTCGATAATTCTGATCACGAAGCGACTAGCTTCTCTCACTCTACTCTGTCGGCTTAAAGAGACTCTTCTCTCACTCTCTAGATAAACTACAAACAAAAAAGATGTCGCTCTTCATGGGTTACAACGGTCCTTTGCCTTTTCACTTCCGAGGCGAGAGGAAGCCTCGTCTTGGGGTCCTACAGCAACCTTCTCCGTTTGCTTATGATCGCCTTCATGGAGGAGTGAGATCCTTTTCGTTTCATCTGCCTCTACAACTTGTACAAGGACCACAACAAAGACATACGGCCGACGAGACGAAGATTGCGCGTACGATGATACGGCCGACGAGACGAAGATTACACGCCTTCGCAACATGGATCATCCCGATGTTGTTCCTCTTCTTGCTTTCTTTGACAAGTCCATCGCTAGCAGTGGTAGATCGAGGAAGCGAACGTCGCAGCGGACAGGCGATGAGGATGGTTAGTAAACTCTTTGGCTGCAAGAAAGAGGAGTGCTCTTCTCCGTCAAAGGACCAGGACGTTGCTACGTCAATGGTGGGTAGCGTAGAAGATGTTGTAGTAGAAGGCGTAGCAAACAAGACTGGGACTGCGACGACATCTACGAGACCGCGCACCAGAACGAGTCGTGGTCTCCCCACTCCTCAAGCATTCTTTTCGAAGCTGAAGATGCGCAGCAGTACTAAAAAATCAGAAGATCCGATGGTAGCTGGAGGAGGACACGACCCGCACCAGCGCAACAACATCACGTCCTCAATTATCGCCCAAAATACAAATAGTACTATAATTATGGAGCAGGAGCAGATCGAAACCGACCGCCACTTGCAACTCCCGCCTACTGTCGCTGCTGCGTGGTCAGATGGACCTACACCTATGGACCTATGCACTTTTCATGCTACAAACCAGAATCCCAATGCGGTCAAGAAGATTCTCGTACAGCAGAATACACCAAATTTGGAAAAAATATCAGGCGTGACGCTGCTATCTTGGCTAGCAGGGGTAGCCATGCAGCCCCAGATCTGCCTTCGCCTATTACTAATCATAAAAACGCTACCGCTATTGCTAGAGGAGGTAACCTAGCATCTGCGCATGCAGCATCTCCTAAACAGGCCTCTCCGAAAAAAAAAGTAAGAGGAGGTCACAAGTGCCGAGTGTGGCCTTCCTTTGAGGACAACTTTGATGGCAACTTTGATGATGTTTTAGTCAAGACCGACGCAGAAGACTGGAGTTTGTTTGCATGCCATTCTACCACACCGCTATCCACCCCGCGAGTCCTGCAACATGAAAAGATGCCTTCTGGTACTAGTGCTTCTTGTGTGCAATCGGGAGATAGTTTTTGTCGAATGCAATGGGGAGATAGTTTCTGTGGAATGCAGTCGAAAGGGAGCACTCTTACGAGGTCTGGTCTCACGCCTCAGGAGCGGGAAGACTCAAAAATAAAGAGTAGCATTCATACTTCTCAGTGGGGTGCCTCCTCAACCTTTGCTGGATCGTCATCCTTTGGTGGAGGTAGTTCGCGGAGCTTTACCGTAGCGAAGGATATTCGCGTCTTCGCCTCCGGAAGAAGTCGGGAGATGACTCGCGTACTGGATGTGGTCAGTCGCGCGACCCAAGCACGACAAGGGGAAGATGAGCAAGGTACTTCTTCTTGTCGCGCGACCCAAGGTCAAGCACGACAAGGGGAAGATGAGCAACGTACTTCTTCTCCGAAAAAGAACAACACAAACATCACAGAAGTTCTTGCGGAAACGTGCAGCACTCAAGAAACAGCAGAAGTTCAACTGGAGGAAACCTCCAGCACCGCTAGAGGTCTGATCATCAACAAGCCTGTTCTTGGATTTCTAAGTAGAACTGGAGCTGGTCACGCAGCTGAAGATGCTCTCGTAGAACCAGAGTCTTCACCTCCAGGCACAATTAGCAGTGACGTCGCAGGCCTACAGCAACGGCTTCTTTCTGTTGAAGGTACAACACCAGTAGTGAGAAACACAACAGGACAACGGCAGCTTCTTTCTGCTGCTGATAGAGGTGAAGGAGGAACGATGACGAAGCTGTTTGCTGAGCAGCCTCATCAGGGTGGAAACGTGCAGGAGCTCCTGCCACAGCTTCCTCACATGAACCTAGCAGCGGAGGTGGAAGAAGGTCTAGAACAAGCTCGAGCACGAGGTCCACAACAAGGTCGAGAGCGTCAAGTTCTAGACCGACATCCTAAAAGGCATGCCATTCGACTGCGCACCTCAGAATCTGGACGCCGTGGGTACATCGATGGATCGTCTGCTTCGAGCGAATCTCAGGAAGTAGTTGTGACCCCTCAACAGACCGACAGTGATGATGTCGATTTTTTCGAGGCGCTTCCTGTTGCCCTCCCACCGGTAGAGGATGATGATGGACGAGGCCTCCGCACTCGTCAAGATGTCCTGCACACTCGTCGGGATGACCTCTACACTCGTCAAGATGGCCTGCACACTCGTCGAGATGACCTCTACACTCGTCAAGATGGCCTCCACACTCGTCAACATGGCCTCCACACTCGTCAACATGTCCTGCACACTCGTCGAGATGACCTCTACACTCGTCAAGATGGCCTGCACACTCGTCGAGATGACCTCTACACTCGTCAAGATGGCCTCCACACTCGTCAACATGGCCGCCACACTCGTCAAGATGGCCTCCGGATTCCTCAAGGCCAACAACATGATGTGATGTTTACTGGTCGTATGGAAGAGGAAGATTTCCCCTCTTCTGGTCTTGTTCAGCGACGAGGTTTTCTCGCAATTGCTTCTGACCATGCGCCACAACTACGAGGAGATGAGATCAGAGAAGCTGAGGATCGATTTGATCTTGTACTACAGCAGCTTGCAAGGGAACTACAGGAACAGGAGGTTCTTGTTCAAGAAGAAGGTCCACAACGCATCGCGGATCGAGAGGTGGAACTCCCAGAAGGCGAGAGAAGGACTACAGCTTGGAAAGACCGAGGCGAGAGTTGCTTACTGTTCCCTTATCTTCATAGTCCGCCTGTCTTCATCAACTACAGCGAGGATGACAAAGCTCCGCTCGCAACGCCATTTCCAAGTGGTGACATTTACAACCCAAGGGGGCGACAAGAAGTTTTTCACGGGGCTACACGACCGGATCAAGAACCTCGTCGGACACGGAAGCAAGGGCCTCCGTTTAGCAAGGACCTCGGCCAACTACAAGAGGATGACGAAGACCCACTACAGGAGGGTGACCCCAGTAGTTCTTCAGCGTGGCTGCGGGACCATGAAGCCGAAAAACAATGTGACCACCCATACCTCCAACTACATGCTGTCGATGATCCTATGGCTGCTCTTCACAGAGATCTTCCGAGAACCCCTGTAGAGTCAGATCCCGAAAACGAAGACGCCCCCCCAAGCGTGTTGTCACCGCGTATGCGCTCCCGTAAAACGAACACCCAACGACGAGGAAGCGACGCTCTTCCCTCAGCTGGTTCTGGGTCGGCAACCGGCACGAGCTGCACTGCAAGCGGCACGAGCTGCACTGCAAGCGGCACGAGCTGCACTGCAAGCGGCACGAGCCACACAGAAAGCGGTGCGAGCTACACCGCAAGCGGTTCCTGCGCATCAAGCTCTGCTCGTGCAACTTCTCGATATTCTGGTGCAACAGCCTCTACTGTATTGACTCGTGCAGGACACCAATATGTAGGGCGAACCTGTACAACTCCCCCACCGCAAGGTCGTGGGCATGCAGTGGAATCATATCACAGCGCACACCAAAGCGCATCACGAGGACAGGGTAAGCAGCAGCATCAACATCCGGTCGATCATCTCGTTATTAAACAGGAAGAGCGGATGAGAATTAGCACTCGTCAAGATATGAGTCCCGATGATAGTAAGAGTCTTTGCCACGACAGTCCAACTAGTACTGGAGGCAGTACTCGCCCCCGTGAGACTCCAACTAGTAGTGGTGGAGGTAGTACTCGCCCCCGTGAGACTCCAGCTAGTACTGGAGGTAGTACTCGTCCCCGTGAGACGGCAACATCTACCTGTCAGCACGATAGTCCAACATCTACTTGTCAGGAGCGTCCAACTACAATGAGCAGAAGAGCGATTCCCTTACGCAGTGCGCGGAGACAGGAAGAACCGCGTTTGTTTGGATTCTGAGACAGAGTAGAAACCTATGACGGGGACGGCAGCTCAGCCGGAGAGAGGCGCCAGGACATCACACCTGGATCTCCAACTTGCAAGGTGGAGGAAGGAAGGGAAAGCGCGTCCGCAAGTACGACAGTTCGGAGCTCGACAGCAGCTTCGAGTAAGTAGCGCGGTTACTTCGCATGCTACTTCTCCTGTGATGCATTGGAGATCGATGACCTTGACCTCATCTCCATGAGTGATTTTTACAAACGGACAAGAACCTATTCGATCGAGCTGCCCGTTTGATATATAATGTCGTAGATCAACAAATGCGAGACAAATATATTTTATAGGATAACTCATAGAACGGGTGTAGGATGGAACTTGGATGGATCGGATGGACGTGGACCCCCCTAAGTCTTCCGATCCTCCTTGAAACGATGGGAAGCCCATCCGTTCCATCCCATCCTGGATCTGACACCCGTGGGAATTATTATACTATTTATAAGGATGCCTTTTGATACGTCAACTTTCCGCACCTAGTGTTGATATTGCTTCCAAGTCTCCTGGAACTGCGCGACTTTCAAGCTCCTCTCGTGGAAGGATTAACACTCTAGATCGGACAACTGACGACTCATATACCTTATAAATTAGAACACTTCGTAAGAGGGACGTTGGATGGCATGGCATGGCATGCATTGCATGAGCCGAGGGGGTCAGAATACGACCTCCTTAAGGGAGCGACACGGGGGCGAAGACTCAGGGCGCGACATAGGGGGGGCACCGCGTTGCTGTCTGTTTTGCTATAATATATATAAGTGGTGGCTAAGATCTAGAGCACACTCATTACGAGTGGTTAAGATCTAGAGTACACTTATAACCCGTGACTGGGTCCGCAAAGGAAGAAAAAACGACGCGTCAGAGAACAGGTCAACTAATACTACTAGATCAACTAAGTAAAAGAACGGTGCGATCTAGTGGTATCGTATTAGTTGATCAATGAAACTGCGAGTCGTGGCACTAGAAGTAAAAAATCAATGAAGCTTATTATAGTGCCTCACGGTTGGGTCGTACAGTACTTGTACTACTGCTGGAGCCGCGATCTTCACGGTGGCTCGTAGATGATCTTGGCTAGTATCGAAGCATGTGTATGATCGACGTTAAGTAGAACGATGGATAGGGTTCCTGACTCAAACGGAGAACTATGGGGAGGGAGTTGGATTCGAGGGAGTGCCCCTCCGACATAAAAAGTAGGAATACAGTGCAGATGTGATCGAAGGGCAGTAGGTATCATTTCCTTCTTCATGTAGTGGAGATCGAATATAGAATTTCGAAAAAACTAAATGAAATATCATCAGTATTTTTTAAAGTGTTGATGTATGTTTCTAGCACGACTACACTTGTAAGTTAGTAATTAGCTGTTTCTTCATGAACTCTGGAGTAAACCCATATCGTCGAAGGTTCTTCACAACTGCGAAATTGAAGGTAAGGCGCTTTTCTTGGCGGTCAATTGAGACGATTTTATTGTATTGTACTAAGGCAGTCTGCACTGTACTTTGTGCGAGATTTATATATTGTATTGTATGCTAGTCCACCTCCTCCACGCGACAACATCTCAAGGCCACCTTAGGAGTTACGTTTGCCTTCTCTGTAGTGTTTAGGCAGAGAACAGGTTCTCTGTGACTCATCTCAAATTGACTATCTGCTTCCTAACTTTCACTGGCACTGACTTATCTCACGCTTCATCCGTTATTGTATTGTATGGTGACAATGTAAATACGACAAGACCTGCGAAGGTAGTAAAGAGATGATAGATTCTTTGCTTAAGATCGTGCGCTATTGGAAGACTGAAGAGGCAGTATTTGTATTGCCTTTGATTCGTCTCAGTAGGTTGACACTGACCTTCTCATGGCATGGTGGGTGGGTCTACAGTCGTGAGAAGTATTGGCACTACAATTACACAGTCATGCGAAGTATTGGCACTACAGCCGTGAGAAGTTCGCGTTACAGTTTGAGTCTTCATATACTCGATATGATAAAACGATCGTTCTGCGTCTCACTCGTGCAGGCAGAACTGCTGTGACACGGCTGCCAAAGCTCCACTGTGAGCCGCTGAGGGTGTTTGATCTGTTGCACCTTGTGTGATATGCTACTGGGAGGTCTATCACTCTTTATATTCAATTTAAAGATATTCTTGTGACAGGGATAGTCAAGAGATGAGTGTCGGATTTGAGTTTCATAATGACTATAGAATCAATGGAATAGAGAAGGTGAAGGTAGAAGTAAAGTATAATGGAAGACTACGAGTATCAATACTCGCTTGGCGATAGAACTGAGTAAATAAGTCTTACTCAACATGCTGAAAAAAAAAATCAAATAAATCACTTTCTGGCTCTGTCGTGAGTCCTGCCTGTATGATATTACGCTGTTCCCACGTATCGTCTCAGGACGTGGTGGCGCAGTCACTGCAGCCGCGAGCCCGGTCTCCGTTCTAAGTAAAGTATCATTTTAAATGTAGTATACATACCGTAGGACTAAAAATGCAAAGGCAGCGTCTGTGATTGTTTCTAGTCCTGTAGCTATTGATTTGTAATGATTGAAGATAATTCTTGTTCTTCTCGATGAGAAATGATAAAGCAGATTTTGAATTGTAAGAAACTAGAACCGAAAACGAAACGGTGGTCGACCTCCATGCACTTAGACAACTTGGTGTTAATTTGTTATAACAGACTCACTCGTCCTCGTCTTTTGAAATTCTTCGTGAGTGACAGCTGCTAACTACGGGTCGCTCCTATTGATCATGATCCACCGGTGGAGTTAAAAACATTTCGGAACAAGCGGAGCAGTAGTAAACTAACATCAAAAGACGAAGACCAGTACAAGAAACGAACAAGGGCGTTATTTTAGTTTATGAAAATATAGGAATAAGGTTTAGTGCGCAGTAGTTTTTTTTTGAAATAGTAATAGATAAGAACGCTATAATAGGCATATAACGTTTAGTAGTAGTGTTTTCTTGTCTCTTCATGCTCGATGGGATGAAAGAATATTTACACGATGAATGTACCTGAAGAGTGAAGATGATGATCCTTATTACCGTTTTAATTCATCTTACATACCATCTTCGCAGAACACATTGATAAAGGATAAAAGGCTTACTTCGTTCGCAACGGATCATGTGCAACCTGTTGCTGTTCCGATGAAAAGGATAAACATTCACACTTTGCTTGCTCTGAATTCGTAGGTTTTTGTCTTGCTGCCTTGATTCGCTGCACTGAATCATCGACTGAAGATTGATTGCTCCGAAGATGGGTCGTGACCTTGTATTGATTTCGAAACCTGATATGATGAGCCAATATTGAGTAAGTAGCTTCTTGTGCTTAATCTCTTTGAGCTGATTTTTACTATCTCCTTTCTTGAGGTTCCGCTCTCTGAGTTGTTCGTCTTAAGTCGGAGCTTTCGTCCTGTCTACTCTTACTGCACTGGTGGCGCTTTCTCATCTTCTATCTCGAGTTGCTTGGATTGGCTTATAGTTAGGTCTAGTCTAGGTTATTGAGTATGTGACTTGGCTCATTTCATCAGTGCTCTCGGTCAAAGTAGTTTTTATTTTTTTTCCTTTTGGCTTTGTCTTTTCAAAGCCTTGCTTTTGCTTGCGAACCGTACGGTACTGCGCTCCATGTGGTGGCCAGAATAAAGTGATAGAGGCGCGAATAGAGTGATAGAGGAACACTAAGTTCCGCCTGCCGCCGGTTTGCGAACTTGATAAAGCTGAGGCCGCTCTTTCAGTAGCCCCGCTCGGGTTACAGAAAAAAAAAGAAACTTTCCTGAAGCCTCCAAATCCAAATTATTACGTTGAAATATGTAAAAGTCTCTAACTCTATCTCTCTCAAAGGCATCGGCTTTGGCATACTACTTCGTCATCGGTTCATGCAGAAGTCTCTCTTTCAGAAACATACTGCTTCTATGTAAGATTAAATCTTCAAACTTGACCAGGGAGGGTTAGACCTGAAATACATGACGATCACCATGACTTTTTTTTTGCTTTCAGTTTTCCTATCATGCTCTTCACTTTTGAAAAAACTTAGAAGTCTTGTGATCGCCGCAAAGGTGAAAAATGTAAGCAAGTTGATGTCATTGAGATTCGTGACTACTAAATCTAAGAAATAATTAATCTGGGAGTTTGAGATCTTCACATGTTGAGGTTGAGAAGCGTGAACACCATCATGGCCGGCAACTGCTACGAAATCACATATGGCAAACGCAAAGAAGCTTGAAAGGATCACGAGAAACTTCGAAGGCGCTTCAATCTTCGGGTCGTGCTTTTGTGGCTGAGCATGCTTGTGCTCTGGAGTTTGGGCTTGAGGCAGCGGACTAACTAAGTGCGCCTCGTTGTCTTTAACGGACTAGTGTTGTCAGATCGTCAAGGAAAGCTGTTTCGTGCTGTTGCCTCGTGGCCGTGTAGTGTTAGAGTTAGTGTAAGAGCGTTCCCTACTTACAAGGAAGCACTTTGACTCCAGCTATTTAAGGACTCGCAACTCGCTTACGTGACTACGTACTTTTAAGTTGGCTTCTAGGAAAACTATCTGGACTATGTGTCCCGGTGTCCTTCGTTGTGAGTTCAAGCAAAAAAAGCTCGCATCTCGTTCACGCAACTACTTAAAATCTTAAAACAACTAACCAACCAGGACTAGGCTTTTAGTTTACGTCGCTTCGTGTTTAACAACTGACTTCGCATCTCGTTCTCGCAACTAACTACTTGCTTTACAACCAAACAACCAACTGACTCCGCATCTAGTTTTCGCAACTTCGTTTCTATCTCTCTGTTTAGTCTGCTTTTAATCTGTTGGACGTAGTATGAGTTATCGCGGCTGTTCTAGAGTAGTTGATAGCTTTAGCTTTCTGTAGGTCACTTGAGTTTCCTGCTCCTTTTCAGTCTTTCTATAGCTTTCTCTTTGTGTCTGTGAAATGTTTGCTTTCTCTGCGCCCACCGCTGCTGGTGCGTCGAACTAATCGAACACGTGGGTCATACTTTTAGTATACCGCCCGCCATAACCCCCATCGAAAAACTTGTAATTGTAATTGTAATGTGAAAGCGAAAATTACGCCTTTCATATCGGTTTTCTACGATGAGCGTGGAAACAATTGGAAAGTAGAGTACTGCATAAGCATAACACCTAGCGTGAGATACAAGTGAGTTTTTACCTTCGGTTTAACAAAGGAGCGTGCGTGGGTATCAGCTTTATGGGGATCTATCGCGAAAAATTCAAATATACCTCCGTGTAAGCAAGCGACTTCGATCGGTAGGAGAACGAGGCACATGTAATGAAAGCCGAAAAGGTCGAGCAGAAAGTTCAGCACATACTTGCTTCTAGCAGAGAAGAGTTGTCAATGCGGTGGAAACGAGCGGGTAACGAAACTAGCGAAACTAACAACTATGAATTAGAGTGAGAATCGATAGAGATTGTCAAAGCATTTTCCAAACCTGATGATTATGTGAATATTTTTGACGCATAAGTTTTACGGTGACTCGATATAGCTAAGAAGGGGAAGCTACTCTACTACCAATTTTTTTTCTTTATTATTAGCAGATAAGGAAGGGACATCGAGGAGAGGACAAAGAAGGCGCAAAGGAAAGCCGGGGAGCTCAGCAACATACTGCGCAGCAACAACATCAGGCCAAAGCTGATGGCCAAGGCATTAAGCTCGTCCGGAGACCCGGCAGGCGCCTCGGGGGCAGAGACGTGGACGCCAACGCAGAAACGGGGGCAGGGGCTGGGCGCATTCGGGAGCAAGAGCCTGCGGCTGTGCTTAGGCATCACGAAGAGGGACCGACAGGAAAGCAACGGCGGAGACCCTGGCGATACTGAACCAGAAGCGACGAGCGACAAGATGGAGGCCCATGCGGTTGAGATACTTAAGGCGCGCAGTGAGATACCCGGAAGAGCGACGGGTGAGAAGGGTGCGAAAGATGACGCACGCAGCTAGAGCCTGTAGACAAGGACGACTGAAAGAAACGGGGAGAGGCAGGACGCCTGAAGAAATAGGGGCCAGATCTGTCACATTGGGAGACCTGTCACATTGGAGGACTGCTTAAGCCGAGAAATGTGGAAGAACATAACAGAGAGAAGCGCGAGCAGCGGAAGCCCCCTCCTCTCGATAACGAATGGCGCCACTGTAGAGACAACGGACCACCTTCACAGCCCCAGCATCAACACCAGCGAAATCCGTAGAACTCAGAGGAGACTCAGGGAAGTCGTGGGTCCAATCCGAACCGATTACCATCACCATCAAGAATATACTTTATTTTTCTATCTTCCTCTGGTCTTTGTTTTTTCTAGTTTGGTCTGCTCCGCCCCACTTCAATGTGGACTATAACCGATGTGCGCATATAAGTACAGACATGAAATGCTGGCGCTTCCTCATTGTAGATGTCGCATCAGCGTGAGGTCGTCCGATTCGCAGGCGGGGTGCCCCAGCAGGAAGTGGATTCTCCGACACGAGAACATGAAGCTGCGGGCAGCGCGTTGCATCAGTATTTGATGGAGGCTACGACGTCGGCTTCTTCACCCTGTGGTGCTGGACCTGACGCAAACGAGCAGCTGCGGGTGCTGCTTGCTGACGCAAGTGGGACGGTCATTACTTATTTCTTCTCTGTGCCGAGGTTGAGCGCAACTTCTGCGTTACCTCTGGCACTCAATGTGGGTACAAGCGCCGAGGACCGTATAGAGCGGCCACATGGCTGGACCTGCTGACGAGCGTTGCGGAGGCTAAACGCGTCCCGAGGTCGCTCGTAGCATTGCTGCTTCTAGATCCTACGACAGGAGAGGAAATCAATCATGACGAAGATGTTGTCGTGGGCAACGACGCTGAAGGGAGACAGACTTTTTAATCATGGCAGGACTTTTGTTGGGAGAATCCTTCACCGGGGCCTGCGCACTTTCGCTGCATTGTGCGACACCCTTCTCATAAAGTGCTTCAGCTGTCGGACGAGCTACTAAACCGCAGGCGTTAAGAGCACAATCTCAGTAATCCTAAAGGAGGACCGGACGACGAGTCAGAGGAGGAAGCGTGTGGCCCTGCTGCTGTGAGGATTGATAAAAGCACAATCGCGGGTGGTCCAGATCGTCAAGAAAGATATGATGGCAGCTGCAACGATGGCTCAGCAGCTGAGGAAGACAACGAAGGAGCAGAGAATTCCGATTTTGCATTCCTGTCGTTGAGCCGCCGCTTCCGAGCATGGATAAGATCGTTCAAATTCTCCAGGACGCTTTGGTTGCGCGATGTATGGGAAGTAACGCGACTGCGTTCGGATATCGGATGGTAAACACAGCTTTTTTTCAACGTGTATCCGAGTTCGCATATCTATACAACGACCTGTGGTCGCCATTTTCTTATGTTGATGAGTCAGCTCCAGCACCTCCTGCGTTCGTTCAGAACGAAGACTCCTCGGGTTCGTCTCATGCTTCCACAAAACAGAAGTTACTATCCGTCTCTTTCACTGGAACAAAGTACAACAAACAAGTCGGACAAGGTGGAACTGCACTTGCGGCGTCTTCTGATGCGTGGTCCTCCCCACAAGAGAGACTGATATCAAGGCTAGAATTTGTGTTTGACGAAAATTCTGACGCTGACTGCGTGTAATGCCATCTCTCCACGAGCTGCAATGAAGTTTGGGAAATGGTTATATGAAGAAGAACTCAAGTGCTAGGATAAAAAAGTGAAGAAGTACTTCTACGAGCGCTAATGAAAGCCGATTTGCTAAGTCAAGCATCACAGAGATATTTCGCGATCTCACGGTTTGCAGTGCTCATCTGCGCGTTGGTAAATGAGTGGTCCTCTTGTACTAGCTCTTTGTCCTCTGACGAAGCATCCCTCAGCCCAAGAACTAGTTTTTCGTTGCTGCCGATTGCTCGGAACTGCATTTTGGACACGAAGCCGGGACTAAGAGCTATCATGCGCGCGCAAGACCGCTTGGCACCGACTTTGTTGAGCTACCTGCTCTATGTCGGCGTCTTTTCTGTGTTCAACGTGAACCTGAGCGGGACGGAGGACCCCGAGCCTCGAGTCCTCGTGCTGCGCACACCGGAGCAGAAGCCAGAGGATAAACTGAAATTATGGGCTTTAAATTGATTCGTCCAAATCATGGAGGAACAGGCGTGGGTAGGGGTTGACTCGGATAAATATGTTTTTAAGACGAGTTTTGTCATCCCGTGTGACGATATCATTGATTCAATAGCCGATATCCATCCTAGGTTAGCCCCTCCCATCAACAAATCATGGATTCACTTCACGAAGAATCCAGCGGAGGATGGGAACCCATACAAGCATAAGCTCGTTCTAATCGTTGTGGAGAGCGGCAGCCCCTGGGAACTAGCACAGGCATTCTGCCAAGACCCGTTCACGACGAGGGGAGTTTCCGGAGGGCATGAAGCTGTCGAAATCGCACAGCAGAAACACGATGCGCATTGTCAGTTCGTAGAAAGCCATTTATTTCGCTCTTTCATCGCAAGAATCGTGAGAAATGCAGATTCTGATGTATTGAATTATGTGGAGGAGAGCTTCGTTCCATGTGATCATCCGACGAGTAGGAACAGCCACTTTCCGAAAGAGGTTCCGAGAGGAGCGCTCGCGGCCCTGTTTGAACTACCGCAGCTGCATGGGACTGCCTCATTGTTACTTCTGAGACGTCGAAGAGGAGGCACATTAACTGCGGAGGACAAAAGGTTATTTCGTTAAGAATAGTTCATATGCGCTATTCTGATCCTGTGTGTTGCTGCCGTATTCTATGCTGTGTTTGGAGTATACAACCTTTTTCCTTTGTTTTATTTAGGGCGGAGCGACCGAGGGGGAACGGCAAAAACCCACTATTGTCAGGATAGCGAGAAACTACCTCCAATTTATAGAGCAGCAACAGGAGATCAACATGAGACGACTACCGCGCGAACTCCCACTGGTATTGAAGGAAAGCCCAGTTCCACCTTCTCAATGGGAGACCATTCTTTTCTAGACCTGCGGCAGCTTGTTTTGCCTGATGCGTTTGTGGGTTGGTCTCCGTTGTGTGCTACATTGGCTCTCCAAGAGCTCGCGCGTAGCATAGGAGCACCTGCAGTTAAGGCAGGAGATAAGTAGTTTACTAGTTCATCTCTAATAGCATCTCTGCAAATATTAGTAGTTCGTTGGTCCCGTTTTTTGTTAGATTTCGAAGTGACGGCGCAGCAACTGTCTCCCTGCTAGTAGTACATGCCCAGAACGCGGGTCCATCAAGGGCCCGCTGCACTGGGCGTAGGTTAGCAACTACTAGACAGATAAGACTACGACGCAAGCCCCTAAGTCACCAAGCTAGCGGCGCGCGGCTGGTTCAGAATGGACTATCGTGGAAGCTCTTCATGGCTAAACAACCGGGCTGGCTGTCGCTGTCTTGTGGCCAAGGTAGCAAGCTGGCTGTGGCTAAGCTAGCGAGCTGGAGTGGCCACGGCAAAGCTAGCAAGCTAGATATGGCGGGGCTAGCAAGCTGGCCAAGATTAGGCTAAGCGGCTGGCTCTGGCTTCCGGGCTAAGCTAGCAGGGTGGCCATGGCCAAGCTAGCCAGCAAGCTGGCTATGGCTAAGAAAGCAGCTGCTGAGCTAGGTCTCGCAAAGGAAGCAGCCCCTTAGCTAGCTAGCTATGGCTAAGCAGCTACGATCAAGCTAGCGATGGCCAAGCAGCTAGCAAGCTAGCTATCATGGCCAAGTAGCTAGCTTGCTAGCTAAATAGGGCCGAGCAGCGACCTAGTAAGCTCGCTAGCTATGGCGCAGCAGCAGCCAGCAAGCTAGCTATGGCCAAGCAGCTACCTTGCTCGCTAGCTATGGCTAAACAGCTAGCAGGCTAGCCATGGCTAAGCAGCTAACAGGCTAGCCACGGCTAACCTAGCCAGGTAGTACGGGTAAGGAGTAAGTAAGTAAGCTAGCTAGGGCTAAGCAGCTAGCAAGCTGGCCATTTCTAAGCTAGCAAGCTAAGGCCCTTGCGAGGTGGCGGCGGCCCTTAAGGGAGGGCCTAGACTTAGCCTAAGGCTATTACAAGCACTCCTTAAGGAGCCTCCTGAAGGAGCCACTTTGTTCCTAAAGGAAAAGCTATAATAGCTTTTTGTGATAGAAATTCTTTAAGGAGATCACTTTCTTTAAGGAAGGCACTCAGGGAAGGCTCTTAAGAATTTCAGAAATGTTGCCTACCCTATAAATACTAACATTTAATATTTATATTTGCCCTGTAGCGACGAGATGAGCCACAAATAGGTCTAAGAGTGTGGCTTCCCACGATTGCCCGATCGAGAAAAGTTTGGACTTCATCAAGGCACACGGAAAAGATCCTACTCTCCTGGTGGACAGGGCGCACAGAGCTCACGCCTCAGTGGTCGCGAGCATGGTCTGGAGTCACGGCGACGCGGCAATAAGAAAAGCTTTCGCGGAAGCGGAACTTGCAGTAGTCAGCTCGACTTCGACATCTTCAAGTGGCACTGCCAAGACTAGTGGAGAAATGATGATGATGGAAGACAAAAGCCTGGAGAAGGTGTTGAAGGCGGGTGACGCCACTGCGATGGAGATTGCAGCCGAAAAGTGGTGTACTGACCGTGAGTTCCCACAACACGTTTTTTTCAGCCCAATATCACGCGATAAGAGAACAAATGAAGCACTGAAGGACTCCCTTTGGCAGATGGCGTCGTTTTCTCTTTGGGAAGATGTAGCGCTAGAAGTTTCCGATTTGGATGACATGGCGCTTTAGTTTTAGTACGTCTTCGAGTTAATGCCTACTTCTTCAACTAGGTTGTAGATAGATATACCCCCGTCTGCTTGAGACGAGGGCGACTGTTTCTATTGGTTCTTGGCCTTCCTGTTCTCGGGTACCTGTGACAATGCGATCCTGGAGAGACACATCACAGTCACATGTCACTGTTTACTTTTTCACTATCGGTTCTAATATCCAAAAAGGAGACTTGTACTACATTCAGTCCCTTGCTTCGGATTTTGGATATCTGTAGTGGTAAGTAAGGACTTTCATCTGTTTCGTGAAAGATCTGTGCACGATGTTTCGTGGGCATGTAGAAAAGAGAAATATATATAACAGGGCGAACATGTGAACGAGAGAGAGAGAGAGAGTGTACGAAGTAAGGCAGCAAGGTCATGTAGATGGGGATCATTGATCACGTGGGAGAAGAAGAAACTCTGAAAATAATGAGCTAGCAAGCAAGCGAAACACAGCGCTTCTCGAGTACCATTTAGTTTGCGTCCTTACACCAATACTCACACTTCAGCAAGCGTTTGCTCCGTATTAGAGAGCTCGGCAGAGATGGAAAATGGATGAGTATGTTACTAGTCTTGCTCGATGTGAGGAACAGGTGCTTCATGCGGCATAATCGCGAGATGGGTGCCACGTTAACCGTAGCCAAGTTTTGCAGAAAGAGGTGCGCGTACGGTATGAGGCCGCTGTCCTGAGTTTTGCAGGAAGACGCGACGTACCCATAATGAGGAAGATTCCTCCCTCACGGTGCACAGCTGCAGCTTGGCTGCTGTTTCCTCAGTGGCTGCTAATACTTGGTGGCCGCGATGTAGTATGGGCCACTTCGGGTGGAATTCCGCAGGCGGTTCTCCCGTCAGAAGATGTCAGTTTCGCCAAAACTGGTGATGCTATCGCAAGACGAGATCTTCAAGACCGTTTGGGCCCGGAGCTACTGCCTTCCAATCGTGAGGATATCGGCGAAGTTTTGGGAGGGGAAGGAAAAGCTGGAGATCCTAGAAGACGAACGGATGATCATCTACGGGAGGAGCATGTTGCGACCACAGGTGGGATGAATTATGGTCCAGGCGACCAGCAGCGTCGCTTGGTTGATTCCGATGGAGAAACAGCTGATACGTCACCGCTCGATGTTGATCCGAGACGTCCTCGTGCAGAGCAAGAGCGAGATGGAGGTGCAGATGACCCGACAAGCGTTCGCTCGTCTTCATCCCGAACCGGTCAGGGAGAGCCAGAACAAGGCTCTTTATCAGGAGGGTCTTTGTTGTCCGGGAATGCTAGAATCGACGGAAGGAAACTGCATACGCATACTGTTTTCGATGGGAAGCCGAGACCCAAGAATCCTACAGCATTACTGCCGATGACACGTGAGGAAGGACTGGAGTACATCGGAATCCGCCGACTGACGAGATTCCACGTCTTTGAGCAAGTGCTTCTAGTAATGCTCGCAATGTCGCTCTGCGGAATCATGATCCTCGTCTATTGGTTTAGGAAAATAGGTCTATTAAGGAACTTCTTTCCCACCTGGCCATGCCTATGACTAAATGATTTTCTTTTTAGACGAAGATCGACAACACACTTCGACGTGAATGGGTGTGAATTGAGGTCTACCAGGTCGATTATTGTGGGTAACTGTAAGTAAGTATCTTCCGAGGACTGATTTAGATAGCATGTGTGAGGCCAGTTAGCCACCTTGCCCGTTCGTCTTCATGTAGCATATGACCGACCGAGTCAACCTGACGCATCCGCCGAATGAGGTACGTGTCGACCCGATCACTGGCGAGGACTTGCCCAGACCGTTCCATTACTTGCGTTCCGAAGAGTTTCAGGAAAAAACCGAGTATGGCCGAAGGAAACGCAGGTGAATACTGTCAGCATACATCCAAATAGCTTATGGGTCACTCAATGAATGTTGATGCTGCAGCAGCTACTCTATCCTTGTTACATCATTGATTGACCCTAGTCTGTTTATGATTAAGAACATAGGTACTATGAAAGAACAAGATGGCATGCATTTACTTCCTTCCTTTCATACACTGGAGCGGATGAATTTCTTTTGCGAGAACACGACATATGTGGCCACAGTCTTGGGATTCCACATGTTCCAGACACTTCTCTTTTTAAGGGAAATGAATATGCATGATGAGTGTCCTTTTTGTCATAGCTCTGGTTTTGAATTTCAGTCGCATTGATTATGATTTCTGTCAGGAGCAGTTACTATGATCATAACTTCCACCCCGGCAGGGGCAGTTATGATTTCAACATACTTACTTGGGGACCACTGTTGACTTTGGTCGGTGGTGGAAATGGCTTGTTTAGGGTGTTGAAGAGCGCAAAACAAGGGTCATCTTTTTACAGGTTGTACATGTACAAAAGACTTAGTCTAACTTTTCTCGTCGCAGTGTACGATGTGAACGGGAACTTGCCGGAAGCGGTTTTCGTGTTAGAAGCAGTTATTGGGTTGCTCCTCTTCGCTGATCCTGCAACGGCGACCCTTCAGCGCTTCATTCTGAGTGACTTTGGGACGCTCCAAAAGCTGCCTTATGCAGAACTGGCAATAGCCAGTGTGGTGTGCCTTTCCCCAATCCTTAGCGTGTTCCTCAGTAGGCAGGACGAGTACGACAAGAATGCGGGAAGTGCTTTGGCAAGCGACACAGTAGGGCTCGGCGTACACTGGTTTAGCTTTCGTTTTCTCGCGTGTCTACGAATGCGCAAATATTACCTCTTTATGTTCCCAGAACTCAGCGGGATGCGCTCGCCGGTGGCTAGAGGCTCTTACGCTCTGCTTCTCAGGTGAGTATATTTGGTTGCGCGTCTTGATCCTTCTATGTATAATTTCTAGGACACTTCTTCTTGAAACCTTGTCGCTCGTCTGGGTTCCTTTTGTCATTAAATAGAGGACGAAGGAACTTTTCGGAAAAGTCAACGCTTTTGCAACATGCTGCAGGTGTTTTGAGACGTTTACGTTTTTCTATGTTACGGTGTGCTTTCTGTGGACGGTGGAGTTTGCGGATGGCCTGTTTCCCCGTTCGGTGCCGGACTACGGTAATTGGTCTTTGGACGAAAGTCTCTGGTTTATGGTCACTACTGCGCTCACGATAGGCTACGGAGACTACTCTCCATCTACAGTCTTTTCGCGTGTGGTCGTGATGCTTCAGCTAATTTCGGTCTTGCTGATGTTATGGCGAGAACAGAGATTTGCATCGTTGTCAAGATACTGAAGAACAAAGAAGTAAGGACGAAGTATCTAGTTAGCGTCTTGAGTTCTGTCTTGATCGCTATCAGAACTTATCTCTACGGGCATTAGTAAGGGTGCCACCAGGGATACATACATACGAAGTATCTAGTTCTAGGATCAAAAGGCAAGTCATCACCTAGCAATCTGCTTAAACTACATTTAAGTAAACAAATGTATAACACAGTTACAACGAAGTCGTGGGCAAGAAGATGATTCTTAACTTGGGTTCTGTGACGTTTCAAAAAATTTGCCCTCTCATGTAACGTGGGGATGGTTTTTGAGATTATGAGCAGGATATGGGCGGAGAGTGCGTCAGGGCTCGGAACCTACAATCCTCGAGAGCGAGTTCCTTACATCTTGCTGTGCGGAAATTATGTTGCGAGGATTTACCCCATTAGTTTTTCTAGTCAGCGCCTTGCTGGAATATTAGCGGGTGCATAGGGAGACGGAAGAGATTCCCTTTAATAGCGACTTGCTTCACCTAATTCTGCTTGGCCTTTATTATGAGTATGGAGGCACATGCGTTATTAATAAGATATCCGAGTCCAAATAGACTGGAGCAGGTGAATTGCTCCACCTTTCTTCAGCCCTGTTTCATAGGCTTTTTTCCCCAAGTACGGCGAAAATGATATTGGGGGAGTTTTTCCATCCAGATCAGCACGCTGTGCACCGCGATCGAATGGAAATCGTTATGGTACTCACTTCGCAACAATACGCGCCGGTGTCGAATGCGACGGGAGAGTGGCTCAAAGATAACATGGACTTTTATGAATAACAACTTCCGGTTTTACAGCACCTCATTATTGTGCGCCGCTTTCGCGTTTTTATTTCACTGATAGATGATATATTATGTATATCGATGACCATCGTTGTGTCAGCCTTCTGTCTTCATATTTGCGCATATCGGGTCCACGTTTTTCGCGGGTACATAACTTCAGGCTACGACTACAAGAGGTGTGGGGTTCCCAAAGCATCGGCAGTGCTGGTCGTGCCCAACGTGCAAAATCCTGTTGACAAGCAAAAAGAAGACGTCGACACACTTTTGCGGGTGCAGGCGGTGAAAAAAAAGAGCTCACCAGATTTGAAGCTGGTTGTCATTCTGCACTTGATGCGTAACCGGTACATGTTTAACGGCGTGGTTTCAGCGAAGAACTTGCTCTGTGCCGATGATTTCAAATACCGCATGATTGGGCGCGTCTCTTTTCTGCCTGGGCTACCCTCTTTATGCCCTGGAAAGTGCTTACTTACACCTAAATCTGTCAAGGGATAGAGTGCACGTGCCAGAAGTGTAGTAAGTAAGACAAAGTAGCAATGTTGGTTACTGCAGTCATACTTTTTCATCTTGTTTAAAAGGTATAAAAACGACGGTGCCATAGTACCTAGGATACGTGAAAAGTACATGTTGTAGAATCCATGCATGTGATGTAGTGTAGATATTTATCGACTCCGTTCTAAGTTCTTTTCTTTGTTCGTTATTGCAAGCGAGTTCTACTGCCGACCAGGATCGCGCTTTGTTCAAGAAGTTGGAAGCATCGTTTCAGGAAGGTTCATTGATTAAGGCTTACCGCAGTGTTGGTCCGTCTTCTAAAGCCTGTTGGAGTTAGTTGTCCCATAGATCTATCAGGGGAGAACAGCTTGAAGACGACGATGAGCCTCACAATGGATTTGGGTTGGCTCTTCTAATTTGATGAAAAATCAATTCACCTTGTTTACGAACGAAGATATGCACTTCGGGCAGGGGAAGGAGCTCTATGCGCTGCCTCTGTCAGACGCCTACCGCGCTTTTGTAACTGGCGGTGACCGCATCCGGTGGATAGATATCGTGCGGGACGTGTTATATAGAAGTAAAAATAAAGACGTGATGCTGCTCGGCTACATAAGGTACAATCCAGAGAGTGACGGCTCCTACCTGAAAGGCGAACGCGAGTGCATCCTCTTCCCCAACGACCATTACCTGCCTTTTGATCACGAGGAGTACACGAAGGTACTTATTTATTTCACTAAGAAAGACCTCTCCCACATGAGAATGAGCTGCTTCTCTTGATATTTGCTTACTTAAGTCACTACAGTCTCAAGGGGGCTACTTCCTGAAGTGTAGTCTCGTAATCGCAACAGAAACATAATTATCATGTTCATCTATTTCTCAAATGAATCCTTAGTAATCGTTAAGTGCTTCGTAGGACTCTAGGGGGACGAAGAACATCCCACGCTATATCAAGGTGTTGGGTATTTTCATTGCTTCGGACGCATTTGATGTGAGGCAGCGCCCATCTATGGAGGTGCTGCTTCTACCGGAAATCGATAGCGACATGGAAGATTTTGATGATTAAGCTTCTGGAAGCACTGACTAGCTCACGATGGATGTTTCTCGTGTACTGGTGTTTTCCAGGTACTAGATCACTGCCTAGAACAGTGAAAAAAAGCGGTTGTTTCAGAAATTGTCTACTTTGGTGGTCTCTAATTTCTGGCAGAATTCGATAGACGGGAGGCCGAAAAAGAAGAGGATGGCGGGTCCGAAGACTCATTGGAGGGCGAGCGGGCCTTCTATATGGACGACTTCAGTTTCAAGAGCGACACGGATCGGACGGATTCGGTGAGGCCTCTGACGAATTATGAAGACCGCAACTGCATATCATGCATGTAGTTTTGATTTGTCTGCTCTTGTCAAGGAAGGAATATCAATATGCTTCTGGATCTGGTCAAGATAGACTGAAATGTGTATGTGATAGACGTTGTAAATTGACTCGACTTGTTGACTCCGGGCCCTTACACTCTTGTAATAATTACAAGATTCATGAACAAAGTGCTTGAGAGTGAGCTTTAATCAAAGGCGGAGAAAAAAGCGCAGCATTTTCAAGTTCTTGCTGGTCTGTCCCATCCGGATTTGAGCAAGTATCGTCCACACGAGAAGATAAGGAAGGAGCAAGCACCACCGAAGGTCTTCTACAGGAGAAAAGTGATCGAAAAGCAGCTGGCCTACTTGAAGCAGCACAAGCTCCAGACCGATGTCATCTACGAAATAGGAAGGAAGGCGTTTGCGGATAGGTATCTGAACAACCCAAGGGCGCGGTCACAACTCAAGTCTGGCGAGAACAACCTCCCGTTTGACTTCGAGGGAGACCATTTCCTCTACTGCCTTTGTGGACCAGCAAGCGTCGGGCTCTCGCTCTCGATTTTACTACAAATTAGGAACATAGAATGAAGAATGGTTTTGTCAACTTCAGCTTACCATACATTTTAGCGTTGCTTGTTTAGTAGTTGACGAGCCTTCCGAATAATATAGCGTTTCTTCTTGTAATTGCGATGGGTCAGCTTTGCGGGTCCCTCCTTGACTTTGGAGGGCGCTGTGCCTTGTGTCAGGAGTCTACATTTGCTGATGCACCACTGGCAGAACGTCTGATTTTTCAAGTGCACAATTACTCGTCTGTCATTTCTACTTCATACCTGGCTATCATACACACTCCTCATTCATTCCCTATCTGGCACTTGGGCTCGACGATGATGGACCCGAGTATTCAGAGGATGACTGGAATGGTGGTACGAAGGTGTACAGCAAAACCGAGTCGGCGGATGCGATGGACATGCGAAATCTGGAGCAAGGTATAAACGCTCCGCAACATTATGGCTTGGGGTACTTGATTGAGGCACGGAAACAGTCTGCTCAACCTTGATTAGCCAAGTATTTTTAGATAGTTGCAATTGATTTCTTCAGAACTAGATATCCTACGTGGAGGACTATTTTCTCCTATGTGGAGGTTCGTGTGTCAACAGATTCACTAGTCGTGGTTCTTGGAAGGTTCAAGCGCTAGAGGAGCACGTCTGTTGAAAGAGCGTAGAATTACCAATCTGGCGGCTTTAACGAGAAGAGGAAGACGACGAAAGCGCCATGAGCATGGCGACACCAAAACGAAAGCGGCTGAGAAAAATCATTCTAGTGGTGCTGTCGCAGAAAAGACCTGCGGACTGGGAGGATGCCATGGACTTGAGTAGGCAAAACCCGAGCTTGATCGCTGTTTGGGTAAAGGGGACACCAACCAAGATGCTGGATCTTGAACGGTATAGCATTTTTACAATATACGCAAAGAATGTAAACCTAGATATCTTCGTCGTCATATTGATGCTTTTCCCGCACTGGTGTAGTGATCATCAATATTGATAAAGGATTTCGGCAGAGTTACTGACCATGTGCGCCTAATGTTGACAAGTCTGTTGATATTCACAATATATATATTAGGTGTAGCTTTCGCCGTGCCAGGGTGATATTCGTTCAGGGGTATCCGACGAAGCCAACGGACGGCGAGTGTATTTTCTGCACACGGCTGATCGAGTCTGTTATTTTACGGCGAAGAGCTATCGAAACGAGTAGCAGAAGATGAGGAACTGTTCACGAGCAACGCGAGAACAAGATGTAGAGTCTTGTGTTTCATCAAGGTTAGCAAAAACTTAACAGCAAAGATGAGAAACTACACGATATTCAATGAGATTTGATTTTGATTGCTCTACTTGAAAAGCGGTGATGTTTCACAAGAAAACTAAAACTGTTTTGTTCAATGAAAATGAAATTGCTTATTCTCTGGGCCCCTCAACTCCCATCTAACAACTGGGAGCGATGCTAGTGATCCCTTCGTTCCGATCGTGATTCCGGAGATAACCTTAGAGGCGAATTTCCGCTATATCCCGCTTGGGCTCTCACCGAAAGTCGACCACCAACTGGCAGATGACGCGGTGCACTCAAAGCGGCGCTCGTTCATGCGCAGTCAGGAAAGCTACACTTACGACTAGAGTTTTTCATAATTTTACTTTGCCAAAAGATTGGCAAGATGTGAATACTGAAAGAGTAAAGTAATGGGAGTGGACTGGAGTTTCTTGATTTGATTTGTATAGAATTTCAGCGGGTTTGAGTGTAGACTACTAATTCTGTGCAAGTGTCGAGTGTTGCATCGCGTGAGGTATGCTGATGCTGGATGCTGTTTTCATCGGGAGTGTATGAAGCAGAACGATGGGCAACATCAAGAAGATAACTTTTCAAGTATTTAGTGGATAACGGAACAATAGTATCTCTCCTGTCTTCTAATACACCTTCACCTCAAATTCACTGATGCAGCAGCCATACATTCGTAGTGCGCGGTACGCTGCCGGCCGCATGTATGTTAGCAGCATGCTCACGTCTCTGGCTGTTTATGACTGAAAAACTTGAGTGGAGTCGGTTGAATATATATGAGTCAATTAGAGAATGGCTGAAGAACACCAAGTTGATCATTTTCATCTTAGGTTTATAACTGTGGAGTAATTTTTTGTCGATGGAAGATGACTTCTTGGCAGTGCGTGGTCCAACAATGGGTCTTGCCAATCGGGCTCCTTCCATTCTCTCTGTCTGTCTGTCTCTCTCTCTCTCTCTCTCTATTAATCTATTCAAGGAGCGTCTTTCTTCTCTACCTTTTTGCCTTCATATGAAGAATCAGATTTTCAATCCGGACTTGGGCACCTTGATCCAGATATTGTCCGATGGAATTATGCTGGTAGACGTCCCCGAGGAATTTTACGATCGGCCATACGGAAAACTATGGAAATTCCTGCTGAGCCAGAATTTGATGGGTGTAGGACTTCTTCGCCGCGCGTCGACAAATGCCAAGTTATGCGAAGGCTTCAAAATCAAAAGTGTAGACGGTGAAACTAAACTGTAATGATCTCCTCCGGTTTTGAATTATTCACTGTTACAAGAAATCGAATTCTTCTTATAGAAATTCGTTTCAACTAACTTGATTATACCACGAAGGGTCATATCAGGGGCACCCACATCACATGACTTGATTATTTAACATCATGAATAAAAGTCTCACTAAAGGGCAGCTTTCTACAAGTAGGTGAAGCCTAGTCTTAGCTTAGAAGAACTTAGAAGTATGGTGATCCGCGTCCCCTTAGTCTATCATCAAAAAAATGTCATCGAGAACAACTGGTGTTTCGCTCTAACGATGACTCTGGGTGCGAGCACGAGCTTAGGGTTAGTGGAGCATGAATTCCCACTGACGGCGCCACCAAAAGACGACGTTGTAATAGAGCCCGGCGACCGCGCTTACGTGATTCGTCCTGGTCTCATGTACGCACTAGACGAATAATTATCGTAGTTTTGGGCGGTGGCGGGCCCGTTGAGGCTTAGCAGCACATTGAAAGGCGACGAGGACTCGTAAATTTTAGGTGCGGTATAAGGCTACGAAAGTGTACTGTTGTTGTGCGTTGTTAGTATGAGCGTACTCTATGAATGAATACTGGCTTGTTACAATAACTTTTGTTCCTGCAAGAAAGCTGGTCGAGCAGGATTGATTATATTGTTGGGACCCGTTGTACTCGGAGTGGGGGGACGAAGTGCGGATGAGGTCTTGCTTCGCGTATTCTGGCATTGCTTTGCGTACTTGTTAACATGAAATCTGACTATATTCGACAATTCGGGCGTAAGTGTGTATAAGGTTAATCATACATAGCTTGTATTATGACGGGGTGCTGACGCGAGGTTCCATACTGTGCACAGCGCTCGAATGTTTGATTCTTCGATTCGACGATGACGAAAGCTCGCTACAGGCCACTGATGAGTACTAAATTTTGTGACAGTCAATGAATCGTTCACACTAGTTCTAAACAAAGGGAATTCTGATCAGCAGGGGAAGTGACCATGACCATGACCCTTCCTTGAAGAAAGAGGCAGGAGGGAGCTACTTTGACTAGAGCCGATGATTTCTGCAGAAGAGCACTTTAATTTTTGCTCCATCCGGTTGGTCAAAGTGAATTCTGAGACTGAGGAGCTCAAAGAAAATCACAAAGAGTCACCAACGCATGCTTGATGTAAAAAGACGCTCTTGGTGAGCATCTTTCCAATGTTCAAGTTGGAGCCAGGCACAGGATGTTGTACGACGTAAGAAGATCACTTATTAATCAGCCACCATGGACTTCTTTCAAGATTGGTGCATATGTGTTACAACAAGATAAGATCGCGTATTGCTGACGTTCTTCCTCGGATCTTTGTCTTTCGAACATTTTCAACTTTTGAGGTTTGACCCGCTCTGTGAAGGGATCCATTGATCAGATGAAGCAAGCAGATCTTGAAATCGGGATGATTACAAAGTTCCTGGAAAGAGGGATCCCGGTTCAAACTACATCAAGAAGTAACTATGAGAATACACTAAAGGAAATTCTTTGCAAAATGTAGCTGCTCTGAAACTGTGCAATTGCAGTTGCTTTTTACGAACTCACTCAGTAGATGACATGCTCCATCTGACAAATTCAAAAAAATCAGGCGTAGGATAAAAACAAACAAGATTTTTTCTCTCGCAGAAAAAACTCAAGTCAACTTCCTTTCCTTAAGAAATAAATAACGAAATTTATTGATCTACCTAGAGTTATTAAACTGGGTTTGCTGCACTTAATTGAGACATTTTGAATGTCAACGATTTCTTCTCGGCTAAGACTTACATCCATCTGCAATATCAACATCAAGAATTTTTCGAAAACCCCTAAACGAAGACTTGTTTCTACGTGTAACAGCCGAGGACGTCGTCTTGGGTATCTATAGTTGTGGTCGGTGAAGATTTGCAGGAACCATTATCAAACATCTGCATCTGTGAAAGCTACTTAATGTGATAGAACCCTTCAATCTAAAAAGACGCATAAAGGACACAAAGAATAACTTTTCCGGTTGCTTTTCCCTGGATTTACTCCCATCACGAAAAATCTAAATACATCTGATCGAAAAATCTAAATACATCTAATCGAAAAATCTACAATTGTACATCTGATCGAAAACTTTATTCTTTCATAATTGGTAATATTTTTCATTCCTTAATCCCAGTTCGTTGAAACAGAAACTCGATAAAGATGATGAAGAAGTCTGTGTGTGGCATCTTCGCGGCGCAACTTGTGGTGGACTTTGCTGTCTTACCGCAATGTTTTGCCATGCATTTGGGGACTCTGCCGAACCGAGAAGGAACTCCTGATGAGGCCGGATATAAAACGCCTCGCAATGCCCCGCCCAACGCCGCGGCATCGCCTGGCACTCCCCCGATCAACACCGAGGCCCGGCAAGCCCGTCTGGCTGCTCTTGGGAACGGTCTCGGTGTAAACAGGGGAAATAAAGACGCGGCAACGAGCGAGGAGTTCTTGACCCTGCTAGGGTGTTGGAAAAACAAAGTGCATGTGCCGTTGGATGACCCGCCGCTGAAGATTGGAGAGAAGAGCAGGTAAGAAAATTTTACACTACCACAAAGAAACAGTTTGTTGCACAGAGTGCCTTTTCTAGTTGCTTGATTGATTGGTTATCGCAGAGAAGAATAGATACTACATTGTCGTCGCTGTTGTATTTTTAACCTTGACTGCAGTTTTGTCAAGTAGGTACAGCCCTTGGTAGACGGGCACGGGTTGCATTTCTTGTTCGTTGCTACTATCCGGTCGGTAAGCCGACTGCATCATTCATAATATCAACAATTGAGACTACGTTCGCTTTCACTCACAGGGTGAAGGAGATCAAGGTGAAAGGTGTTGCCTTTGAGGTTTTTTACCGTGTCTGGGATTCCCGGGACACCACTGCGGATAACAAATCTCCCGAAAGAGTACGGCGTGACGAGATCATAAAAAACGCTAGCAGCACGGAGGTGTCACCTGCTGATCGCGCTTTTCCTGAGCTTCCCGGTTATCAGCGGGTTCTTCCCTTGGTTAGTATAGTGCCAACGCAAGCAGCTTTACTAAAACTAAATGAAGACTCATCCGGTGCTTCATCCGGTTCAGGTTCTCTACCGCTAGTTTCCCTCGCCTTGTCGAAAGAAATCCACGCGGGTTTCTTGGGCGGACGAACGTGGTTGGAGGATAAGAACGTCCACCTCGGCGCGGGGCAACACTTCCGGAATGCTCTGCGTTTGCGCTTCGTCGTGGTGCTGCACCCGATAACGGAAATGCCCGTTTTCCTCTTGGGCTCCGGTCAAGAAAATGATGGAGCCTTTAAGCACATCGAGATTGCTCGTCGGTTCTGGTATCTCGAAGGTGGACCGCAAGAGCCGTCGGAGACAATGTATACTTTAAGTCTTCCTCGATATTATATATAGATAAAAGTTCATCTTGATGAGATTGAGAAGCATCCTGGTGATGTGGCGATCTATCATGTTTTCGAAAAGGGAAAACAGTCGTCCATCAGATGCAGCATCATTTCAAGATGGATCATATTTAGTGTCGTTGTAACCTCTAAGTACAGCGGTGGCAGCGGGAGAAATTTATTTGGCATGTTCGAGCGATGAAGCTTCGGGTGGTGCTTTAGGACTGGTGGACTTGCAAGACATGAGCGCCGCGAATAGGGGAGCACGGCCGCTTTCTGGGACCGACCCGGCGAAAGAAGACAGCAAAAGATGCTCCATCGAGGGCATTGATTACCAAACAGGACACTACAGAGCGAGCAAAGCGTCTCTCCTGGATACTGCCATCCCGATGCTAATCATTCACCTCAACGTGGCAAAGTACCAGGCTTTGCTAGCTTGCGGACAGCGGGAGGAAGCAGACAAAATGTCCAACCAGCTGCTGATCGACGTGGATCGTCCGGATGCAGACGCAGAGACGGGAGAACAGCTGAGAGCTAACGTCAAGAATTACTTTACCGACGATGGAGTGCTTCGCATTCCTCCAGAGAACAAAAGAAACTTCGTGCATGGCGAGGGCGTATCGGTCGACGAGGTTGACTTCACCGACGTATCGATCGACGAAGCTCAACCTCAAAATAACTGGAATCGCATTTATGTGCGATCCGCTCAAATTCTGCGTGGCTTTGGCGGTTTCAGCGCTTTCGTCTCTGGAGATTACATTTTGGGAAAAGAGAGCAGCTACATGAAGCTGTTTCAAGGTCCGTTTCGTGTCACAGGCTCGGACGAGCTCGAGGTTCAAGACAAAAAAAATACAGCGGCAGGCGTATCCAGGGCGCTTGGGTTGCTAAGAGGCGCGTCGTAATCGCCACGTGCTTCTATGCCTGGTACGCTGCCACTCCTTTTTGAAGGTGATGGGACGCCGCCACCGCCGCCGCGCACCGCAGACAACTTCCGTAATCGTGGCAAGGCGAAAGCACAGAGCCATAAACAAGAATGAAATAGATGAATTCGATTAGAAATACATGTCACAGGGAATAATCCTAAACCACTGCTTTTGTGAGATGAAAGCAAAAACAATGATTATTAGAAACAGGAGACAGCAACGGATGAGCTTATCGATCAAGAATTTTAATTCGTGTACCAGAACACGGCACGGAGGCGTTGTATCACGAGATATTGAATCTTGTAAGATGTAATTGAGCTGTCTTCATAGTTGTTTTTATTTTTTATCCTAACTAGTAGACCAACAATGTCCTTTGCAATTCTCTTAATTAGCTCACCAGTGCTCTCTTGGGAACGATGTTCTTGATTATGTGTTCACTATTTGGAATTGTCATGAGATGGATTTATGAATGTCTATCATTATTTTTTATTGTCGTGCGGAGTGGATGTATCTGTATCAGCGGAAGCTAACTAAGTTGCATCAGGAGCTACTTTATACTCGCATACAGCGAACGTCAACAAACTCGCAGAAAAATAAATGAGTTGTGACATCTACATTATTTATAGTTGGAGTTAGCTCTTTATCCAATTGACGTGAAGATGAATGTGCTCCAACAAGGCTTCGATGGAGCTTCGTTGGTGACAAGTAATTGCTTGTTGATTCATTTTCATTCGTTCCTGTCTTTCAGATAAGCTAATATCTTATGCAAGAATTTATTATGTCCAACAAGATGATGAAATGATTCTTTACCCCACAAGATTTAATGGACAACATAGATTGTAGAACTAACACGCAGGTCCGATTTACATCAGCGAGAAATTGTCGAACTTTCAGAGGAAAGATTCTGAAAGATCTTTCACGACAGAGGAGAGACCTGATGGATCCTTCAGTACGGGTACACCGACTAAAGTCATTATAGCTTTTATTTGATGCAGATGGTGGATCTGATTAGCTGCCATTTTGTCTCTCCGGTGGTCGCGAATGACCCTATCAGGGACACACGGCTGACATCGTGGCTCTGAGTCTGATTTCTTAGGAGGACCATCACTTACAGGAGGTCACTGGGAAACAGCAAACTGCGGAGGATTACTGGGAAGTATTGAACGCGGACTGTTATGCTGTAATGGAAGAGAATTTGAAGGAAAATAATGCGTGGCGTCAGTCGTTCAAGGATGTTAGACACGCAACGCTACGATGCAGGCGGCTGCGTATTTTTTTAAGGGAAGTATTTGCACTGTGGCAGCTCAATGAAATGACGAACAATTACATATTTATTGAATGACAATCGCTTTCATATTGTTGACAAAGAAATGGAAATCGAAATGCCGTGCTTTCTCCGCTACGCAAGTACGAACTTGGCTCGTACTGCAATTTTGTTCTACTTGCTGCTTACGTTGAAAAAACGTGGTCACACACTGTGGAAAAAAGCTCAATTTGATGAAAACTATTCCTGGATCCTCTGTGGTTCGTCCTGGTTCATCCGTGCATACAGCTGGTTCTTCTGTGTATTCTGTCTCTTCAACTGAATCACAAATTATTTTGTCGTCTAGGTGTGGCACACCGAGACCACAACCGCATATTAGGGATTTGAAAAAATCATGGGAAGGACAATGCTGTTTCCATATCAGGAGATCAAGTGAAACACCCAATACTTTCATACTTATATCTGCATTCTCAGGCTCGCTCTTCATCTATCAATTTCTTCAATCGATAGGAAGTAATACTAATGTATGAAGCTTCTCTTGTCGACTAGGTTGTAGCGCAAAATTGATCTATTAACTAATCGCAATTTAATGCATTCTTTCAATGTGGTGATTAGGGTGAAAATGGCGTTGGCGAAGCCTCGAAATTTTCCAGCATGATGTCTCGAATATAATGTCGTTCTGAGGTCGCGATTGCTGCATGCTGTTGTCCGGGTGTAAAAGTTTTAGGCGTTTGTCGTTCTCGTCCTCTTGCGAGTCAGACAGCATCACGATGGGTCGGTCGCGCGATCGTGGAAGGAGGGGCACGGGCCGATTCCGGTTCGACTCGCCGCCTAAGGACAGCAATGGCAATCCAATTTTTAACACGCCAGCAGCCTCTCTCAGCCAGCAGGCGGGCGGGGCGGGGGCTGATGGCGTGCCGTCGGCGCTGGCCTTGACAGCGGCGTCCGCGAGCATTTTCAACGTGTGGAACGTGCGGCCGGACCCAATCGTGACTAACTTTCCACAACTCCAGAACGTTGTTAGCGCTTCACGGGAAGCCCAGCTTGCCGTAGACTGCCAAATGAGCTTGGCAGAGTTGTACTTTGCGAATCTCCCACCAGGTATTTCCATTGCGCAACTGCGGCATTTTGTCGACACGGCGGCGCGTACCTTAGGCATAGGCCCGAAAACAGCAGCAAAGACTCTGCCGAGTAGCACAAAAGAAAAGGACGAGAGTCGAAGTCGGAGCCGAGACCGGGAGAAGCAAGAACAACCGAAGACGGGGGTTGTGGAAGCCATCGCATTAGGTATACACTTACTTTCCTTTTATGTGTTGAGCAGTGTCGTGCTGGATAGAGTTGTGAGCAGTGCCGCACTGATGATAGAAGTGTCGTGCGGATAGAAGATGAAGGAACTAGTACAATTTTTTACTAGAAGTAGAAAAATATCAAAGGTTCTTGAGTCTTTTTCTGTGTGACGAAAGTAGATAAATCACAATCACTCTTTTCTATACTCTGTCGTACAGCCGGCAACGGTCGCAATTTTGCATGGGTGACATTTCAGAAGGACCGGTGGGCCATGCTTTGTCTTCAGCTTCACGGTCTTTTTTTGTGTGGACGCAAAATCCGCGTGGGTCGCACCTATGCGCAGGTGCGCGACGGGGTGGAGGAGCGACAGATACTGCAGCGAGAGAGCGAGAGGCTTGCCCAGCCGCTGACCGTGGCGGAAATGCAACGCGTTTCGGTGCAGCTCCAGCAACAGCAACAGCAGGGGCAAGAGTTGCAGCAGGCTGCGGTGAGTGGAGGTCTGCTCGCACAGCCTCTCGGCATACTAGGGGACGAAAAGCTGTGCCTACACAATATTCCGACGCAAGTACCCGAGGAGAAAATAACGCAACTATTGAAAACCTTTGGGCACCTAAAATATTTCCAGACGATACAAGTAGACGGAGAGGAGACCAAAGCCGCGTTTTTTCAGTTTGAAGATTTTCTGACACAGAAGAGTGCCCCTAGCACGCTGAAAGGGCTTACGCTCGGCGGGCGCGACCTCAAGGTGATCACACCGGAAGACGCTTTCAAGCTCGGCCTCGGCAAAGGCAAAATCTCAGTCGGCGATCGGGTCATCCCGACGAGAATACTGTACATCAGCAACTTCATGACCGATGAAGAACTGCGATCCGATGAAGACTACGACGAAATATGTGGAGACATTAAGGTCGAGTGCGAATGCTACGGTATAACATATATTATATATTAAAAGATTCGTTTTAGACCACCTTTTTTTCTCTTCGAAATCAATGAAAAAAGAAAAATGTCTCACAGTGAATAAACATAAAGACTCTTGATTCATCTGCTTTCTATCCCGTCACCAGGTCGTGTCCTAGAAATGGTCGTTCCCCGCCCTCAGACGGACGCGGAAGCGGAAAAGGATCCTGATCTACAGTACGAGATGAATCGGCAGCGCGGTGTAGGTTGGGGTTTCATCGAGTTCGAGGACGTCGTCGCAGCGAGTAAGGCGAAGCGTGATTTTGATGGTCGAAAGTTTGGGGAGTTTCGAATGGGCGCGAATTTTCTCAACGAAAGGCAGTGGAGGACGCGCGATTTTAGAAATATTCAGCCGAATACGGAAGCACAAGACGTGATCGACGACGAGGAAGAGGAAATGGACATGAGCTCTTAATTATAGCCACGCTCCGAGGTTTGCGATTATCTACCGTTCAGCAAGCAGTAGAGGGGATGAAGATCATGACTGAGATTATTGATTCAGCTCCCTCTCTACCAGTGTAGCTTTGGCATCTGTACGTACTAGGCGAGCTGTGTGTCCTCCCTTCTTCAAGGCCATCTCCGTGTGTGAAAAGCACAGCGTTGTCCCATGAACGGCATGAGCGATTTAGAAGCTTGATATTGGTCATTTCCATCGCGGCTGCCCAAAGCGTCTGAAGCGCCGACGGGGCAATTATACAGTTTACAGCGAATTCCGTACGGCGCCAGGGAGAGAACCGACGTGAAGGGAAGTATTGCATCGCCGCGACAAGTTTGGCCAAGGTCACGAGAAGGTGAACGCCATTACAGATTCAGTTTTGCAGCTTCAGTGTTTCGGTCTCGATCCCCGTTTCTCGCCATTGGTTTACATACCAGGCATCCTCTCTCCACTTCATGAATCCTGCTATTAAGGAGCAAATTAGTACATGAATTTTCCTCCAGCCTCACCTCATTTGCCTCAAGAACTTTCCTCATTGGCTCCCATCCTCCTGTTCTCGCCTCTTAGTACTGTACTTTCGACGCAATTCATATTCATTACCACTCTTGTGAAGGTACGCCTACTCAGTAATCAGAACATGACCTATGTCTATCTGTCAATCCGCAAGAAAAGGGCCTGAAATGAATTTTGTGGATCGCCTCAGCCATTGTACATGGCTCCACTAAGCCTGCAAAAGAATTACTGGCGTTTTTCTCTTATGATAAGCACGTATTTCTGGGCCAGCGAGGGTGAATGTTGGAAAAAATGAGACAATCTGGAAAAGACCAAGAAACGCAGAAACATTGAAGAATCTTAATCATGGTCTTCAGTCTAACCATTCGCTAACAAGAATCAAGAAAGGAAAAATTTTGAATGAGAAAATCCTAGTCTCCATCTTCTCCTCAAGAATTGAATATGCAGATGAAGACGGTGATGGAATGGCATGGCGTGACTGGATGGTGATCGGTCTATTTGTCTGCTTCAAGGGAGCAATACACCAGAGTGATTGTAGAAAGAGCATTGTGGATGTTTCCTCTTTGTCATCTGTGCAAACCTGTGCTGCACCGGAAAATTGAAATGCAAGCTTCCAACAGGAATTTAATTCAAGACTAGTAGTGGTGAACAAGAACAGCCAGAAGTAGTACACAATCAAGGCGACGCAAGAACATTCTTAAAACCACATGTGCTTTGCTGATTCGACAGGTGAAAGTATGAGCTACGGAACGACATTTTTGTTGTTGTGCCTCAAATGATTTATGTTGTGTAGAGATAGAATTAGTCTCATGTTGATGACCTTGTCGTTACAGTGTGTAGAAACTATACATGTGATTAGCTAGTTGGTACTGGTTCTCGTGGTATCTTGAACTGCATCAGAGAATGAATGTTTCGTACTAGTAGGCGAAGACTACTTGTTGGCAGCTTGCAGGTTGGCAGGTGACCGGCACGCGTTGCAACGCGTGACAAGTGCACTGCTGGCAAGGTTCGTGTCACGACCACGATTACTGGGAACAATACTTCTCGCGCTGGGAAACTACATTTGCAGTCACGAACAACAAAAAAATCCAGTTTTTGATCGATCATCTTGCTCGGAGTTTTTTCTTTTTGAAGGTCTAATCCTCTTTCCGGAAAGATAGAAGATGGCGGCAGGTGAGAGCCAGAAGGGCGGCGTCGCGGCGCCTAAGCCCAAGGAGCAGGCGAACAAGAGCAAGAAAGACCAAAAAAAGGAGGAATTGAACGAGGAGGACCAGAAATTGAAGGAGGAGCTGGAGTTGCTCGTCTCGCGCGCTTGCGAAAAGGTGGATATCAAGGTGAATAAGGCGTCGCTGGACACGCTAGCGGACAAGCTGAAGACCGCTAGTAGCACAATGACATCAGTACCCAAGCCGCTGAAATTTCTGCGCCCTTCAATGGAGACCATGAAGAAATATTACGAAGCTGAAAAGACCGGTTTTTTGAAAAAGGATTTAGCCACCAAACAACTCTTCTCCGACATCTTATCGGTCCTCGCGGCCGTGAAGAGTCCACCAAAACCGAAGGTAGATCCGAAAAAAGCGAAAGAAGAGGAGGAAAAGAAGAAGGCAGAGGAAGCTGCAGGTTTCTCATCATTCCTTGTGAGTAATGATACAACATTTTCTCAGCACGGACTGTTGTTAGAAAACAAGGATTTTTCGCGAAACAAGGCCTTAATTTTTCCGATGTGCTTATCTGGTCTAAAAAAGCCATTTTTATGTTTTTTGATTTTCATCTCGGGCCTGGACGAACTTTGCCGGATAAAATTCCTAAAAAAAACCAGCTGCGGCAAAAGAGGCAGCTGGAAAAACGGACAAGCAAAAGGAGCAGGAGGAAGAAGAAGCAGCACAAAAAGCGAAAGAGGAAAAAAAGGAGGCAGCCTTTGTAGAAGAGCTTGACCCATATAAAGCCAACCGATCTCGAGAATGCTTGAGGTACTTAATATCTGCATTCACAATCAGATTCAGTTCATTATAATATGAAATAGCAAGCAGCAGGAAGCTGGTAATCGCTCAATTCACTGTCGTCATCTTTCCCCAAACCAACTCGGTCTATTTCTCTACAACTAGGTATCGCTTGGAGGGTACTCCAGGTGAGACTTTCGTTACTTGGGGACACGAATATGTCCGCCACCTCGCAGGTGAGCTTATGTACGCTTACAATGCCATTACCGAGGGCGAGGAGGACCCTATGGAAATCGAAGGAGAAGGTACTCATTGCATTATGAAATTGAAAAAGGATTCAGCAACTTTTTCTGATGACCATAAGTCCATGCGCGATTCTGTTTTACGACAAGAAGTAAGACAAGAACAAAATATATTTTTCATTGTCCCGCAACTCTGAGTTCAAGGTTGTAGTCCTGATCAACAACCGACTGTTTACAATTTTTTGGCTAACACAGCAATTATGATTTGTACACCAGTCACCATCCCTGAAGGTTAAGGAAATACTTAAGTTAGATCCTTAATTACTCACTATTATCACTCAGAAGCGGTTGAGGAGAGCTACAAGCCACCAGTTCCGGACCTCCTAAAGCTGGTTTCGATTATTGTACCGTTCCAAATTAAACATGCCGAGGAGACGATGGCTATCGATATGCTTTTCGAAGTTGGTCAGGTCGAAAAATTGCCCGATCTCATCGACAGCAGCACGTATTTTGAAAACTACTTACACCTTTCGTTGACTGTTCGTTGTGGAAAAGCACTCAATTATTCACTCTGGTTTGTTTTAATGAAGCTTTTAACACCTGCACCCGATAGATACAGTCCTTGCAGAATCAATGGAACAAGTTAAGTACGACCCTTCGGGCTCAGAAAAAGAACTCCTTCTCTCAATCATTTCAACTTCAGATGTCATCGTGTATGCCTTTATCTTATGGCTTCGTCTGTGTACGCGGGAAATGCAGAGGACACTGCAAAGCTACAAAGAATAGTCTTTGACATAAACATGAAATTCAAGCGCTATCCGGAAGCACAGAGGGTGGCGCTGAAAATGAAAAGTCACGAACTCGTAGAAAAAGTCTTCGAAGCGTGTGACAGCTTGCCAACGAAGATACAAATGGGTATCGATTTGCCATGCTTTATCTTGTGACGCGAAAAATTTTGTCTATGATGATGATAGTAAAAATGTTTCCAGCAAGGGCCTTATCCTTATTCTATGTGCTCTACTTAGGATTTGTTATTGTCCTTGTTTTCTCTTTCTCCTATGATTCAGGTGGAATGCAAATGCACAATTCGTATCAACAACAACTCCAGGTTACGTCTTGCGGCAGCACAGATACAATTATCCACAAGCGGACGAAGCAGGTTGGGATGACAAAGTAATGGAAGCCTACAGTGGCGAGAACTGGATGAAAAAATATTACAAGCATCTGGCAAAGGAACTTGACGTACTTCTACACTGCTGCATTATCGCTCTAAATTGAACTATGAACTGATATTGATGTTTAATGTTTATTGTCGTCTAGAAGTGGTTGCTCGTTGTATTTTCGAAGCACCTCTGCAATTTAAGGGGAAAATAAAAATCTCACTTTTCCAACATCAGGACTCAATGTCTGCAACATTTGTTCGCGGTTATTGCCAGAATAGATATCAACTTTCAAAATGTCAGGTACTTGAGCCGAAATTGCCAGAGGATATCTACAAGTCACATCTAGAAGAAAAGAAGACCCAAGTGGTCCTCGATAGTGCGAAGCAGAACTTGGCGTCGACATATGTCAATGCTTTTGTGAATGCAGGCATGGGCAAGGATAAGTTGATGTTATGGAAGAAGACTGATATATGTAACTAGATAGAAGTGTTTCATACGAAGAATATTTTGTTGTGCTTGCGCAGCATCGATCTTTGATGTGAATTAATACCTGTATTGGCTACGAAATATGTCCTCTCATCTAGTACTAAAACTTGATAAAGCCAAGCCACTATAATTCAATCTTCCTCTAATCCTCACCGTTGGCGAAGTGTGGCTGTACAAGAACAAGGAACACGGAATGATGGCTGCTGCAGCGTCAAGGTCTCTGATTAGCCTCTGGGATACTGAGGTACTCGACGAGGTTGATAAATACCAGTATGCTTCCGAGGAGTGGATCAAAGCAGGATACTTTTTGTCTCTTGGAATCGCGCTATCCAACTGTAAATCAGAGACCGATCCTGTGTGGGCGTTATTGCAGGACACCGTGGAAAAGTAGTTTTTTGATTGATTAATTTTGGTTCATCTCCGAAATCTTTTTTATTAAGAAGCAAGGTAAGGAATTTTGTTTTTTCGATTTTTCTAGTGTTGTGTTGTCCAACGACTTGTTTGCGTACATGAACATTTGATATTTCCTTTTCTCTGGCTAATACGATCAATTTCTTCATGATCATCTCAAAACAGTGGTTCCCAGAAGGAGAAGATTGCGGCAATTATGAGCTTGGGATTTGCCTACGCTGCGACAGAACACGAGGAAATTGTGGAGAATTTAACGCCACTTATAGTCGACGTCGACGCGCCAATAGAGTACTTCTGCTGATAAATATTTCTAGAATACAAGTGCTTGATCCCCTCTTGGACCACAAGGAGGACACCCGCTTAGTGAGTATAACATGTCGTTCCCGAATACGTTTTTAAATGAACAATTTCGCATAAGATGCTCAACCAGTTTGTCTACCCCACTTTCCATCTTACCTAAACAGATTATCCGCCGTATGCGCGTTATCAGTGGGAATGGTCAAGATGGGGACTGGAGATGGCGATATTTGCGGCGCTATCGTTGCAGCTCTGGAGGAACGCATGAAGCTCACTGGTGCTCTGGACAGCAGTGTTGCAACACTCTTCCCAATCGCATTAGGCCTTATCATGTGTGGTCGCGGCGACAGGAGTGTCGATGACTATAAGCTTGATACACTGGTAATTTTTACTTGCATTTCGGACTTCTAATAAGTTCTTCTGCTGGTGTAACTGGTAACATTTATTTGAACTGCACTAAGAAAACGTCGTCAAGAACAGAAGAAGTGCACATTGTGTCTCTCGTTGAGCAAAATGATGTATAATCATGGACTTCGAATAAACATCTAAGTATGTATGTGCCTTTTTTCAGTTCGAGCAGTTGAAGCAAATTACGCATCCGTTGGGAGCGTTCGCGACAAACTTGATTACCGGTTTTGCTTTTGCGGGGTCTGGCGATGTGCTGCAAGTTCAGAAGATGATGCAAGTTGCAGGTGAACACAATAAGCATAACAAGGACCCAGAGCCCGCTGCTGCACCGGAAGCAGCAGCTGGCGGTGCTGGCGCGGACGCGGCTGGTGGCGCGTCATCGTCGTCCGGCGGCGAGGCAGGCGCAAATCCAGCCGCGTCCAAGGACGACACCGCGAGTCCGGCTGGAGGCGCAGCTCTTCTGAGTATCGCTGCAGTCGCATTTTCGGACGACCTCTCAAGGGACATGTGCATGCGCATGGTGGAGCATATTCTGCAGTACGGCAACTTGCAGTTGCGGCGAACAGTCCCGCTCGCTATTGGGCTCCTTTTTGTTAGTAACGCGAAACAACAGGCTATCGACCTGTTGAGCAAACTTTCACACGACGCGGACACAGAGGTTGCTACTGCAGCTATCGTGGGCATGGGTATCATGGGTGCAGGTACGAACCACGCGAAAATAGCTGGCCTCCTCCGACAATTAGCGGCTTACTACTGCAAGGACGCCAACATTCTGTTCATGGTGCGCATCTCACAAGGGCTTCTGTACATGGGCAAGGGCTTGATGACGCTGTCCCCCGTCCATTCAGACAGGTTACTGGTCAACAACGTGGGCATGGGATCGCTTCTAGCGGTCATGGCAGTGATGCTCAACGCCAACTCACTCTTCTTCACGCACAACATGCACTACCTCCTGTACTACTGTTTTCTTTGACTTGTGATAAAAAATTGCTCTATGAAATAGCCTACCAAATCTGGTTTTTGACCTAAGTAGACGAAAGATCAAGATTTTATCATTCCTGATTTTTCGGTGTATTTTCTTGAAATTGACAAAGCGGATTTTTTTTTGAAGTACGTACTTTACCTCTTCAGGTACCTTGTCGTCCCGTGCTTGGCACCGCGCATGCTGATTTGTGTAGACGAGGAGGGAGAGGTTGTTCCGGTTACAGTGCGCGTAGGTGCGGCTGTGGATGTAGTCGGACAGGTCGGAAACCCTAAGACGATTACTGGTTTCCAGACACACACAACACCAGTGCTCATGCAGACTGGTGAGCGTGCGGAGCTAGCAACCGACGAATACGTTGCAGAAACCTTTGTTCTCGATGGTGTTGTGGTTGTGAGAAAGAATCCGGCATATAAGAAAGACACTGCGTAAGTAGGTTGTCTTCCTGATCCATCGCGATTCCGGGGACCTCCAATTCCAACATCCTTTGCTCTACCCGACGATTCCCCTGTGTATTAGAAATGAATCCGGTCATCAGTTCGAGTATTCACCTGCAGCTGCAGGCACGACCTTTTCGGGGTTACGGAGCCCGAAGCTGTTGGTGTACAGGCATGTTGGCATCAACTTGAGGCCAACTACAACAATCCAGTTTTTCAAGGATGCCATATCCATCTGTGTCCCACGTTGATCGATATTTCGTTTACATCCAACAGAAGAGTTATTCTTGAAGCAATCACGTTTACGTTATTTTCAGATCAACGCATATTTTTAATTTTAGGTAGTTAGTTTTCAATTACTAGAAGTCGACGACACGTAATCTTGAGGGAACAAGAATATGGCTACCCAAAAGACCCGGACATGAATCCTTCCTCCCCTTCACCCAGAATACCTTGTTAACTACCTTCTCTGTGTACGACGTGTGAGCTGGAAAATCGCGATTGCTCGACTCAAGCGACATCGAAACTACAAAGTCCCAGAATGCCAATCTGGGCGCGAACACTATGGCTGAGACGGAGACGGCTTTCCGTTCTTCCTTTCTGATTCGCGAAGGTTAGCAGCAGATGAAAAGGGGAAGAAAATATTCTGACATGTCGTAGTTTGATATCAATTGCTTGGTGCGTGGGCCGTGGTGCCATCCTACCGAATCTGTACAGTTCCAGTCATCGCGTGGTTGATTGGGAGTGCGTACTAGGAATTGACATCTGCGCATGTGCATCTGTGCATGTACTTTTCATGGTGGGCATGAGAGACAAATCCGAGAACAAGTAGAGGCATTAGGCTAGTTTGAAGATGTGGAGGGCCGGCTGAGATCCGAAATTTGGACTAACCTGAGTGAGCAAGCTTTCCTCTAAATTAGCACGCAAGTGATATATAGGATGACTTCAACTCTACGGCGATTGGCATTGAGTATGTGACGTCTAATACGTTTTCTGGAAATGGTGTCGTTGAATAGAATTGTGAAAGCCAAATCAATGCGATAGGACCAGACCTATTTGGTCACTTACTCAACCCGCTGCTTTTTTACTTATAAATACGTGATTGAGTGTGCTGGTGTATCTAGATGCTCTTGTTTTACAACGTAGTTCTTCTCCTTTTTCGTCGACCAGCTTCGTAGAATAGTAAAAAATGGCCTCGGTTGAAGACCGGATAAAGGACTTGCCGCGAGAAAAATTGGAAAGTTTATTCCACAAGTCTCTAGAAAAATGTCGAGACGTGGAGGCGCGCCTGCAACAGCTTCGTACGGAACAAGAGGGGGCCAAGAAGCGGGAAGGAGACGAGGAGGAAAGCGGTGCTACAATACCTGAAGCTAGTCCATCTGCCGGTATCGAAGAAGCAGGGGCGGAAATAGAAAAAGAGGTTCACGATGATGCTAGGGTCTTCTTGGCGAAATGAATTTGCACTAAAATACTTGTAGATTCTAGTCTGTCTTGATCTTATGCAAGAATCCTAGACGAGGGCATGATCGACAATCTTCTATTGTTGAAACTGTTTTGCCCCGCTATTAGGCTAGTAGTACTAAATGGGACATAATGAGGATCAAGAAAGAATAGTAAGAGTTTTTCGTTCTTCTATCTTTCTCTGTGTCTCACCCAGACAGCCGCTTTGCAGGAAGAGGCTAAAAAGGAGATAGCACAGTATAGGCATGCTTCGGCGTCGGAGCTTGAAGAGTTGCAGCGAGAGCATGACCAGGCAAACGCGGCGCGAGAACGCGAACTGGAGGAGGAATCGCGCGTCGCGGAGGCGCGTCTGGAGGAATTGCGGGCTGAGGAGAAGCGGGTAGATGAGGAGAGAGATGATGCTGAAACGCTAGAAGATTGCGTACCAGCCGCGGGGCCGCCGCTCTCTGCTGCGGAGGTAGAGGCTGCGGTAGCGGATTCACCGGAGTTGCGTGAGCTCGTCTCCACCGCGCGCGCCGGTGCACGTGAGGAGGCAGAGGCAGTGCGTGCGATCGCCGCGCAGGATCGAGGGCAGCGAGAGCGGCAACAACGTGCGGCAAGCGTTGCTGCTGCCGAAGCCGATGCGCGGGAAGAAGTAGCGAAGCGAAAGCAGGAGGTCGCGACACGGCGCGAACGACTGGCAACTCTTGCATCGGTGCTTGAGGAAGCCGCTGCGGCTGCTTCAAAGTATGCAACTACTGGCAACCAAGACGAGAATGAATCAAACTGTCCAGTTGTGGAAGTATCGCTAGACGATACTGTGGTGAAGCAGCTCGAAGCGCATAAGCAGGAAGTGCTCTCTGACGTTAAAAGGGTGCAGACCCGCAAGAAACAGGTTGTGGAAGGGAAAGCTCAGAATGCAGTAAAAAAACAGATGAGACAGGAGGAGGCAAAGGAGCGACAGCGCATTTTCACATCACGACTCAGCACAGCGAAGCGAAAGGTTGGGCTCTTGCAGGAAATTGCCGCGCGACACGATGTTGCGCAAGAAGAGCACAGGCTTCGGGATGCTCTTGCAAAACTAGAGAAGCGTAGGTCGGAAGGCTGCCAGAAGCTATCTGAGGCATTGGCGGCCGTATATCGCGACAGCAGTAAGTTTTCGGAAAATCAGGTAACGACGCTAGTGCAGAACTTGGAGCGTCTTTGCACGCAAGCAGCTGGTACAAATACTCTTAGTAGGATGCCAATGTTGACCTTTGAAAATTGTAGATGGATGCACCGCCGTACCAGTAGAGTCTGATAACTGTGTCATCTATAACTGAGTCGAAAATTATCTCAACGCACGAAAGCTAGGCGGTGGCGTAACTACTGGGCAGCTGTTGGAATCACTGGAGTCCGGAGCCGCGGCGGTGTTACACAGAGGCCTCGACGATCGCCGCGAGCGAGTACGCGCGCTTGGCATTACAACTAAAGGACTGCAAGCGCAACTCGCGGATGCACGAGCCGAAGGAAAGGCCGTAGTCTCAGAACTGACTGAGGGAAAGCGTGATGCATTTCAAGCTTCGAAGAGTACACTGAGGCAGCTCAAGGCAGAGGTCGACTCTCTGGCAAAGGAGATTCGCAAGGAAACCGAAAATGGTATGAGATTATGTGATTAAGCAGTTAGAGATGAGGAGCATTTTTAGCTTTTATTGCAATGAAAGATTTTTTTTTGTTCCATCTTGGAGATCAGCAGGAGCCATGATGGCATCCAGTCGAGAAATTTTTTCACAATTATTCAGGCAAGAAAGAGGGCGAAAAACTAGGAAAGTACCGGCAAGTGATCGAGCAAGCGCGCCAGAAGTTGCATAGCAACGAGAAGAAAGTTGCCGGATTGCGTACCCAATTGAGAAATCGGCAAGAAGAACACGTAGAGTTGCAGAACGAGCTGGATCAGATGAAAAAGGCAGAAGCCGCTTTCGGCCAAGGTTGTGATGTGCAAGTGCTGGCTGCTGTAGAGGTGCCAAATTTTGTTTCAGCAGGAGGTTCTTCTGTTTCAGCTGGGTCTGCACCTCCAGCAGGTGGTGCTAGTGCTGCAACATTCAATAGTACGAAGGACCACGACCACGGATACGTAGGAAGAGCAGTGTCATCTTCAAACACAACTACGTGGTGCTTGCTCAAGGAGCCTCCCTGCGGTGGCGCGAAAAGGAAGCACGGAAAAGTGTGGTGGACACGAGAACAACTAGCCGAAGTCACATCAAGTACCGCGGTCTTCCCAGATTCTCTCCAAGAGCAGTTCCGCGCTTGCCTCAGCAGCCACAAAGCTGCTCTCACTCGGTCGGAGGAAGCCCTGAGCGAGCGGCAGCGCTTTTTAGATAGTTTAGTTGGGGAATACGAGAAGTATCGGAAGAAAGCAGAGACCGTGGCACGGTTACAAGACAGAAACGGAAGCCCGGTGGAAAAAGACACGTTAGAGCGTCTGCAACAAGAAAACCAAGATTACGAGAAGGATGCTCATTTACAGAATCCAGATCAAAAATAATATGGTAGAAGTATGTATCGAACGGAAAAAAATCCTCATCCTCAGATCTTGCTGCAATTAAAAAAAATATACCCAAGCGGAAACTCCGCAGAATAGGTGTGGCGATAAGCAGCGAGCTCGAAAGCGCATCATCACGCCCGTCCGCTTGGGCTGTTGGCGTGTGGAGGCCGCCGGTGGTGGGCTAGAATGTGACGAGAAGCCAGACGCACCCAAGGGGCTGGCCTGGCCAGTCTCTCGAGGTCGTCCTCTGAACAAGATGGCTGCAGGCTCACCTTCGGCGCCTTTCCGCGTGTTGACACGCGGGAGAGGGGTCGCGCGGTGGCCCTGAGAGGCTGCACCACAAGGGGGGCAGCCAAAGCATAGGCCGCGGATGGCGCCCGCCGGTTTGTGGCGCAGCGTAGCCGCGGCAGAACAGTGGCGGGGGGGCGCGCTGCGGCTGCAAGGTTCTGTCCTTTGCGTTGGTCGGTGGGTGTCATGCAAAGCCTGAGGACTTTTTTCAGATCGCTCCAAGATGCGCGACATAAAAGTGCCTTTTTGTGGCACATTTGTTGGAGATTCGCGGAGCCCTCCTCTGAGGCGTAGACCCACTAGGTTCCGCGAAAACCCCTCAGATTTTGTGCGCCAAAAAGGTCCCACGCTAGGACACAAAGAAAAAAGTTATCTGACCCCTTGACCTTTCTCTTTTTGATCATTTCTTCAGAAAATCCGCTGGCGGCGATCGCCAAGACGCCATGGCCTCCAGATGAGTAAACCTTGAAGCGCCAACAGTGAGGACGGCGGCGGGCGTTTGTTGTTCCATGTCGTGCCGAGGAGGGAAGGAGGGATGGCTGGGTCGAGTCGACCCGGATCGGGCGAAGGCGTTTTCCACCGTAGTGCCCGACCGTGGGGCCCACGGCATGAACGGAGTGGCCCCGCAGGCTTTGACGCGCAGCAGACGGCGCGCCGGCCTGCTGCGGTGCCTTTCGTGTGCTCGCTTTCCTTGGCCTTGTGCCTTAAGGCAGCCAGGGAGCCTTTTCCAGCGAGCTGCAGAGGCGACGGCTTCGCCGTTCGCTGGCTCAATAGCCCGGCTACCTGGTGACCGCCTTGCGCTATCTAGCTTCCTCACGTGGCAGTAATATATATAATTCGCAGCAACAGGATCTGAGGACGTGGATACTTTTTCCTTTGGCGGTACGTCCTCCTTTCACGAGGATGAAGGATCATGAAGTGTGCCACGTCCTTATCCATGTCACACTAAACCTAAAACAAGTACTTAACTCAAAGCATGTTAGAGTCGTACCACTGGGTAGTCGTTGATATTGCAAAAACTTTCATACTTCGGTGCGTGCACAAGTTTCTGCGGTTTCGACAGAAATCCGAGGGCTCCAGCAGAGCAACGGGCAACATCATGCGAAGGTCCTGGCTTTGCGTAGCGACATTTTGCGTATTTGCGACTCGTTGGCCCAGAAAAGTTCGCAGAGGGGCAGCTTCGAGAAAAAACTTGTGCGCTTGAGGGCAGAGGTCTCGGAAAAGGACGAAGAAAGAGAGCTCTTAACGCGTTTCGCGGATGAGGGACGGAAAAAAGCTCTCGACCAGGAGGTTGACATCTTGCGAACCCTAGAGAAAAACTTGCAGATGGAATGCAAAACTTTGAAAAGCAGGCTAGAAGCAGCGACGGCGCCGAATCGAAGTGGGGAAGGTGGGAACTGATAGATACTGTTTTCTGTTGAATAGTAAGTGGAGGTCCTGCGTGCTGCACATACGGAGTATCTTGGTGGATCATGACGGATATTCCCAGATCGATGTGGCAAGATCACTCTTCAATGCGTAACTACGCCTAATCAACAAGTGACAATCGGTCAACCATCAAATCCAACCTTTTTACCATACGAATGTACCCCTATATTTTTCCTAACCAACCACAGCCGACGATCGGGCAGGAAATACTGTGCCGCAAGTACTAGATGCAGACGTCGGGGCCACAGCTGGTTCAGCTTCTGCAACATCGGATGTCGGGACTCCTCGAGACAGATCTGCTAGTACAGATACGCCGCCTGCAGGACCAGACGACGAGGGGCGTGCGCCTTCGGCAGCTTTTACGCACTTGTCTGACACTTGACTAGAAAAATTTTAGGTATTAGATCGTGATTAGAACCGGGACAGTTGATAAATGGGGCTCTAGCTCGTAGATGTTGAAGGCGCGCATTGTCGCATACATTTCCATTGATGGAGAAATGCCTCACACCTTTCATACATCGGAGCGAGGTGATGGAATTGCGATCCTTGCTGCGGCAATACGAACAAGCAGTTGAGCAAGAGGAGCGAGACGAGGAGCTTTTACGGCAGCAGAACGAGCACATCCTCGCGCAGCTGCAAGATATCTACGCCTGCTGCAACCTGAAAGGGAACATGGGCCAACGCGTGCAGCTCGAATACATCCGAAATTATGAAACGTCTTTGTTGTCACGTGAAAGTAACAGTCAAACAAAAGCTCCGTCATCAAAGGTTGTTGATATTTATTCATTCTTAAGCTTGCCTGCTCCTATTTTTCTGGATGATCTTCTAACTCTGTGTTTTTCGGCAGGTCCTTAGCGAGGAGGCAGCGCACACAGGGGAGCACGAGCAGTGTGTCGCTGTCTTGCTCGAATTTCTTGAGTTTGATATCCGCGAACAGGACCAAATACGGAAGAAGAGGCAGGCAGCGGCAGCCTCGCCATTTGTTGCGCCTACGAAGGCCATGACTGCTCTGGGAAGTCGATTCCTGGAATCCTTCTCAGCGACAACAAATTCATGGCTCTGGTCATGATACGCAGAGTGAGTTGCCGGTGTATGTGTTTGCGTATGGACTTGTACATGTACCATTTCCATTTCGACGAGTGCAAGATAATCATGAAAAGGAAATCAACCATGGCTGCTTGCTTGCTTCCCGATTTTGACTTTTGGCGAGTCGGACTTTGTGACGTTGTTTGCTTGCTTTAGTGACATCAATTATTCCCTGAAGATTCCTTTGTGCAACAATTGATATTCCCTGCTCTGAATGATCAAACTATGTGATCACCGAAGACTGTGTACTCCTCCTGAGCTTTCTATCATGGTAGGCGACAGCGCTGCTCTTGCTTGCTCGCAGTGCAGATGTGAATGTGGTGCGTGGAGACCAACACTGAGAATGCCATAGGCGCATGTGTTCGAACGCGAACTACGAGCCATCTTCTGTGATTTTGTTTATTTTTTTTGGCCACGTCGGTCGCAGCAACGTTCCTGCATCCTAGTATAAGTAAGTAGAATAAAGATGAACAGCCTACCAGTACTACGAGGGAAAACAGACGCGGCTTGACCCATGCTGCAGCAGAAAAGAAGGATGCGTAAAGCCAAACAGTTCATGGATGTGGTTCACCAGGACATAGACACGACAATCCTCAGTCGGTCCGACAACAAGGCAGAGTAAAAATAGCACAGTACTAGTACTTAGGAATTTGAGGTATCTCCTTCTCTAGTCTAGACTAGGACTAGGCGAGCTACAATGGGCTCCAGCTTTCATAGAGATCTGGGAGTGCTTGCTCAGTTAATGACGTTCTCGATACCTGAAAGATCACCGATTGCTTATTGATTCAGTGTTTTACTAAAGATTTTATACACGAGGACCAGAAACAACACAGAGAAACCGTTGTTTAAACCGGAGTTGAAAAATGGCGTCCTCTGCCCCCCCTAAGCCCGTGGGGGGGAAAAATTCCACGGATGGTGCCATGATGAAGTTGCGGTCCAATCTAACAGGTGCCAAGGAATCAAGGAAAAGGGCGGAGCTCGATGCGCAACTCCTTGCAAATCGTACAACGAACTGCATGTTCAAACTACAATATGCATCTCTAAGCCGCTCTAAGTACTACTACTCTAACGTAACCGTAACATGAGTAGACTCTAAACGACATAACTTATCGATACAACTAGCCTTTTTCGCAGGTAGAGTTGATTATCCACGACCTGTCCTTCTTGTAATGAAGGTAATTCCATATTGTTAAATTTCTATGGCCTTTTTTTTGAATTTCTTTGTGCAGGAATTGCGCTTTTGAAGCAGGAGGAGGAGAAAGCATGGAAGAAAATCGACGAGACAAGAAAGCGAGCAGGGGAGATAGTAGGCTTGCGAACAGTGAATGAAGGTGATCACATAAAGCTCCTGTGTCCTCCGTATGTTGACTAGTTTTTTCCTGGCTTTGTTTTGCCGTCGTAGTTTTTGTTTTCTAACTACTACGATTTGTTCTTTTGGATTGATGATCTACTATACCTAAATAATGCCTCCATCATGACCCGAATTAGATCATTGCCACTTCAGGTAAATTCATGGCAAAAGAGGATTTTTACAAGGGGAAATGGGAAGGAATACGGCAGGCACAAGCACAGAACGCTTATAATCGAGACAAAGCTAGAGCAGCAAGAGATCAAACTAAGCATGGCATGCTCGAACAGAAAAAGAGCTCCGTGAATAGTGTCAAAGCGCATAGTCAGGTACCTGTCTGCACTATTTTTGATCCCCTCCTACTCCTTTGATTCTTTCAAGTGAAGAAGTGATGGTGGCAAAAAAAACGAAATTCACCAATTGATCTTTTTGAGAACGAGTATGCAATCAAAACTACTTAAAGTAAAGAACCACTGGCGAACCTACACCCAATGCCAGAACAATCTGATGCAGAAGAAGGAGAGGCAAGCACTAGAGCAGCAGATGAACGCAGAACGATCTGAACTTATTCGTAGACAGAAGGCTGAAGCCAAGGCAAAACTAGAGCGGGAGCAAGAGGAAAGATTGCAGAAGTGAGCTTTTTTAGTTCTTGTGAATTCAGTCAATTTGATTACGTTTCACTTGTGATGCTGTGATAGTAGCAAAAAATTTGTACTCGTTCAGTAGTGCTCTGTTCACCAGGCATCTTGCTGTCTCTCTCATTTGCAGAGGCTCTAAGACCACGACGTGTTGTAGTCGCGCACACAATAACTTGTTCATATTCTATTAAGGTTCCGTGCGGATTACGAGAATCGTGTTGCGCAGGAAGAAATGCTGAGGTGCAGGACTGAGGCTTTAGTGGCACAGATGGAGAAAGAGGAGATGGAGCTTATTCAGCGGCTACAGAACACGCAAACTGTTCAGCGCAGAGCATATGACGTAATTTGTTTGTGATGACTCTCCTTTTGATACTCAAGATGCAATCCATTGCTACAATATACTCATGCTATACATTGAAGAATTTGTAGGGGTAGTCTTGGGCTTTCATCGATTCTCAAATATCTTCAGGAGCTGGAGAGTGCCCTCGGCGCGACAACGAATAAGTCAGCGCCTCCTGCACTGGAGTCGATACCGTCGGGCAAGCATGACTAGTTCAGCAGCGCAGATATTAGTACCTGGGGGCAACAAAAGGGAACCGATAAAAGGCGTCCCCGTTGCTGATATCTTCTTGATGTGTTTTGAATATCTCTCCTATTAAGCATTTGCTTGTTTTACTCGTCATTGTGGAAACGAATATCATATCTCCTGGATAAAAAGAAAGCGACCGCTTACTCTGGTCAGCGAAAGCAACATTGTTAAGCCTAATTCAAAGCCAAATTTGTTGATACACCAACATCACAAGCATTATGTGAGCCTCAAGTATGTGAAAAGTGCATGGGGAGGCTTGTTGTATGCGGTTCAAGGGGAGTGCCATCGTCCTTATGTGGGAGCTCTCACGAAGGCGAATGACAGATTGTTCTGCACAGGGTGCTTCTCCTTGATACAATAAGAGAAATTGAGTCATACATATACAGGATAGGGAATACTTCGCCAGCAACAACATCCACCATTCTGTCATCGCGATTTCATTCATTTTTTGACATCTCTCTGTATCCACTGAATATGATGATCATCTCTACAACCTTGTTCATTATCACTCATCTTCCGCGCCCCTAGATGTCCCGGTTCGCGCGCCGGGCAAAAGAACAAGGGCAAACAAGAAAGTCAAGCTGATGAAATACCTCAGTTTGCCGAGTGGTGATCATTTAAGCAGCGATGGAAACTGTATATTGAGGCAAGGAAGTAAGAACTTCGTGGCAGAGAGTTTTTCTAAAAGACGCTATTTACCCTCGCTTGTGAGTATAGAGTAATCACACGAGGAAACGGCGCAAGGACGCCGCAGGACATTGCCATATTTCCTCGCATCTCTTTCGGGAACCATGGAATATTTCCACCGGACACGACTGTTTGGCAATTAGTAGAAGTATACGTTGAAAAATCAGTTCCTACCGATGTGCCTCGTCTTCATCGGTCCTGTCAATTCGTCTGAGTCTCTTCTTAATAATGTGTCCATCACTTTTGCTTTTCGGCCATGGTCTCTCGCGTCTCCCTCGCTTCTGTTTTGTCTGTTCCTTTTGATCGAATACAGAGTACAAGGTCCTCGGAATCAGCCTTAATTTTTCGGTATCGGGAGGCTCGGTAATGGATCTGATGAGACAAGCAATATCTTAGCTTTGTCAAAAATCAACTAATTGATTCAGATTAAAATCCAGTTCTTTGTCCCCATCGCGATCGCCCTAAATAATTTTGTAATAGACAAGAAATGATGAAGAACATTATCTATCAAGAAAATGTCCCCGCGCGGCCTTTCCACTTTGAATAATCCGTAATTCGTCGTTCTATATGTGATGCCAGTATAAAAACTGGGAACAAAGATGAGCATGATGTTGCGATTCCATCGTTGGCCCGAAACGTCGGCATTTTTCTCACTTGTCGTCCTGGCGTTCTTGTCTCTGCTTCACCCTGCGTCAGGATGTTACCCTGGTCAGGTCGTCGAAGCCATTTGGCCAGGGCCAGGGGTCAGTGGGCAGGAGGACGTTGAGGTCTGGCTGCCAGTTACCGTCTGGGATGATCTTTACGACGAGGATGGCACAGAACGCCTGCAAATCAAGTGGCACTTCTCGAATACTGTATGCGAAACACCCGGACGCAAAAATTTTTGCAAAATCGAGTACACCAAGGTACTTCTGAAGAATTAATTGAAATTAACTTTTGAACTAAGGTACTTCTCTAAGTACTCAAATCGAAAAAAATGCAAATAAAGTTTTTGTTTAGTAGTATCTATGTGATAGGCCTAGGCGTAGACCATAGATCTAGACGTCGCGTGAGTTGAAAATAACGAAAGCGCCTACAAAATGCATGACTTCAAAAACAGATCCGTCCACAGGGAACGTTGGACGGCTCCACATGCTGGAGCGAGCTTCAGGTATGGCGCACCGAAGAGGCTGCCAAGGCAGACCCGATCATCGATCCAGTGAGTCTGGTGAATCCACGCAATGGTCCGCCTGAGGCTGTAGACGCGGGGGACAGCTCACCCGCCGCCGCTTGGATCGGGCTAATGATTATCGGTGTTGGAGGTTCGGCCCTTATCATCGGCTATTTTCTGTGGCGATGGGCCCGGGATGTAGCCGCGGATCAGTACGACGGGAGCATTTTGGGCATGCTGCGAGGGTTGGTGACCGCAGGTGATTCGGAGTACTTTGCCCAGCCACACCGCCGAAGTCTGGACCAGATCCAAGCCGATTTGCGGAAGGAGCACGCGGAGCGGTATGCCCCGCGCGAGAGCTTCGGGACTTGGCTTGGGAATCGGCCAGCCATCGTGCCAACGACCCACCCTTTGAGCGAATTTGCGCAACGCTATTTGCCAAGGGAGCAGCCGCCGAAAAGGATTTTGTCGGATGAAGCGCAGCGCAAGATGCGCCGTGACGAGCACACGAAAGCGTACGACGAGCGCATGCGTACATTGGCGAAAACATGCTTCGTCAATTTATGACAGAGACTTCATCGGTCAGTGAGAATTGTCTTTGACATCGAAGAGGAGCCATACTGAGAGAACAGGAGAAAAGTAACACTAAGGGAAAAGGTGAGAGCTTTGTGTAGGGTTTTCTCCCTTCAGAATCAGTAACCAGTGGATTTTGAGCTTTAATTAATACTGCGGTACGAGGAGCGCCGAATTTTGCGTTTGGTGGTTTGCGCGCTACGCCTGCGACGAGCGCGGCAGAGCACGAGACGAAAGCGAGGCTGAAAGGCGTCGGTGTGTATGCGCGTCCTGTCATTATGGCTCTTACTATCTAATTCACCTTTGACTTCTGCACCCGTGAAAAGTATGGGGAGTGTCATTAATTTCCCTGTGAATAAACTCTTCATATAGGATGGATGCAGTTTAAATATGATGAATTTCGGAGAGTTCTAATGTCATAGTGCGAGAAAGGGGAGTACACATCCCACAAGCCGACTACTACAACACGCCAGAGGGCCGCCGAATGAGGCAAATATCTGTGAAAAGGGCCTATGAGTTACCACCTCCGACGAGAGGCTCGGTGGAGGTGGCTGGAGGCGGAGATCGCGGATTTGGAAGTCCAAATTATGCGTGGTCATTCACACAACATTCATCTTTCTGGTTTCGAATTTCCATTTATCCTTTAGCATTTATCGTAAAGCAAATACTAATAGTATAAGTAGATCGACTAGTAATCCCACATGGCGATTGCTCTAAGGATCGTCCATGAGGCAAACGAGCGCAGTGGCGCCATCCATGGTTGGACGTCCTGGGGAACCAAGAGGGCCGCCAGCAATCCCGGAGGCGGATGAGGCCTGTTTCAGACCAGGACTGCAGACTCTGGTCGCAGGCATCGGAGCGAAGAGGTACTCGCGTGCCACTCGATACGGACAGAGGACGAACGTTGTGGCGCCAACAATGGAGGCTTTCCTCACTTCAGGACCGCCTGGACCGGCCGGGATGTGAAGACCTGAAGATCATCACAATGCATAGAAATACTGGCATCATAGATTGTTCTTGAAAAGTAAGTAGCTGTCCTATAGAAACATATGTGTGTTGTTTTTCCGCACAGCCAGTCTTCGTTCTCCTCTCCTTCAGAGGAATCAGCGGCAGATTGATTACCCTCATCCCCTTTTCAGGCTTTGCAATTCCACGGCCGTCCGAAAGGACACACTGTTGGAACTGTATCATCCCGCCGGTAGGCTAGGAGCACTACTACGGATGCGATTGAATGAAAGAAACAGAGAGTAGCTGTCCTGTAGAAACATAACGAAATCAGTCATAATCATCATAGACTTATGTACCTCGTCCCGCCTGATTCCCATCTAGTAATCTTTTTGCCCATCATGGTCGCTGCCACTCACAACGAGGACCTCGTATTCAAAAAATGTACAGAAACATATTTTCTGGTTCTCGTGACACAAGTCTGTACACGAAAGTGTTGGACAGTCTTCCTGAGGATATTACTTTTGGGCTTTTCATATTCATGTCATCGGCATTCTCATCCTGTATAGACTTTTGCTGAGTAGAAAATTCGTATAGACGATATGATATCCTGAGAACAATTGGAGCTGTCTAGAGACAAAATCTCCAAGGTGGTGCTTAATATCTATGGAAGAACGACGCGAGAGTGATTTATTGTTTGTTATAGCTAACAAGAAGTAAAAGTATGGCGAACTACTCCGTTATTCGGCTATCGAAGACCTCGCTACTTCCTTTTGTGTTCGAAATTGGGGAGGAAACTATGAGTTCATGCGGGAGAACCACCAAAACGGCGAAAAAAATGTTTGAACATGTCGAGGCCACTATCAATGTATGGTTGGTGGTTTCTTGTGAACAATGACAACATATTAAACGTGATAGGTGTTTTTCTAAGTAACTTGTCTAACTCTCACATCCTGGACGAAAAGTGTGTCTTTTCTGAACTTTCTTTGGAGCCCTCTAGCGACTGATGTTACAGCTACATCTGGATCATAGCCTTAGTTACTAGTTACCCAGTTACAATCTTTTCCTCTTCAAGAAAATGGCTTCCTCGTCATCGGCAACTTCTAGCACTAAGCGTAACTTCGCAGTTGCTTTTGAAGATGATGTGCAGGAAGGAGCGAAGGGAATTTGTGACAACTACGGTCAGGAGGATCCTTTTGGAGATGACGAGGATGGATGGAATCTTACGATTGACGATGAAGGAGATCTTGTCTTCGACGTAGCTTATTGCTGTTGGAACGGTGTCGAATACTATTCGAAAAACTGTTTAGAGGAGGAAGACAAAGGGGGAGAAATTCTTGGTGGTGAAGATGATGCTGCTGGTGGATCTGGAAGCACACGCATGGCGAGTACGAGTGTACTACAAAGAGGCACTTGTGCGTCGCAAGATAGTGAGATGAAGGCGTGCGAGATACAAGAGCAACGTCGTGGTGATGCTGAGCCTTCTAGTCAAGAAAAACCAGAGGCTAAAGTCGACGCTTCTAGGGAGTTGTTTGGCAGCGGTAAGCGTCTTGTCTTCAAGGACATGTTGTCAGAAGGTGTCTTCGGCGAAGACGATGTCCTCGGTGGCGACGAACTGGAAGGTAAGGGGACAACCGCTAGAAGTCTAGAAGCAGAAATTCTCTCACAACCACATCTAGAATCCTCTAGTACCATCACCTGTGTGGAAGGAACGGGAGTTTCAGCTGTTGGTCAGAGTATTGGTCAGAGTATTACGAGCAGCGCCATAAACGTAACGTCATTAAGCAAAGCTGAAGGTGGAGCTGAGATAAACGTGCTGAAAACGGAAGAGCAAAAAGTCTCCACATCACTACAGGGGGACGAAAAAAGCAGCTGCGCAACCGTTTCTACAGAAGCACGTAAGATCACTTCTAAGTCAGCTACCGCATCATCCCCAGAAAAGATAGAAGATCTTACCACAACGGTTTGCTCCAAAACTACTACTACGTGTGTTTCCGAACAGCTTCTGATTGAATCTTCATCTTCCTCCTGTGCCGCCTCCGCATCCGAAAGCAGTATGAAAAATGTTGGGTCTCCTGTAGTGATAAAGAGTTTTTCATCTCCTGGCGCTGGGCGAAGTGCTACGATTGCTGACCTGTTCCCCGAGGATGACCCTGAGGTCGTCGCTGTTGAGGAGCGCGGGCGACAGAAGGAACAGTTAGATCGCAAGGATTCAGCCATTATCTCACGTATAAAGACTTCGGAAGCTGCGAGGACACCGCTTCGTGACCACACGCCTCTGCGCGGTAGGTCAAGAGGAACGGCTGGTGCTCGCCGAGATGATGATACTGGCTTGATATTAGGTGCTGGTGGGCTCCCTTGCGGAGCAGCGCCTCCGCGTACGCCAGGTAGGAGGACGCCTGCTGGAACACCCAGTCGCACACCTGCAGTGAGTAAATCGGAGATTCGAAAGCGTCTGCAGCGGCACGGTTCTGCGGCGGAGCGGCTCCTAACACCTGCGCGGTCTCCGTCAGGTTTATTTGACGCCGAACCGGCATTGGACCGGGAGGTAATTGTTCGTAATAATTTCTTAGCTCAAAAAATATACTTCTATGGGATGTGATATCTAGCTCCGATTGCATTACCCATGCAACACCTCACATGTGTGATAAGACATAGGTTACTTGTCTCCGGATGAAGCATATGCTGAAGCTGAATTGGTTGTTTTTGAAAGCCGGCGAGGAGAATGCGGAATATCTGAAGTGCGGCTCCGCGCGAAAGGTGTGCACAGTCGATTACGATGAGGAAAATTTGTGCATAGAGGTCACCTTCGGTCCGCAGACAGCGCCGCGTCGAGCGGAGGCTGTGACGCCACTTCGCAGTGTCAGTTCTAGTGCCAAAATAACACCAGTAGAGCCTAATTGTACAGCTACTAGTCAGCAGCCACGAGCGGCTACCCCGCTTGCCAGTCATGGTGGTTCCGCCGCGGCGACGCCAGAACGACCGGGAGGGGTGCCGCAGACCCCCTATAACGGCCGTGCAGATCTGGTTCTCGTGATCATTTTCTTGGCTAGGCAGGACTACAGAATTTTCAGAGAAGCTATGGAGAGCAAGAAAAATCCGTTCAAGGACCCAAATTCGATCTACTACTTGCCACCAGAGCGATTCGAGGATGAGTTTTGGCGCCGCCAGGAGACACAGACCGCAAAGAGAAAGCGCAAGGGCATTTCGAGAGTGCTAGTTCGAGGCCACAGCAGAAAAGGCCACTATGTAGCGCCACACTATCGAAAGGTCCTCACAAATGAAAAGTACAAGAGCAAAAAGACCTGGGTCGATCTCTTCGAGTAAAACGAATTCCAATTCCTTGCTGATGTGCTAAGAGATGAAAGGACAACCACGCATATATCGATCCTCTTTCGAATTTCAGGGACATCTAGTTAATACGATGTATCAGAAAATGAGACTCCTTTGAAGAGATTGATTCTCACGCGTCGTTTCAGAGGACACTGACTAGGCAAGTCATACAACAAGCAGGCTCACGTAGTGGCTGTAACCGGCTTATCGGTGTTGCCCGCATGTGCCTGATGAAAATCTGAATGCTGTACAAAAAAAGGATCTACTGATCTTGTTCTTGATTACGTAGCAAGTATGGAATTGTAAGTCCGAGTCTCCTTCGAGCCCGGACGAAGACGGGCAGACGGTCTGGGTTCCCATTCCATTCCTGCCTTCCTGCCGTTCTACTGATCAAAAGTTTGATAGCAAGTCTTTCTCCTGCATGCGGATGTGTCACTGTGAGATACCGTCATGCTTTTTCTTCGAAACTCACGTCTCCTCACACGAAATTTTTCAGGTTGCTTTGATTTTTTGAAAATAGAATAAGGTTTCACATTTACGATTTTTTAATCAACATTGATTCAGAAAAGACTACGTACCTGGATTTCCTGTCTATTCATTGATTCTTCATCTACATATATAGTGAGTATTAAAAAAGTATTTTCTCTGTCACATTGTTAGATACATGTTCTATCAACAAGAATCGTTGTGCTCTGTTTTTTCTGCGTTTTGGATTTTCATTGTGCAGATTGCCAAGTACGGAGTTGTTTCATTCATGATTGTTGGTCGTTGAGCTTGAGTAAATTCGTATTGTTATCCGCTAAGTATTTTTTATGTTCTGTTCGTGGACGTCGACGTCGTTGGGTGCTATCCAGCTCATTTTGGCAAACTAGGGAGTGATTTATTATAGAAGATTGATGTCACGAAGCGAAAGCCGGCTTGTCAAAAAACGCGTTTGTGCTCTCTTGTTGTACCGCGCAGCGACGTCTTGTTGAATTCCTATACTCGGCAGTGGCACGTACAACTAAAGCGACCTGGTTCAATTGACCCTTTTTGGCATTCGTTCATAGCGGTTCTTCAGCAACGCAAACAAAGCTTTCGGAAATCTTTGCAAGGACAGGAACTGTGTGCCAACGAATATCGACGAACAAGTTCTTACACCATTATTCACACCGGTTTCTGCTACCGGTCGTTCTCAGTTCCAGCTTCGCTCGTCACACCGAAGGTCCAGAAAAAATGGGCGGCGGAGGTGGTGGTCGCAAGGGCCGTGGGAAGGGCCACCAACAGAGAGACCACAAGGAGGCTCCGCGAGCGACGAAGCCGGTGCCCTTTGACTTGGTTTCTCGGGATTCACTGATTTGCCAGATTGCGACTCCTGGTGGGCCATTTTCGTCTTCTAGCAGTTTAGGATCGCCTCTGTGTCCGGCTGGCTCTCCTCATGCGAAGTTTGACGCAGCGGATCTAGTGATAGATTGTCCGGTCTGTTGCACGGAACAGGAGTGCGCCGCGATCGGGGTGGAGTGCGGACACTGGGCGTGCTTTCGTTGCCAGAGCAGAATACGCGACGTCACGAAGGACCGCACGTGTCCGATCTGCAAAGTCGAAAACAGAAAACTAGTGATTACCAGACGACCCGAGTATTTCCTGAAACAAGTGCGTAACGACAACAGCGTGAAATTCTACAAGGAACACTGCAGGGTGCAGTTCGATTCTTGGGGTTACGGCTACGACCCAGAGGATGCAAAGCGCCTGCGCGCGTTGCTTAACGGGCTTTACGAATATAAGTGCTGGACATGTGACTCCCCTAGTTTTCGTACCTTGTGGGACTTGGAGAAGCACATGGAGAAAGAACATAGCCGCTACTTTTGCCGAACCTGCCTTTACGACCGGGAAATATTCTTGCAGGAGCAGATGTGCTACAAAAGCAAAGAGGAAGTACTCACTTTTTTTATAATACAACTTTATACATAAGTTGTTGTAGATCTGCTCCATACCATTACACACTCAAGATAATGATCCATGTAGTTGTGAATTGTAATAATGAAGATCATTTTCCATCTATCTCCTTCGCAGCTCGAGCTACACGCGAAAGTAGGAGACCAGGGTTTAGTGCCGATTAAGCCTCACGCGAATTGTGACTTCTGTAAACGTACCTTTTACACGCATGAGGCTTTGTATAAGCATATGCGGAGCTGTCACATTAATTGTTTCCTTTGTTTCGAAGCGCATAGGCGGAACGAGTTTTTTAAGGACATGAAATCGCTTTACAACCATTTCGTTGCGGAGCACCACGTTTGCCGATACGAACGCTGCATGCGTGAGGGGATTTTTTCGCAGGAAACGGTGTTCGCGCATGAGGCGCAGCTAGCACAACATCGCATAACTTTCCACAAAAACCATAACGGGGCACTGCCGGAGGAGAAGGTGCGCCCAGTGCTGCTCACCAGGGTACCACGTCTTACCACAATTGCTTGTTTGAACAAGTTTAAGTTTTCAAATTGGTATTCTCCATTTTCACAGACGGGGCTTTGAGAGCGTCTCTCATTTTCTCAAAAGTGTATTCGTATTGTTGCTTGTACTGAAAATGAAGTAGAGTTCATACAAATTAAAATTTTTGATTGAAAAAATATTTAATTTGCACCACGTGAATGAAAGAGAGTAACAAAAATCACCAGACGACCGTAGCGACGAATCAGCTAAGCGAAGCGACAATGCAGAACGACGAAGAGATGGCTTCGTTACCGCAGTCTGACAAGCCAATCTATTTTGTGAGCATTACGAACGCTGAGAAGCCTCCAAAAGAGGTTATTCTCCCTGCACTGGAGTCGGGACTCGATAATCGAGAGGAGAGGTATCCCAATTTTCCTAACGGTTTAAATTGGGGAGAGTATAAGAAGCATAAAGCAGACAAGAAAAAGAAAGCAACCGGGAACGGTTCTTCGAATGACAATAACGACACGAATGATGAGAAAGACGACAAAGCGACCATCTCAAACGACGCTGAAGCTAGTCGGGGAGGCAATAAAACAGACGAAGAGGTAGAGGATGTGGAGCCAGCATTGGGTGCAGAGGCGCTAAAGACGTATACGCGCGCTGCAGAGTACGAAAGCGAGATGCAGGACAAAATGCTCAGGACTTTGCCACAACCCTTGCTCGATTTACCACCAAGTGCACGCATGGACTCAACCCTCAACAAATCCAGTTTTTTACACGCGATAGATGCCGTCCTCGACCGTGCTGTGGGAACCGTTCCGCAATGCAAAGTGAAGTTGGTAACAAATTATTCTCCACTCCTCAATGTATATCTAAGTAAAAAGGTGTAGTTGCTCCAAAAATTTATGAATCTTGTTGTATTTTTTCGACAACTCGAATATCGACAAAAACCTATCAACTACAAGTACAAAATTAACTTTGTGGTGTAATTTTTATACATTCACAACCTCTTCTTTGAACACAGATGACGGTGACAGCAAAGCAAGCGGCCGATGGCGGTGCCCGCGGGAAAGTCGATATTCCTGCCATGAAGCAGCACGTTGCCAATCTTTCACCGCTTGGATTGGACAGTCTGAGCGAAATGCGAGGTTTTTTGGTAAACGCTTGGGATAGCAGGTTCGACACAGACTGGATTACTGGTTTGCGCCCCTTGTTTTTTCGAACACTTCGCAACGAGGAACATAGTGGTACGCCCTCGCACTGGCTGACGTGGAAATACCAGGCGTATACGGGTCTCGACAAATTGCGCGACATAGAGGGGGAGTTGATCCGCATCTACATCGGCATGTGCTTAGAGCGGAATCTGTCCGGCTACGCGGGAATCGACCGGGCTAAAGAGTATCCCTCGCTTGTGCAGTCTGCAGTCGCGGCGGCGGCGAAGGACACACAAACGTTTAATCCGGAGATGAACTTCGCGCCGGAAGTTCGCGCTGGGGGAGGAGGCTGGAATAACCGTCGAGGAGGCGGAAACTTTGCTGCGCCAGGATCACAAGAGTTCCCGGCGTTGCCGGGAGACGCGTCAATAGTAGCTGAGGACGGTACGCCACTGACTGAGCTGACGATGGCGGAGAGGCTGAAGCTGCAGGAGCAACAGGAGCGGCTTCTGCGTGCGAAGAAAGCCAACAAAGCCAACGGAGCGGGAGGAAGTAGCAGTAGCAAAGGGCCGTACAACGGTCAGAAGCATAAATTTGACTTGGGCTTCGAGGAGTTTCCCGCGATGCCCGTTGGTTTGCAGCCACTGGGCAACCCGTCTGCGGCGAAGGCGAAGAAGCCGGTGACAAAGGCCAGCGTCTTCGGCGCTAGTTCTTCTACGTCTATGCCGTCAAATAGCGGCGGCGCCTCGTCGTCCTCCTCCGCGGCCCCTGCCGCCGTCCCCAAGGCAGCAAAGCCACTGAAAGTGCCGGCTCCTAGTGCAAGCGACATAACCCTTAATTCGAACCCAAACGCGCGAGCGCCTACCGCCGCGGGCACATGGGGGGCATCGTCGAGCAGCGGCGCAGCCTCGAACTCCTCAAGTAGTGCGCCAAAAACTACCTCTCTGCTCAGAGGCGTACAAGAACAACAGCAATTACGAGGAGCCTACGCGCCAGTGAAGCTTAAGAACGAAGCGGCAGAGCGCGGTCAGGTCGCGAAGAAGCTGGCGGATGCCTCAGCTTTTCCTGGATTGCCAACTTCAGCCATAAACCAGTCTTCTGGTCCGGGCAAGAGTCGGGACACGGGAGGTCTGCTCAAAGGCGCGAATATCATTTCCAAGAAAACGGGTACCGTTGTTCCCGTACAGCAGTCATCTAAGCAAGAGATGAAAAAGCGTGATATATTTGAGGACGCCGATGACTTTGCAGATGGCGACAGTTTTGCTAGAGTATTTTTCAATTGGTTTGTAGGCGGCCAATAGACCCGCGTAGCATCCCCTAGTGTTCTTCTATTGTTGCTTCTCTCTCTCATCCCAGTCAAACTTTCGGAACAGACAGCGTAGTAATTTGCTACAAAAAATGACTCCACAATCCGCGCGTGAGCGCTGCAGAGCTGACGCAAGACTTTTTTTATTTTAACAAGGAGAATCGTTTCTTAAATTCTAAGGCCAATGGGTTTGTTTGTAGGCGACCGACTGGCGTATCTGTTCCTTCATTGCATTACCAATTTGGCGCATGAGTCAATCTCCATCACAAGTTTATATGAAACCAAGCTGTAATATCTTCGTGCATCCTTTTTACCCCCGACTCCCAAAAAATGATAAATAGGTATTGCTAGCAGCCAAAGCGGAGAATCCGGACAAGGGACCACCTTCACCGCTCTTTGGTCCTTCAGGAAAATGGACGGAAGGAAAAACTTCACTTCCTAGCTCGTGGAATGACAACGAACTTTTTCCGACACTAGGCGGTGGTGCGAGCAGTAGTAGCAGCACAGCACCCGGAGCAGGGAGCGCCGGAGGTTCAGCGAAGGGGCCAGTACTCGTAGGGAAGGCGAAGCAGGTAGAAGAAGCGAGATTACGACAGGAAGCAAAGGACGCGAAGCTTGCGAAGCAGCTACAAGAGGCCGAAGAGAAGAAAGGTGCTGCAGGGAATCAACAGAAACGTGGGAGACAGAAGAAAACCCTACTGGCTTTTGGATAAACGGATTCCCTTTCCGCCTATCAAACCAGCGACTAACGGTTCTTCCAATTCGTCTAAACAAGTTCTAGTACACGTCGATTTCATGCGCACCTTTGTCGACGTTGATCTATTACTTGTTGTCGGAAGCGAGGGATACCGCGAAGCACTCATTCCGCCTAGTATATGAAGATAGGGGTTGATAATGGCTTGAAAGTCGGGGCAATTCATTGTGCAATTTCCGGGTTATCCAAGCAGTGTGGTTTTGTTTAACTGCTTCTCATGGTCCCGGGATTCCGTATCTCTAAGCCTGAAACTAATGTTTTTACGCGAGTCCTTTCCCGTCTTTCGCTTCTGACGAAGATTGATGTCACTCTACGACCCGAGGAGTTTTTATATGAACGTAATATATTTTGTTTATTTGTTGCGGATTGGCAGCGGCTTCTGATGCATCCTGTTCGCTTTTAGTGTTGCAACCGTGTGCACAGCGAGAAGAGCAGCTTCCGTTGCACCATTTCTGGCACATGCATGAATATTAACGAGCCCTGAACCTGATAATTTGAGTGTCGTCACACAATGAAACTTGGAAGGTACTGGAATTACACTTGTTACCTCATTCCGGCTACTATTTCACATCATCATCGGGTGGTGTGAGATAGTCATTGGTACGAACAATGATAAAGCGACGCGAAGAGTTTTCAAATGAAAAAAGACATGCATAACTGGGCACATTATTTGCAGAAGATCTAAAGTGCTTACTTGAATAGAAGTGGGTTGTGAACAAGAGGAAAGTTCAAAAACAATGAAGTGCGCTGCTGCGGAGTCGGATTGCGCCTCTTCGGTGTACACGTGGAACTCGGATGATGAACCGCCGGCTGAAGGTGAGGGAGAGGAGTTCGCCTGTTCGCAGGATAAGTTGGTTACGCGGCGAGTGCTGCAGCCCGGCGTGGGGCAAGACCGCCCGGGTGGTCGCGATAGGGTCTTGCTCGACTGGAGACAGGACGTCGAGTGGTACCAGCTCGGATCGGATGCACTGCCATGCGGCCTCGAGTGCGCAGTGCGCAAAATGCGGCGGCGCGAGGTGGCGCGCGTCTCCTATCCCAGTGGGGCCTACGAAGAGTTTCGTTCGCCGTTGATGAGCACAGCGGCCGCGAATCTCGCGAAAGAAAAGAGTAAAAGCCGGTTTCTGCCGCAATTAGCGAGCCGGTTGGAGCAAGTACTCGACGCTAGCGAAAAAGAGGCAAGACTGTTCAAGCATAAGAAACCAGAGGACTTCCATGACGATGATTTTCAAACAAGTGGTGAACAAGAAGGACTCGCTTCTACAGAAAAACGCAGCAAAAGTGAAATCGAGGATGCAGAACTAGGTTCATTAGCAGATAAAAAAGATTCAGGAGTCACGGAAATGAACGAAGATGGATCGTCTTCTGAGGATGCGGACCTAGCGATGCAGACAGTTGCTGAGGATGTTTCGCTACTAGAATTTGTACATGTAGAGACTCTGAGCGATGACGTACACAAGGAGGTGCTTCGTGTGAGCAACAGGGGCACGAAGCGTCCACGCGAGGGCGACTCAGTTCGACTGGTTGTGTATAAGACGGGTGATGATAATGTGGGCGTGCCAGCTGCAGGTAGTACGATGGACTGTGACGCAGGGTCTGACGCGAGTCCGTCGCGTGGCGACGTTCAAATGATGTACGAAGGTCAAAGCAGGGTTGACGACCCCTCTGCTATAATCACGACAGCTGAAAAGGTGCTTTTTCGATATCCGTTATCTACATGGGAAACAGGTACGGGCGGGGCACTGCTTAACGCCAAGGAGCTGCAGGAGGCACTGTCGGAACGAGGGGGAAGCGAGCTACTCGGTGAGAATTCGTCAAACTACTCATACGATGAGACGGTCAAAGCCGTAGCAAATGCTTTGTTTCTTGCTACAAAATCGATGAGAGCGGGTGAAGTAGCCCAGATTAGCGTGCGGCGAAGTGAAAATGCGTGGACGCACTTTTGCTTGAAACTTGAGCGTTTTACTCGACACGAAACGCTGACCTGGGAATCGCATGACACGACAAAGCGGATCGCAAAGACGGAGGTAATACCTAGTCCACGTGAATTTGCCGCCAACGGGGTCGAAGACGGAGGCTTGGCACTTATCGCGATTGCACCAGAGCCAGTGGTCGATGGAAAGAAACTTTCATCGAATGTAGAACGTGCTGGGCGCGTTCTCCGCGTTCGGTCTGGCGGCGCTGTGTTGCCGGAGGGACTAGATGTCGCCTGTCTTCGCACCATGTCGCTTTTTGAGGATAGTATTTTCGACATCGGAGAAGGCGCGATCACTACTGCATCAGATAATGGTGCAAAGGTGTCGGAATTTCCTTTTGGCACTATACCGTTCCGTACGCAAGAGCAGGTCAGGACTGCGTCTCTGAAGGCGGCGGCAGAATTGGAGGGATGGACAGATGATTTGGTCGGCGAGATGCTCGTGAAAAATGTGGAGAACTCGTCTGCCACTGATGATCGGTGCGCTGGTCTCCTGTTGCAACCCCTGTCCGACCTTACCGATGCCTTTCGTTCGTGGGTGACAAGTGCGGCACCCGACAATCCGGCGACCATTCCCCGGTTTTGGCGCGAGGCTCTGCTGGTGGAGGAGACATGTCCAGGTTCTACTGGTGAAAGTCCAGTGAAGATGAACCAGAGCAGGATAAAGAGGAAAAAGACGAAGCTTCTTCCATTTAGGCCGCCTGAGTCTGGACGCGGTTGGACTGATTTCTCAGTCGGTAAAGAAACCGAGTTCGAAAACTGTTTCTCTCGGCGGGCTTCTCAGGCGAAAGTCTACCGTGTTTGGCTTCTCGGCTTGGTGCCGGCTCCGGACCTATGGGCGTTGACGCCCCTGCAGCGATTGCATGTGGCGCAGAGGCATCGCTGGGTAGGCAATCATTTTGTGGGTGCATCTGAGCCCACAGCGGCTATCGCAAAATACGATGAAGCGTTGTACACGATTCGCGTCGATGTTGGCCAGCATTTGTTCACTGCTTCTCAGACGAGCAATCGTGGTGCATCAGCATCCTCCTCGTCGTCCAATGCACAACCCTGTTCACAGTATTCTATCACAGGCAAAAGCGTTTACGGGAGCGCCGAAGCGGTACCGGAAGTCTACAAAACTTTGTTCGTGACGCTGCAGAACAACGTGGCTTTGTGTCTTACTCGGAATGGCCGCTTCCGCGAAGCGCGAGAACGAACCGCGCACGTCTTGCGTGTCGATCCGCAGAATAAGAAGGCCTTGTTGCGTGAATGCCAGTGCGCTCAGACCATCGGAACCATGGACGATGCTTTGGAGAATTTGTTGAGAGCGTTTCCACTGCCGAGTACAACACCACAATCAACACATCCAGACCCGGACATAGCGAAAGCACTGGCAGACGGAAAACGCTTCATGGAAAAAGAGGAGAAGCGTGAAGCTGCTCTCTTCGCTAACATGTTTGGAGGGTCGAAGAAAGGGCAAAGCGGGAGATCTAAAGCGAAGAACAAGGAGGAAAAGGGAGCATAAAGTCGAATATCGAATCTGATCTCTTCGTGAAAAAACGGCTTGCCGTTTCATTGCGGGGAAACAACTAGTTGTAGTTTTCGATCGATGAGAAAAAAGTCGTTTCTTGCGACCAATCACCTCGTTAAGAAAAAGTTCTTTATAATGATCGTTCTTTGCTCGCAGACACGAGGGAAAACCAAGACTGGTTTAGATTTCTTTGTCGCCTAAAGCGCGAGTACTTGTGAATTCTTTGCGATACTCAGCGCTCAACCACAGGAACCGAAGTTTTTCCTGTCGGGAAGAACGTGTGTATAGATAGGTTCAACTTTTTTTCGTGGGTGTAACAGAGGTGCTCGCTTGTCGCATGTCCATATCATATAAATCATAGAAAGCTTGCTAACATGCAAGAACAAGTCGTCGTTATTTCGGTAAAATGGTTGTTTGCGCCAAGAGAAATATTTATGTCGGTCGAGCGACGTCTCGTTCGTATTGAGTGAGTTTCGACGTGCAAAGAAGACAGAAACCGTATTTTCCCACCACCATCGAATGAGAAAAAGTAGATCCGTTTTCGTCGATAAGCACTGGACTTTGCTCATTGTGTGCAATCAAAGTCTATGTAATTCATCGATGCAGTTACGGTTTTGTGTAGGGCAGAACATTACATGATCCTCGTTAATTGACTAAAGCAAGGGAAGGTTGATGCCGAGCCGCGGAAAGAATCACTGATGTCGAGCCGTTTCCGAGGCGAGACCACGCACTAACGTGGTCTGATCAGCGCCGGGCCGCGTGCTTGAGTACAACAGTTGTGTCGGCTGCCGGCTGTAGTGCACTATAGGAGTGATTAAAGCAGGCCACCGATCGAGTATTAGCAGTGCTGAGAAGGCTAAGGAAAAGTGTCAGCATAGAAAGCTTCAAGGCCTTCAAATAGACCGAGCTATTGGCTGTCCAACGAGGAAGGCGCCCGCGGGAGGATTTTCGAGAAGCGTCTTGATCTAACACACTAAGAAGAGGCTGTTGTATCATACGCAGCAACGCGAGTTTTTACATCAATTGGTGTACCACCTACTTGGCTCTTTTGGTCAGCGGATGAAGTCACTCGCGTTTGTGTCGAAGACAGTTGTTGAAGCGCACATTCAGGGACAACAGGTCAGAGACTTCTAGACACGCAATCACGACCGCAAATCCGCTTGTTTTTACAAGTTTACCTGTTGAGAAGAACAACATACAAGGGAAGACGAAAATGAAGCAGTACGTTGAAAATAGGCTTGCGCGTGAGCGCAAGCACGAGGCGGAGCAGAAGACATTGGTGAAATATGGCAAGGATATGGAGCTCTACAAATGTCACGGAGAGGCCGATCACCGAGTCGAGACGCAAAGAAGAGCTCGTGAACTCCAGGAGTTCAAAAATGAGGTACTTTGTACCTAAGGCGGATAGCATAGACATACACATAGTCAATTCTATTATCTAAAGCGGATAAGAATATGATAGACATAGTCGATTCTACGAAAGAAGTCTGCGGGCCTGCACCGTCGTATTGTTCAATATTGTTCATTCTGCATGATGTCTTTGGATCTTGGAGCAATCAAGACTTTTCCGGTCCATGTCACGCACTAAAATTTTCAGGTCATCACCGAGCACCAGCACGTGCAGACACAGCAGATAGCGACAAGGAAAGCGATAATATCAAAAATGGAGACAGATATCGCGATTGAGCTAGAAAAGAGGAAAAGCGACGCTATCCGGGAAGAGCAAGACAAACGGAGAATGTTTGAAGGTGTTTATTCTGAATGGCCCTGATTGATTTGGTAGGGCAAGCAGGCAGTCGTTTTTACGAAAGAACCAACTGTGTTTGAATTTGTGTGGCGTAGGCTCAGTATCCTTGCGTAGAAGTAATATGCCAGTCAATAATGATTCTGTAAATCCTAATGCAGGCAGTGAGGAGTTGCGGGCGATGAAAGCGAAGTTGCATCAGGCACAGGTGAACAAGGAGAGGCATCAGCAAGTAGTTGAAAAATTGCTGAAGAAGGAGCAAGAAAAACAGGATGTATTTACTACTTGCGTACTCAGTAGGTAGAGATAAGTCAATGTAGATTTTTGAACACCGGCGATTTATTAGCAGGTGTCTTACTACAATGTTCTCATGATCTTTCTAGAATGAAGAGTTCTTCGCTAACTCGTTCAGTAACAGCTACTCATGAGATTAGGCATCATGTATCATACATTCTTTTTCATTTTTTGTCACACAGGAAGAGGAAATAGCGCAATGCATGGAATATGAACGAAGAAAAGCGATTGAGGAGGAAATCACGACGAAGATATACAAGTCACAACAGAAAGGTACTTATTTGAACAGTCAGAATGTGACCCTGTTGAGATATAATGTAAGTATGTTGATAAACTAACAGATGTAGGCAATAATGACCGTTCTATCTGACCTCGCTCTAGCTGCTTCTAGTTAGAATAGTTTCTCAGCCACAGCCTTTTTTCCAATCCGTTCTAGGTCAAGCGACGGCGATAAATCAACAACAAATTATCCTCCGTGAGGAGGCAAAGAAGCTTTCCAAGATTCAAGCAGACAAGGAGAAAGCACAGGTATCCACGATCAAATAGTAAGTACTTCATATCTGCAATTTCGCTCTTGATGTGCATACTAATCGTAACCAAAATGACGAAGTATTTCATCGACTTGAGGCGACAATCTGCAAAATCAAAAATCTTCAAGTTTCACTTGCTATTCATCTAGCTACTATACGATATGAATTAGGTTGAGGAAATAGTCGCACAAATAGCGAAAGAGGATGCCCTCGAAGCTGAAACTAGACGGAAGAAGCAAGAAGAGACCCAGGCAATGCTTCGAAGATTCATGGTGGAGCAGCAAGAAAGACAGAGAAAAATGGAGGCGGTACTAAATAAATTTTGCACTGTGATGTAGTTAACGATGCTCCTTCATGTCCTGCTAGTTGCAGGAATTCCCTCGTACTACTACAACAATTGAGCTTGTTTCTTTTGATCCGCATAGCTTGGTGGTGTTTTGACCCGATTCAAAAAAGCTGTCCGTGTCGACCGATTTGCGAATTATTTGAATCTCTCATACTCCTTCGAATCAACATACTAGGAAGAGTTGGCAGAAATGGAAGCGATCGAGGAATTTGCGAGAAAGAAGCGTGCTGCAGAGGAGGCGGCTCTAGAGAAAAAGAAGGCTGAAGAAGAGGCCAAGAAGGCGGCCTATGAATTGATAGTAGCAACTGCTGAGGCTAGGAACAAAGAAGCTGAGGAATTCGAATACCTCAAAAACGAACTGTACTTCCCTTTGAGAATTAGAGAAGTTCTAACGTTATTTTCATCGTTTTTCTTACCCCCTCCATGATACGAAGGATACTTAGAAGTAAGAAAAAGAAGTCTAATTTTGGAAGGTGCAAAAGATGAAAACACTGCACATTCGTATACCTTCTATCATGAAAGACTTCAGAATCGAATGTATTTTTTCTCTTACAAAAAGAAGCCGATAAATGTTAAGCTACAGCAAAGTGCACACAATAACTTGAGTACTAATTATATCATTTAGGTATGCTGAGGAGCTTGAGGCGCAAGAGCGACGGAAAGAGGAGCTTGGTATGCGCAAGAAGTTGGAGGACCGTGCGGAGATGTTGAAGGCGTACAACGATCAGTTGGCCCTGAAGGAGGCCAAGAGACAGCGTGAGGAAGCAGAGGAGGCCGCGTTCCGTGTCAAGTTGCTCGAGAAATTTGCGGAGGATGACCGCATAGAGCTCTTGAATGAGCAGAAGAAGCGAATGAAGGTACAAGCGCACAAGCGGGAAGTCGAGCGGCTCATACAGGTATTTTTTGTGCTACGTACAGTTTTTTATGAGCGACATCGGCCTTGCGTATTCCACCACTCTTCTACGACTAGATTCATTTTCCTATAATTTTTTCAACTTTATATATTAGTTTTAGTATGTTTCTCGTGTGTTTGTCTTTTTGCGGTACAACCAGAAGGTGTCCTCTGTGTTCGTGAGATGAAGCTTTCATGAAACAAAGTCATTCTTGTAGGAAAGTACTAACATCATCATCATGAATAGGAGCGACGTGCGCAGTACCAGGCGGAGCGCGACGGCGAGCTGAAGTTGCTCGAAGAGCAGCGACAAATCCAAGAGGAGCGCTACGTCGAGATCGAGGCTGAAAAACGCCGGCTCTTGCGCGAACACGCTGTCCAATTCCGGGACTACCTGCCGAAAGGTATGTTCAACAACAAGGAGGATTACGAATACGTCATGTCTCAACCAGAACCACAAAACTAAAAAAGGTAAAAACGATGATAGAACTGGAGGTACTGGAAGAAAAAGTAGTTGGAAGACGAGGAAAAGGAGGAAGTGGAAGTACTTCTTGCATTTTTATGAAAGGTTCGAGAGTACCAGTTGTAGTTGTACTACGTACTAGTACGGTTGTGCCATGGAGCTGGAGGTGGTTTTTTGGGAGGAGGCTAGACAAACGAGTCTTCAGCTTCTTGCGCCATCGTTGACTTGGTCGTCTCCTTCTAGGTGGTAGTGGAAATTGAATAACCTTCGTTCTCCTAGTAGGAATTAGACTTTTTACACTGTGACTCACATTGGGTTCTCTCGAGTCTCAACATCAAACACATCGATCATGGTTAGCAGGAAACAAAAGACGTCTTGTTCGCATGTTGGTGTTACGATTAATTTGTTATTCCAACGCGTCGACCACAGAGAGAAGTACAGGAAGCCTTCGCGAAAGGTTATGCCTGATAACATTTTTATGTGGCGATCAACATATGAAATACCAACTGTAAACTCAATGCTGTTTGTGCAAGAAATGCACAAGCATGTATTCTTCGTTATTCTTCGATTGATTCTTCTTCTACAAATAGAGATAAGTACTAGTTATATTTTTCGGAACTGTATTGATTAGAACTTAACGCAAACGCAACAGGAATGAAATAACCACACTTCAGATAGAAGGGCGTGTGCTCCACATCCAGTAGATATTGGAAGTGGGTCGTTTAGAGTTACGCTGTTCACGCGCCAGGCAGTGTTGTTTTGGTACTGTCTCTGTGGTTCGCATGTAGGTTTATTGTAATTCGCAGCTAAGATGATAGACATAGACTCGATTGGTAGGGTAGCCAGTTGCAAGTTGTGTATAACGATTGCGGACAACGAAAAGCTTCGACTTCACGCGCCGGAAGCTAGTTGCCTGTTGATGAAGATAAGCAACAAATAGTCCCATGCTGTTGCTGAACTTATCACGCATTTCACCTAGTATACGTGTTAGTGGCGCGTTCAAATGTCCGGGACAAATGTTTGATCAGATCATTTGTATGATGTCCTTAAAGTTAAAAGAACAATAACAGTAAGCAGCAGGTGGAGATGTTGTACAACATGCTTCGCAGGAGAAGTGTTGTACTCAATCTATAGAAACATCCAGAAAGTGGTAGTCGTGTTCCTCGTCCTCAGCAACCCTAAACCCTCTATTGATTTGTCTGCTTTCACAATTGTTATCCTATTCTACTTTAGAAAGCTGCGCTTGAGATGTGATTTTTGCAGCTACCTGGTAGCAAACAGATCTATGCAGCAGCAAGATGTGCCTTTTCGCTGTCATGTTAGTGAAGATCTTTTGCACGTGTGCGGCAGTACACAACTTTGGTTCGAAGACGAGCAAAAGCAAGTAGGTCTGTAATATACGGAACGAATTTAAATATCTTCAAAAGTCAACATATAATCGTAGCTGCACACTTCGGGTCACAACACGCTAGCAGATTTTTGAGTGACTCATTCTAGTGCAGTGACTGAGCGCAAATCTGTCACGAGAATCTGAACATTGATCTCGTGCGTGGTCAAGTTTCTTATCTATTATCTTGACCCTCTGCGTAAATATGTTTGGAAAAAAGTACGAACAAATGTCTAGTACGAACGGGACGACGGGACACGTTATGGAGGCGACACAACAGAACCAGGAGGGTTGTGAGCAGTTGCCGCTGTTGGCGGGAAGCCAGACGCAAGATCAAGGCCGTGAAGCGAAAGTGTCCTCCGAGTTTCATGAAGATTCAAACACGCAGGACTGTGTCAACGTGAATGATGAGCCTCAGATTATTGTCTTGCAAGACCACGACACTCTTGAGCTGCATCACGAGAATCCGCCTCCACTTATCGGCGGTGTTGGACAAGCAGCTCGAGCTCATCCACCGCGCAATGAGGATGGAGCAGGAGCAGCGCGCCAAGGTGTTCATCATGGTCCTGGACAGGGAATGATCTATCCAGATGGAGGCAAGGACGGTCAAACGAACATCAAGGTGATGGGCCACAGTGATGAGAACAATAAGGTGGCTGACGACTCTACAAACAAGTCGAACCAGATATATATTTGGGTGCCCTTTCCGAAAAAAACTGGAGAAAGCAACATGCAGTATTTTGACAGAACGTGGTGGATGTGGCTGGCCTCGTATGCCGGCGTCCTACTCTTCACGTCACTCTTGCTTGGGTTCCTGTTAGCTGATCCTAAACTCACCGTCACACTCTTCATGCTGGGCCTCTTCCAGCTGATCCCGACTTCTGGCGTACTCCTCTTTGTTTACGGAATGGAGAAAAAATAGCCGCGAACGCGAAAGTGTGAGCATGTTGTTGATGACTGACGCCGAATCGACTTTTCGGCTCAAATTCTTGGAGCGAACAAGGAGGAGCTGAAGCTAAGAATATGAATATCTATGTATGCCCTGTTAGAGGTACAAAATACATAACTCGGTCAAAGCACATAAAGTAAATTGGCCGCCTAGCTTCTCTCGTTGTATCGGATATCCTTAGGTTAGTCCCTAGCCACGATCCATAACTTTACCGATTTACGTTTCCCGCGCGTTGATAGTTGATAGTCGCTTCGAGCTGCAATGTTCAAAGATCCTCATTCAAGAAGTTCAGAAATCTACCAGACTACTTAGGCCAGGCAGCCTTTTGATGATGCTAGTGATGATTCATGTTAGCGCTGGTTCAGCGAGAATCTTGTCGACCGTTTATACTCTTGTTAGTAATATTGTCGAGATATTATCGTCTTTCTCGTCGACATTGTTATCATCAAAAGCATGACCATCGAAGCCGAAGAAGTCTCACTGAAGTTGCAGTCAGTTGCTGGAGATGATAGAACTATCTCCACTAATGAATTAGCAGTCGCTACTTTACCAATTTTCATATTTCATATTTCATATTTCAGCGCCATGATCATGCTCATTTTTCATAGTCAAGGCGTTTATTTATTCATCGCATGCAAGAAGACGGGAAACTCAATTCTTGGCTTGAGTTGTTCCCTTCCATATTTTGAAGGCTACGTCGCACCACGCACCAAAGTTAGGTTCTTGTTTCTAACCCTCAATCTCTTGATGAGATAAAAAGGCTTACCCCGTGTGCGAACGCATACATGAGGACTCAGTTTGACTGTCGCCACGGTCACGCTCGCGTTCCGGGAAATGGATAGTCGATTCGTTGCTGGATATGATGTTTTAGCCACTATGAAATGAAGTTGAATCAATTTTCGATACATGCTTCGGCAGAGTAGAAAGACTAGAGGTTTTTGATACTGGTATCGATCGTTGTGTTGAAGGAGGTTGCAACTCGAGCGACCAAGATAAAGAGCATGGATGTCAGCGTAGTACAGAAGAGGGAAACGGAAATATTTACAAAGCTGCCTCAAATCGATCGCCCCTATGCGTTGGCGGGCTAATGTGCAAATTTTGGAGTAACAGCTGAGGGCTACTAAAGTGATGATTATGTGAATTGTAGAAGAAGGTGGCTTGATCGATATATGGCTTGATCGATATATCACGTCACGCAGCGGTGTTGAGTTTTAGAAAGGCATGAGAAGCCCACGAGGTCTGTCGAATTTTCAGGAGGGGCCTCTCTGACAAATTATAGATACATGTCTCTACTAGAAGGCCCCCTATTAAAGAATGAGTTTGCCAATCGACAAATTCGTTTCATCACCGGCTCGGAACAAGAGTCGGATGCAGCCTTCCCCTGTTGCCAGGCCCTCTACTGAAAAGACGAAGGAGCGGCACCGCGATGAGGATGCGGCTAATCAAGTAGCGGCACTGTGCTCAACCCCGAAAGCCTCCGCGCGTAGACGGAGCAACATGAGCAACATCGTTGCAGCGAGTAGTCCAGCATCGGTAGTGGAAGCGAGTCCCGCTGATGCTGTAGAGGCACCTGATGCTCCTGGAACCCCAGTAGTGGTAGCCCCTGAAGGACCACGAGAGGGAAGAAAGGATGCGATATTTGAAGTGGGAACACCGGAAACTCCTAAAAATCCGAAGACGCTGCTGTCAGCGTCCCTGGATCTCTCGGGAACAGGGGTCAGGCAACGCGTGCGAGACATCGAGCACTCGATTCAAGCAGAGATACTCACGGCGAGGCAGCATGTTTTGGTACTACTAGTTGGTAGAAGTTGTTGCACCATATGTGGCACAATAAGATAGGGATTTGCATTTGTTGATATCATGTCCGGATGCAGATCAGGCCGGAATAAGGAATTTCCGCAAAAGATACAAGATAGTTTTCTAACTCTTAGGGAGAGTAAGTTTCTTGAATTCTAAGGCCAATGAGATTGTTGATATCATGTTCTTGGAGGACAGCAGGAAAGAGATGTTCAGATATACAACAATGATTAAGCTGCGAACTTTATAGATTGATACTACGAGAAGATCCACGACCTATATCAAAAATGCAAGATCGAGTGTTGCTTAAGATTTGAAAATGTTGCTTATGATAAGACTCACTCAGTATCTCGAGACGCGGCAAGGAAAAACCGAAGGTGCTCGGGATTTGTACGAGGATTTTCGCAAAGAGGCACGAGGCCACGTAAAAGCTGCAGAAAAGACTATGCTCAAGAACCTCCGAGATTTTACCGAGGATGCGGACGCACAACGGCGAAAATTGCGAGCCGAGGAGGTATATATAATTATTTTGTGTGTCGAGTGCAAATGGAATGTGCAATCGAAGATGTGGTATTCCATCGATGTTTGTGGTATCTATTGTAACGCAAAAGCTGTAAGCTTGTCATCTACCTCTGTATAAAGTAATTCTTGTCCAACCATGACCTATTTCAGGGCCGCATCGATAGGGAACTCGATCTGCGGAAGAGGGAGACGCGGGGGTTGAAGAAAATGCTCGCAGAATTGGAAAAGAAACTGTCACGGATGGAATTGGAACTAGAGTTTTGATGAAATCCGATCTATTACTGAAAATAAATGAAAAAAGAGAAGCACACGGCTTTCAATACTGATTTACATATTCTTGCTTTTCGTTATTTTTATGATATGGAGGTACAACCAGTGCCCATATCAATGTTGTAGAATATACCTCGTTAGGTTATGAAGCAGAGTTTCGTGCTTCCCTTTGTCTACATGTGAATAGTGTTGGTTGTGCAAGTACTTATACTGCCTCGGCATAGAATTTGTAATATAGAATTGTGAGGACGACGAGAAAGTGATGTTGGGCTCGAATACACTAGGAAGTAACCCGTAATCCTACATGCAATGAAGACTAAGGCTATTTTTTCCAAGATGCATGAGGTAAAGTAGTACCTCTTGCATTGAATAAAATATGAATCCGATTCGAAACCGCACGAGCTTGCCTGTACACAGATATTTTACCATCAACAAAATGAATTTCCTCGACCCTCAAATTCTCATTCCAAGAGCAGGACTGCGTATGCAAGCGGTTGAAGAATAAAATAATGTCGACCTCCTGCGTGGTCAATGTGCGTACGAGAGCCGCAGCTTATGGCAGGCGCATCGCGACTTGTTTTCAGCATGTGGGCTAGAAATTGTGCTCAGAATTATGCAATTGAATTTACGGATAAAAATGGTTGAGGTCGTGCGAGAGGTAGAGAGAACGTGACTGCGACGTGGCGACCGAGGTGAAAAACGATGTTCAACGTTGGCCTGATGCCCTCAAAAAGACGGCGCATACTGATTTTCTTAGTCCCATTGATGTACTTAGTCCCATTAGTTTTGTAGTTTCGCAACTGCCAGCGTTGGACCACTCACTCGCATGCTTACTAGCGTGAAGAGAGAAAAAACCAACATGTTCGGTTTCGGTAGAAGCTCATCTCTGGGCACGATTGCGTCGTGGTTATCGACTGCATCGCCAAAAGTCGCTAGTGTGGTGTCATGCGCTACCGCCTTTTTGCTCTTCGCCGTGCTGTATTGTCGTGAGGGGCTATTTTTCGAGGGATTTTCCTCAGGTGATGCGACAAAGCAGGGAACGACGTCAAAGCAAGCTGCGCATCTGGAAGGAGCCACATCGTTGCCGGTGTTCGATCCAGCGCTACGGCCATTGCCACGCCAGCCTTTCACGTGCGAAAACAAGATATGTCCGCCAGGAGTAGCATGCGTCGGCGGAAAATGCACGCCATGCAGGGAACGGAGCGACTGCCCCCCGAAGCACGTATAAACGTACTTGAATTTTTTACCTACGTCTAGTTTGAGTACTATGTTTATTTTCTGCTCATTATCGGATTCGGTCTCGTCTGGGCCAACATTATTTCGCGTGTATCTCGACTCGTCATTACTTAGTGCTTGATTTTGTTCAAAACCAAACAAGTGCCTATAAATCTGTTGTTTCGTTCTGCTTAATATAATGCACACCATTCCTTGGTTGCAGATTTGCATGTTACCCCTGGCTTTATTGGCTTCTGGAGCGGGCGTAAGTGGTGGTGTTCTGCCACCGCTGCGAAGTTCAGTCTGCGTGGAGCGAAGGTTTTGGTTGGATTTTTCGCTTGAAGATATTTTTTGCACGCTTCTGGTTGCCGGAACCGCCTTCCTTTCGGCTGGATCGGGAGTCGGCGGAGGTGGCGTGTTCGTTCCGCTGTTCTTGATGCTGCTGGGATTCGGCTCACGGGAAGCGGTGCCATTGTCCAAAGCGTGCTGTTTGTTTGGGTCCTCGGTGAACATCGCAGTGTTCTTGCGAGAACGCAATCCGGCTAGCTCAACCCCTAGGCCGAAGGTGGATTTTGACGTCGTCGCCGTACTTAATCCGCCGTTACTAGCAGGCATTACTCTGGGAGTCATCGGTCACAAAATGTTACGGTGAAGATCGGATCAGAAGTCCGGAGCGACTAAAGTCGTCAGATTTAGAAAATGCATGGTTCAGGAGTTTCGATTCATCTCTAAACCTAGCACCGGAGTGGTTCGTGGTGTTGTTGCTGCTTGCCACCTTATGGTTCGCCTTCACGAAGTCTTATCAGAAGGGTATGCAGCGATGGCGCGCAGAGTCAGCTGAGCTAGAGGCCGCAGCGAAGAGTGCTAAGGCTAAGTCGTGTTACTAAGCTTAAGTACTTTTATGATAACCATTCACCTATGAAATCGTCGCGGTATTTGATCTCCGACCGCCCTTAAATTCGTCTAGTTCTTATGGGAATTTGTGAGCTAGCTCTGGCGAGTTGTGGAAGCTGTGACCTAAGTTGTGGAGGTTGTGATTTAAGTTGTGGCGAGTTGTGCGCCGACCGAAGTCTTAGGAAAGAGCTACACTCTTTACCTGGCTGCTCGAATATGAACACCATAAGGCGCAAGCGATCCTTCCTCGCCACAACTTCCACAATCAACTCGCCACAACTTAGGCTACAACTTAGGCCACAAATTAGGCCACAACTTAGGCCACAACTCGCCACTTTTCACAGGGGTTCGGCCTTTCTAATACTTTCCTGAGCGCGTACTTCCTTGGCCTTTTTTCATGTAGAAAATAGATCGAGGATGCTTGGAAAAATGCCAGGCTGCCCCCTCTAATATGTGCGGAAAGCAGGGCGAACAAGGAGATGTCGACGATGACCCACATCGAGATGGCACAAAAATAGAAGTGGTAGTAGATCAGCAAAATGGAGGTGGTAGCGCATCTTCAGGTGGAGCTAGTTCATTTCGTTGTGCGGGTCAGAAAGACAACTTTCCTGGGAAATCCGCACCCGAAGTCAAGGGGGATCATCTGGCTTCCTCGCCATCGATATTTGGTGCCTTTGGAAGCGCATCAGGGAAAAAATCTGAGCAAAACCGGCGAGGAGGCTGGCTTGGAGGGAAATCAGATTGGATGGCAGTGCGGACGTCGGGAAGTGTCGGAGGAGATATGCAGCAGCTTGTGGACGCCGCTGGTGAAGAGTCCGACAATGAGAATGATGAGGTCGTGGCGCGAGGAGAGAACAGCAACAGCGCTTCTATGAGGGACGACGGCCGCTTTTCCCAGGAGATGCCCGGTGATGAAGTGAATACGCCTCCAAGCAGTGACGCCGAGGTGATCGGCAAGCCGCAATTTGGTGGAAGTTCGTCATCACAGGGGATAACTAAGGGTAGGTTTTTGGCGTTTCTGTTGCCGTTTGTCTTGACTCTCGTAAGGGGGAAGAGCATAACAAACGGGGAACAGAAACACCAAGACCCTATCTCTAAGATAAGGATTAGTAGCGGCCGCAAGGCGAAAGAATGCCGGTCGCCGCCTATAAGCGGTGGGGCCGACCACCGACCGGGAGGGGATGAAGGAAGCTCCTGGGACGCCTTTCCTGCCTTCGATCTTCAAACCATCAAAGTTGCATTAGATGCGAGTTGGCGAGACTACCAGCAGACGTACTTCCTCGCAAGGAACGCAATACGGATCACGCTAGCTCTGTGTGCAGTCTTGTTCTTTCTCGAGTACTTCAAGGCTGTCCGTTGCACCGGACTCTACTGGCTTGAAGTTCTACTACAACTCGGCATCTGCTTTGCCTTCCTACGCTACGCAACACGGACTGTGCTGGTGGACGCTGGAGGCGTCTACCAGCCTGCAAACGAGGAGGTTGGGGAACTCGGGGCGGTCTCTTCCGCAGCATCATCAGCCGATGAGGATGAACACACTACGACACAGCCCTCGGCTTCTACTCTCCAGGATGAAGAAAGCGGTCCCGGCAGAACGATCGGCGATGCAACTACGCCTACCGCTTTCGGAATCTCGGTGCAAGAAAGAAACTCGCCGAAGCCTCCACAGGCAAACAATTTCTGTACAACTGGCGAGGAGGATGAAGCTGTTGAAATGGCAACGTTCGGAAGTGATAAAAACACTACATCTACGAGTCGGCGCCTGCCGTCACCGGCCACTGGGTCTCCAGTTGAGAATGGCTTAGAGCGAGCGTCTCTGGCCTGGCGTGAAGGCAGAAACTTGGTTCTCTTTCCCACCTACGCATGGGTTGCCGGGTTCGTTGGCGGATTCCTGGGAATTGGGGGTGGGATGATCATCTCTCCAGTACTATTAGATCTGGGGCTGAACCCCGAAGTATGCCAGGCGACAACGGCAATGTTCGTTTTTCTGAGCTCCGTGCTCGCGGTCATACAGTTTTTCTTGCTTGATCTGGAGATGCCAGCCTATCTTTATGCCAAGCAATATTTTAGGTGACTTAGATAAATATCTAAACTTATGAATTCAAATACTGAAAGCAACCCCGGCGCCGTCTTGGCTTTTGATTATGGTCAACAATATCAAAGTTTTTCTTTCATCGAAACGGCATCAGTCATCTGGAAAAGTATTTTTCTACGATTTGATTTTGTGCGGAGCATGCCCTGTGACCCTACATTTTCTCCCTAACTCTGGCTCTGGTATGGAGCATGGGTTACTGTAGCGACCTACGTGGGCCAGCGCTCAATCGCGTACATGTTGCGCATCTATCAGCGCAAGTCGCTGATTATCCTTTCCGTCGCAGCGATTATCTTTCTCTCAATGCTGCTGATGACGCTCACGGGCCTGCGAAATCTATATCGCGATCTCGCAGTTGAGGGTGACTGGGAAAGTTTGGCATTCTCATTTCAAAAATTTTGCCACTAACTATGATAGGATACACTCACAAAGGACAAGGAGCACAAGTTGGCGGGCGTTTGCATCAACAGCCACATGGTCTGAAGATGCTCGTCCGTGCCATGGTCATGTATTGCTAGCCAAAAACAGTAACCTGGACAAACGAGCACATTAAGTAGTTACTAGTGTGTGTGCCCCCTCCAGATGTTTGATGTGCCGCCTTGGAAGAGTTCGAAGGAGGACCCGACCCGTGTAGGTAACGACATCCGCGGACAAAGTGAGCACCCTTTGGGCGACAGTCATCATCCTACAAGAACAGATGGATTGTGTGACTCATTTCCCGTGTGAGAAAAAAACGTGATAGTGACTGGAATCGGGATTAGAGAGACGCGGCGTCTCTGTAAGTTTTGGCTCTACTTGGTAAAAGAAAACACTTCGCGTAAGTTGCAGCAAGTCAGCGGATCGTGCTAGAAAAAGAGAAGAAGGATAAAAGTTTCAATTCTAGGTATAGAACAGATACTTGACATGAAAGAATGGAAAAGAGACATCAACGCACCCGCCATCGGCCTCCCATCGGCCTCAACAGGATAAGTATAATTATAATTGGACGCCAAGTTTAGAGTTCTCCTCAGAGAGGAAACATTCTTCCACAGACAAACGAGGATGAAGGCTACCGGCAGCAAGATCAATAACATGTGGTCGCCGAAAGCGGCGCGCAATTTTAGGGAGCCTGCTGTTTCAGCAGTCGATTTTTTTCAGCGTTCACCTGCCCACCGGCAACTCGTAGCGCGAAGTGTGGACTTCGGAGAACTACCTTCGAGTGGGGACAGCGCGGACGCAGGTTTCGGGGGTAGACATGCTAGCTCCACAGGTTTTAATCCGCGTTCTCCCGTACATCAAGGCTCGGCGAAGAAAACGTTTGGCAACAATCAGCAGGGTTTGGCCTCTCCTTATGGACTTCAGTGATCATGCATTGCTAATGTTAGTCGTAGAAGTAGACAGACCAATCCGTAATTCTTTTACTCTGTACTACGCAGTAGACATCAGAATACTCCTACTCGCGGTCCGCGCGGGGTCTCTCTACTGCACTGTATTACGACTGCTCTCCACCGGAAATGAGGGCCCCACTCCCATTATCGTATGTCATTCAACATCCTCAAGTCTTCTTCTAAGCTATATCCACGAGCTCACCAAAGAGGTCATCATCCTTAAAACCGATGCGGCAGACGGTGGATACAACATTACGCAAGTTGCATGTCCACACGGCTTGCGTCAATTTTCTTGAGAATCAATTTCATTGTGATTTCCCACGCGCAAAGAATCACATCCGTTCGGAGTGCATGAACATTCGTGGTCGCATGGATCAAATGATTTTGCAGAAAAGTACTCAGGAGTCCTTTCACGACGATACTTAGAAGTCTCCATTATAATGTAGGATTCATAAGATTTTTCTTCTTCTAGCTTCTTTTTTGGTAACACGAGCGGATCCGTTCTTTCTTTCATAGAGTAGCTTCTAAGAAGAAACTGAATTAGAAAGTTTATCATCTTCCGTTGTACATGATCAGATCTGTTCCAATTTGCGTGCGTAGATTCAAATAAATGAAATGATTTCGAGGTCGCCCGGTGCCGCCGTTGATCGAGATACCAGCCAGTGGGATTTCTCGAACAGCGTCCTTGCCATCCTTTGTTCAACCGCACAGTCGCTCACGGCGGTTTTCACAACGTTGACTCCAGTCGACTAATTATGTTGTCAATCTTTTCAAATTCAACTTCATGGGAGGACTTTCGGAAACTCATACATCTGAGAGTTCTGACAGGAAACAAAGCAGGACTAGTTTCTACGGAGCGAGAGCTGCCTTTTGGCCACGTCATCTTCATCATTTGAAGTACATATACAAACTGGAGACTTAACCCCCGGGGATCCTAAATCTACTGGTGAGTTATACTTTTTAGTGCTGTGGCAGCACGGTAGGCTGGCTCGGCAGACCCAGGTCTTTGCCGGCGCCGGTCGTTGCACCTACGGCCCATAAATTTGCCACGGAGCGTGGCGGGAGGCCTTTACCTCCCCAGAGAGAGTTGCACACCAACGTCCGGGTGTCGTAACCCCTCTCGCGGCTCGGCCGGTGTTCGTGCACCGTCGCCCTACGAGTCAATCAACCGGCACCCGCGAGGTTTCGGGTGCTCGCTCTTCGCGTCGGACGCTTTGGTCCGGGGCGCTTTGGCCCGGGTGCGCGGCTAATCCCTCGGCAGTAGCAGGCGTTGTCCCCCCGCTGGGGGACAAGGTCACTTTGAACCTCCAGCCCTTTGGGCCATCCTTTCTCGACGCCTCCTTGGTGCGCCTTCCATCCTTTTCCCGACGACTGGAGGTTCAGAACCGCCAGGTGCGTACGTTTTTTGTACCCGGTACTGCTTTGAGTGCCCCTGAGCCGCTGCTACTGGCGCTCTTTGGCGCTAGGGCCGTCACCTTTTTGGTAACGGTATTCTGTTGAATCCGCCCTTTCTTCTGTAGCTTCTGCTTGGGGGTGATCTTGATCGTCCGCTTGACCAAGGTGTCCTCTTGGACCGCCTTGGGCTGCACGAAGACGCGCGGGGGTGGACCCCCCCCCGAGGGCCACCGCCTGCGCAATCCGTGCAGCGGGATGAATTCCGAAGCCTCCCACGTTTTGTGGTCGGCTGTGTACTCGTCCCACATTTTGCTGGACTGTTCCCAGCCCATGTGGGTGAGGAATTCATCCTCCTTCACGGAGATTTTCCCTTGCTCCCACTCGCGTCGCGTTGCCAATGCGAGTCCTCTCCTGCAGCTGTGCAGCGTGCCGCTAATTCCCTTCGCCAAGCTACTTATCCTGGCCTTGCCTAATGGGAAATCAGATCTCATAACAGCGCCTTCGCCGTGCATCGGGCAAAAGCGACTTCGTGCACCAGCTGTTTTTGCGTTGGTGTCGCAATTGCAGTGGATTTCTATTATCCTACCGCGTTGTTTGCGGATTTTGTCTTCGGATATGTGGATGCGCCACACGTCTCCTTTTTTGGAGATGTCCGTGTCGTCCACCGCCGCGATGCTGTCGCCCCGCAATCCCGATAGCGCCCAAAGGAGGACCATTTTTTGGTCTTTTGCCTTTAGCGCCTCGAGCTTCGTACCCGGTAGGAAAGGCTTTGCTTTCCTCGGGTTGTGGTCTTGGATTGTTCGTTCAATTGCCTTTTCCACGTCCCCGATGTTTCGGAGAATGGCGGGGCTTTCGACTAGCCGCTGCGGGCCATCCGCGGGTGGCGGTTCTACCAGCCACATGATGATGCTGGATGTGTACTGCGCGACTGAGGTGTATTCATTGAACACTAGGAAGGCGGCGAATCTTTGCACCGCCTCCGGCCTCACGGGTAGCTTTTCACCCTTGGCCGCTAGCCAGTCGAGGAAGAAGGCGACTCGCGACTTTTTGTTTCTAGTCGTGGAGTCGGCTTCTCCCATGGCGCGCAGCTCGTCGTCGTTTAGATCGACAGCTTTGCGCAGTGCGTCCGCCCGCTTCGACATTTATTTAATGTTACTTTTTTATTTATCTCTCGCTGTTGTTCCCTCTAACGTTCTTTTTAGTTTTTATTTAGTTAGTTTGTTCTCTCGTCCTTACTTACTTTTTTGTCTAGGCTGGTTCGTGCGGCTGCTTAGGCGAACCTCCACCATGGATCTTGGCCTCCTGCCGTATCTCATGAAGTGGTCTCCCCAGCCTAGCTTCTTTACTTACTCGTAACTCCTTCCCACTCTGTTTTCCCTCTTTTTAGCTTGACGAGATGTAACACGTCACTCCCTCGAACACTGCGCCGCCGCCGCCGCGTTTTCCCTTTCGGCCACCAGTCGTCACTGGTGGTTTGATTTGTTTCCTCCCTCTCAACTAGAGTGTTTTTTACTCTGTCAAAAAGGACGAATTTATTGTTCCGCCACTAACTTAATAATGGTCCGGTGCCCCTGGTAATTTGACCAGAGGGCTTATGGCGAATGCTTTTGCATTCTGTTTTTCGAGGATTTGTTGTCCTCGAGGCCGGTAGCCTTTTTCTTCCAGCTAGTCGCGTTCTAGCTTGTGCGTGGCTCCTTCCACCACACCGCGAGGGAGCGTTTGCTCCCAACGTGCTCCTTCACGTCTCTCCCCAAGAGGATTTTTCCCTCCATCACTCTCGATTTATCGGCGTCGATCGCGTGAGCGGCTGTTTTTGCGCTCGTTCGATCGCTTCGATTTGTTGCGGCCACGATTGTCTTTTTCGCGACTGTCGTTGCGATGCCGTTGTCCCAGCGGAACCGCGTTTGCGTCGCTTCGCTGGGGTCCTTTCGGTTGGCGGCGTGTTCGGCCGTTTTTGGCCTTCATCGCCTTCATCGGCTGGACTTTCGGTTTTACGAAGTCTTTCGGGTGGCGGATTGCTTCCTTGTCCTTCGCTGCCGCTCGTTTTGCCGCTGTGCCGGTTGGCTGCTGGTTGATGTTTCGCCCTGCCAACCGGGCCGAGAAGAGGACTTCGGCCAGCTCTTTTTGCGAGCGGATCACTTCTGCCCACGTTCTCTTGGCGATAGTGATGTCTGGGGGAGGACGGTTGCGGTCGATGAGGTGGTGGTGTGTGCATTCCAGGTGTTGAGCGTCGTTGCGACAGCCTGACTGCACCGCATGCGCTTTGTGCGCGTGGAACCAGTGGCATACCGCCGGCGGAAGCATGAGTCCCATATTTTTCAGGGACTTCAATGCGGACGGCTCCACTAAGCCGGTTTGAGGGAAGTACACGTAGTATGTGGTGCGTGTTCCTCCCTTCGCGTTTCGGCGCTCGGCTAGCACCACGTCGACACGTTTGTCGAGGCGGCGGTTGTGGACTGGGTCCATGGCCGGGTTGAAATCTGTTTTTTCCAGATCCAAACTCTCCAACCAAGTGTCGCTCGGCATGGTTGTGCCCGTGTCGTCGTCCCCGCCGCTGTCGGCGTCGCTGCCGAACGGGTTTTGCGGGCCTTCGCTCGCCGATCGCTCTCGCGATTCGCTGCGGCGGCGGCTGTGGCTACGAGAGCGCAGTGTGACTGTCACACGTTCGCTTCTCGGCTTGCCTAAGCTCGCCTCGGCGTCTCGCATGGAGAACATTTCATTTTTGATTTCCTCCATGTTCTCCTTGAAGAACGCTTTTTGGACGGGCGGTTTGATTTTTCCCCCGTCTTCCTCGTCCGTGTAGCGCGCCTCGTCGATGAGGTGGAGACCGAAGTGGTTGTACCAGGCCAGCAGGTTGAACATGTATCTGTTCACCAGCCCGGTCTCCCAGCGCTTCATCTTCTGCTGGAGCGCGTCGAGGCTGCGGGAGCCTTCCTTCATGAATCCCAAGAACACCATCATTTTTTTGATGGCGATTTCTGGGAAGTTCTCGTTGAACTCGGTCATGAAGTCGAAGGGCTGCAGGTCGGTGGCGCCGTTGATGGCGCTTTCCACGCGGCGCAGCGTCTCCCAGCACTGGTCCAGGTTGCATCTGTCCCAGTAGTCAGCCGGGACGCTGGCGACGACCTGTTTCCGGACCAGGTTCTGGAACGCGCTGTTTGTGCGCTGCAGGTTGTCTCCGTTAAAGCCTGCGATGGCGCAGTTTGAGACCTTGGGTTGGTTTTTTCCCACCTGGGCTTCGCCCCAGATGCCTGCGGCCGCGTATGCTCCGAAGAGCAGCGCCAGCGCCTTTTGGTTGAGGCGTTGGCCTGCCGTCGTGTTCAGGACGCTGTTTTCGTCCACGTCGAAAACGGAGCGGAGGCCGTGCTTTTCCACGTGTTTTAATAACGCGGTGAGCACGTGGTTCGCCTGCTTAGAGGCTTTTTCTCCGTTCGTGAAGAAGCAGTTTTTATACTGCTCCTGTGCGTCTGCGACTTCCTCGCCCGGAGTTAAGACGGAAGGCCAGACGACTTTCACCTCTGTTTTCTTCTCGACGCCGTTTACGCGTCGGTAGACGAAGAATTTTTCTCCTTCGCTAGCCGGGCGCGTGTCGTCATAGGAGAGGATTTTGTCCTCTCCGCTGCTGTTCAAAGCCGTTGCGATGGCCTTTGCGGTCTTCTTCGCGAACGTTTTGAACAGAGCTGCCGTCTCCGGCGGCTCCTCGGAGGACTCTTCGCTTTTGTCGGCGAAGTCCACGGAGTCCTCCTCCTCTTTCTTTTTGGCTTCGAGCTCCGCCTTGCGCTGCTTCTCCTCTTCTTCGAGGAGCTTTCGGTCCTCCTCCTCGTGCGCCTTGCGGACCGACGTCCACGGCGTCTTGGCCGGCTTCGCGTCCCAGTCGTTGAGCACCTCTTTGTTGGTGCGCTCGATCAGGTAGCGGACTATCACCTCCTTTTTGGCGGTCTGCGCCGGGACTTCCGCCAGGTTCAGCTGCGGGTTTTCCTCCCGAAACTTTCGTTTTTCGGCGAGCTTCGCGCCGGCTTCAAAAGTCTCTTTTTTAATCAGAGACTTCGAGGCCCAGGGTTCGGCCGTTAGTTCCTCGTGGTATGCGCCCAACCACAAGTGGAACCACATCAAGGTGGTGCCCTGTTCGGTTAGGGTTCCACCTTCCCCCACGAAGCGCGGGTCCTCCAGGTCTTTTTTGACCGTGTCGATGAATTCCGTTTCCGGAAGTTCACCGACCATCTGTCGGAGTGCTGCAATCCAGTCCTGGATGTTTGCGCAGAAGATGAGTTTATCCTCATACTGCGTCTTCTCCTCCAGCTGCTTTTGCAGCGCCTCCATGGCCTCCGCCATGGAGGGGTGAAACAGTGATCCGTCGATCAGTTTCAGAAGGGCTTTGCCCTTCTCGTCGACGTCCTCGCTCCCCACAGGATTTTTGCCTGTGTGGATGACGAGGTCTCCGACGCTTTTCAGGGAGGTCATTTTGTTTTTTGTTTTGCTGAAAACCAGAGTGCGGGGGCACTACTAGTCACTAGTTTCTAGATTGCGATTATACGCGCACAGAAAGTCCCTGGATTTTTGGGAAAAAGAAAAGTTTTTAGACCTGCCCAAGCTAGCTTTCAGCTTGAGGTTACGAAAATGTGCTGCCACAAGCGCCAAACCCTCGCGGCGATTTTTGCCCCGCGAGGGGATGGCGCGCCGCGCGCGCGGCGGAACTCGATTTTTACGAGCTCCCCAGCACCCCCCACTGGGCGCCACGCGCCTGCCCACCGCACCGCCGGAGGGCGCGTTGGCCCTCCCGCGGCCTACGCACGAGCGCTTTGGCCCGTGCGCCGGCAGCCCGCTCCGCTCCGCTCCGCTCTGCTCCGCTCTGCATGTGAACTCCGCCCCGTGGGTGTAGCATTAACGCTCTCACCCGACCGCACCCGAGCCTCCGCGGAGGCGCGAACCGTGGTTCGCCTTCGCCGAGATGCGCCATTGCATCGACCGGCGGCGTCGCGCGTGAGTGCATTTTTCGCACCGCACACGACGGGGTTCGCGGGGCCCGTTGCCCCCAACCCTCTCCCTAGTTGGTCCCTCAGCCGACATTTTTTGTCGACTGTCGTCCAGGAACCTTCCAGAGAGCGTATCTTTTCTCTCACCTAAGTTAACTCACCAGTTAGTATAATCACTTCCCCCGCAAGCTCCTCCAGTGCATATATAAAGACCACAACAAACAATGTATTGAAATAACTCAAACCATGTTTACTGTATATTTCTATTTTTGGCGGACCACGAAAGATGTTCTGGCCTCGTTCAGACATCACAGACGAGGTCTGCACAATTAATATTGGATGCTTTTTCCAGCAGTTGTTTTCCATGATAATGTTTTGATTTTGGTTTTCTTGGACAGTAGCCAGGGAAAGAAATTTCTATCGCAATAGTCTGCACTGAAAACTGTGCGATGGGGAGACGGACATCGTTCGCGGTGGCAGGTACTAGGTGTGTAATTTCTCCTGCCTTTACTCCTAGGGTTCAGCATTTTAAAATCGTAGGGGCATTAGCGTAGTTGTTCAGGAGATTAAGAACTCCCCCCTACGCCGGTATCCACGCGGAAAATACGCAGGTAGGTTTTGACTTATCGGAACTCGCTTGCAAAGTACGCAGGTAGGTTTTGACTTATCGGAACTCGCTCGCACTACAAAAAAAAAAAAGCGAGATTAATTGTATTGTATTGTATGACATAGATAATGATGGCCAACAAATGTTGAGTCCGGCACGAAGCCTAGGATCACAATGAATATCTATGGCGGTATACGCGTGGTAAACGCATACTACGCAATGTATTTGGGTTACTTCCGTCAAAAATTGAGTTCGGAGAAGAAGACCCACAAATTCAATCGCCCTCTCCTGAAACAAGAGAGTTTGAAAAAATAAGACTCCAAAAGTAGAGGGTTCAACGAAAAGTAAAGGATACGGAGATGAAGATATCAGCACATAGAGCCGGCCAGTGTCTTAAATCCATTAAGCCTACCTCATTTTTTTGTTGCTTCGTTGTAGCTAGTTGCTCCTTGATCCCCTTTTTGTTATTTTAGAAGTTGCCTAAGCCGAACGCTAAAACACGTCTTAAAGAAGACGTCTTGAAGACGATCCACCTACTTATACAAGCAGCATGCCCGCAATCGGTGGTGGACCGGGCCGCGGTGTACCCGGTTTCCCAGATCGAATGGACGCACCGGAGTACTACCCGACTGACGGCGTTCTAAACTGGCAGAAATTTAAGGATGAAGCTACTAGTACAGAATGATCGCGAATGATCATTGGAGACGCATTGACGATGAGTAAAGAAACGTTGACCGTTCAAAAACACCGTAAGAGACGGACTGATAGTGCTCAAGAATCTTGACCCTTCAAGGAGGTTCATCAAATCTTCTGAGGTAATTTTTGTTCGCATAATATGCTGGTGTGCGAGATCGGTATTTTTTCAAAGTAAAATATAAATATATAAATGCGAAAAAAGTTCCGTCAAAAAAACACAACCGGTTCGTTTTCACCTCCACAATCTCAATCTTAGGCTTATCCCATGCAGCAATATATAGATGCGAAAAAAGTTATGTGATTTACAAAAGAAAATCCCTTTCTAATGCCATTGTTGTCTGCGATAGCAAGAATAACGAAACCGTTTATGAATGGCTTGACGAGGAGAGCCGATACGTTCGAAAAGGGGGCATCGGTATCGGACAGGAGGTTGTGGTCGGCGAATTCCGAGCTCCCGAAGCCCTGAAATACAATGGCCTCAAGGGATACGTGCAGGGTACAACTGTCAAGAAGTTCGATGTTTACGACAAATCAACTAAAGACATCGATCTTAGTCCACTTCATAAACTGATATGATGAGACAATATGTTACATAAGGAGAGACGCGCTTGTAGGCCTGGCATTCTTTCGTCCATCGTGTAACCTCTTGTCAACCTTAATCTTTTGTCACCGTAAGCTTTTGTCTCTGACATTGCAATAGAAAATTCCTGTTCAGGAGAGGTCGCGGGAAAGTACACGATTTATTGTCATGGCTGCGAAGCTTTTCCGTATGGAGCGATTGTCACGTGCGATGCCCACAATCTGTTCGTGTATGGCAAGGATGGAAACCTCTACTTAGGGCTCAAGTTACCCCCTGAAGGAAAGTACAGAGCAAGACGTTCGTTCAGTCTCGACGTCGAGCACCACATTATGTTTCATCATTTCTCCAAGTCGACGACGAGGAGCACGCTGGTTGAATGACGTTCTTTATTCTTTATCTGCAGGGGAAAATCAAAATGATGTGAGCAAGAGATGATCTGCACTTTGTTTCACTAATAAAGGGGCCTTTGGAAGATTTTTTTGTCCTCTTTCTTAGTGAGATGCATAACTTACTAAAAGTTGCTGTGCTCCTTGACACGACTAGCAGAAATCATGACAAGGACGAAATTGTATTACTAGGACACGACCATAGAAATTGCTACCACGATGTATGTAGTATTTGATACACATCACCTCGACCTCTAAGAAAGCACAATCAGCCAAATGCAGAACGATCCTCGATCGAAATGACAGGCCCTCCGACGTACATTGACGGTGATCGACATGCAGCAATTACGGCTGTCATCTCTCAATGTGCGAATGAGGTAGTAGCTTCTATCACGTTGTTAAGGTAGTAATCACTTTTGACTGCATATGGAGAGCGCTGCATATGAAGATGACAGCACATATTGTAAAAAATACTTACCGATTGTCCTAGCTTCTCCATTTTCCGTCCAGATTTCTATGATATCTTTGTAAAATAAAGTAATTGGCGGGGATTGCTTCTGAATAGTACGCAACATGATTTAAGCACACCACAGGCGACGCAATTGTCCCCGAAGATGCGGCAGGGGAAGGATATGATGTTCGCGGATGAAACGACCAGTGGTGTCGGCGAGGAGCAAGGTGCTGCGCGAGTGAGTCAAGGTTTGAAGCCGCCGCAACTGCTCGCGGATGCAGGACTGGTGCATGTTGCAGCAGAAGAAGGAGGCGGCCCTTTGATCTCGATGGCGCGTGACAGTCTCGCAGACTGGTTTGGTCGGGAAACCCACGAGGTAGGTTTACCGCGAAAAGCTGAAGGCGAAGCGGCCCAACAGCAAACGTTGTTCGATACACCGTCGGCCTCGTCCAGCTCTGCCGTAGCGCAAACCGCGACTGCCACTACAGGAATGCGAGTATCTAGCCATATATTGATGCATATACCATAAGCACATACGGAGGTATAAAAATCGATGAAGTTCTCCCGCCTTCATCGGGTTGATACTCAGAGATAGCACTTGTAGCACATTTCGTTTTCGCTTCGACTTTTCTACTTACCACGGACTCTACACTCGACAGAACTTCAGAATAAAGGAGGTAATCAAAAATCATGGTTTTCTGTTGACTGACTACTTCACCTTTCTGCGCAATCGATTACTATGCAAGTTCTTGTTAGAACTTAGTTTCGAAATTTTTCAGAAATCGGAGCTCGATCTTCAATTGGAGGCTGAGATTGCTAAAGTCCGGCAGAGTTACGAGAAAGCACAACTTGAATACGAGCAAGCACGATTGCAGAGTTCGATTTTACAGGCCTCTCAGAAGAACATAAAACGCAGCAAAAATGGCGCTTCTATGGCACGGGTCTCCGCAGGGATAGACGAAGCACTAGGCGCTGTCGACGAGAGGCTCGCAGCAGGTCAGTCATCTTCGTCAGGGGCTGCAGTCAATACAACTGAGCCAATCACAAGTTTCGCAACACCCCGGCTCGCTATGCCAGATTTGGGGCCAAAAAGACGGTAAGAACGGCAATACTACTTACAATCGCTCAACTACAGTCGTGAAGATTTGATATGGGATCGTCTTCGTTCTCCATGGTACGTCATGCAATGTGGATGAGAACTGCCTTCTTATATTCTGTCTAGATATATCCATATCCGCGGTTCACCGTCGTATGGTGCTTGCTGTTTTATCATAGGCTCCGTAGAAGATTATACATGCTCCATTTATTAGGAGGAATTTGGGTCTGTTTCTACCCTGCTTTTTTAGATTGGGTTCGCGGGTATCGGCGACTACATCGCAGTTGCGGGATGATTTGGTATTATCACAACGTGGAGGTAAACGGGAGGATCGAGGCGGGAAAACAACGACTGCTGATGATTTACTTCGCGTACAACAGCAAGGAACTACTATTAAGGCGTCGTATTTGAACTTCTTTGTTTTCGATTTTCTTTTTCTTTATCTGTTGAGAGAACGGAGGAAGACCGTGTTGCTTAATGACATTGTTCGCACAGTTCTAGAAGTTTGTTTTGATTTGTAGGACATCTTCAACAATGCCGAAGATGAAATTGTGGATCATTATGAGCCTATGTTCTAAGAATGCGTCCGGGTCTTCGCCGCCTAACAGCATCGGGGTTCAGGAACAATCTGCGGCGCGAGCTGTCCGTTCCTCACAAACCATCTACGTTTCCACGAAGGAGCAAGCAGGCGTCCTGGAGGCGCTTGGTACTGGCGCAGCTGCCGCAACGGGTAGTATTGACGCCAGACCCGTTCAGAGCGCCGCCACTGCGAGTAAGTCGTCCATTGTTAGTGGATCCACGGCAAAGATTATGGCGCAACGACTACTGAATGAAAAATTATTAACCTCCAAGGAATATTCGAAATTGCTAGGGTGTTGACTGATCACGGCACCCACTGTAAAAAGAACTACTTACTTACATACTATTTACTTCAAAATCTACTTCTGCTAATGACGAGCTTGAGGCGATTGAAGCGCCTTCTCTCGTAGAGCATTTCGCGAAACAGCGGACCGAGCAAGCTGCGGCCGAGAGGCGTGTGCACATGACTTTGGAGGAACACCGCCAAGCGCATGAGCAAATGCATCGTCGCTTTCAGTCGGCAATCGTGACAGTGTCGCCGATACACAGTTATGGATAGTAATTTTAATCTTCTGCGCACAACTAGATTACAGATTATTATACACGAGTAGCTACTAGTTTCTACTGAGAGAGCGCGTTAGACTGAAAGTTTGCACACCAGTATAATAAGCTAGTATTTCTTAACCTCTAAAACTGTCAGGGGGTGACGCCGGGGGGTGGCGGCAGCAGCAAGGAGACTGCTCTCGCCAGGAGCAGCGTAATGGTTACACCAACGAACGTCGCGGGTCACATAACCACGACGGGAAGGATTTCTACGGTGAGCCCGGTCAGTGCGGCGTTCGTGACTGGCATGCCGACAGGGGGAGTTCAGGTGCTCATTGAAATTTAGGTCTTAGCATCTTCACAGTAGGTTCATAGAATTAGCACAAGCTATATTCTTCGACTTCGTGGGTTCTACGTCTACAGACTCCTGATGGATAGATTGATAGTACTGGTGCAACGACCTGCTCCACCGACAAACTTGCTCAACATGGATTGTTTGTCATTTCTGAATAATAATCATGTAGACGGGCGATGATTGTGGAAAAGAAAATTCTTCACACCTCAGCTACCTGCTAGACCGCGGACATCTGGAGACGTGGGAAATTTAGTACCTTCCCCTCGAGAGTTGCATCATGGGGTACAAAAACACTGGGGACTTCATATGCCTTCAGGGGTTCACAAAGCAAGTCTGTCGCGGCACACGCGGGCCCAGAGCGGGGTCCTACATGAAGGGGATGGCGAAGCGTAGTTAATCTGTTCCCGTTTTTTGTACTGTATTTGCTCCGTATATTTATAAATATATATATAAGTATATTTATCAGGTTGTATTTTCTCGTTCATCATACATGTGACAGGTTGTTGGATAGCCAGGGGCGGATGCGGTCCACGAGCGATTTGCATGGCGTTTATGGAAACGTACCAGCACACGCAGTGGCAGTCGGAGAGCGGGAGACGAGTACGCAAAGATCTCTGTCAGAAATGACACGCTTTGCTCGACCCCTGACAGGAACGAGCGGAAGTGGTTGGCGGGTAACCAGTGACGCGCAACGAACCACTTTTGTGCCGGCTATGGATGACGCGCTCTTAGCTGCGAACCCTCCGGGACCTGTACCTCCCTGATATGGGCGGGGCTTGCGGCGTCTCGAGCTGTTGAAATTCTGTTTGGAGAAACAAGGAACTGTGAAAGAGCGGGGTTTGATTATCATCTCTGAAGGTGAAGAGAGGTTACTTAAGTGTTTCTATGCTTTGAAAGAAAATGGTGTGGAGCAAGCTTCCTCGATTGTGATGCACAGTTAGTTTTCTCAATTCTCTGTATGCATACTAGATTCTGATTACCATTATTTCGTCCTAGACTAAGATAAGTACTAAAAGCTGTTTCGTGTACCTAAGTGAATCTACTTTTCTGCAATTCATCTCTGTACCTCAGGTATGACGAAAACGAGTCTTATCTATGAGGCTGTTTGAGTCAAATATTTGCTTGACGTGATTGCGTAGTTAGTAGGTGAACAGATATTTATATATAAGATCGCTCTCCGAACAGACACTCGTGTTTTATTGACTAATGTTTCGATACGGAAACGAGACGACTTTCGTGCTAACGACTCCTTTGAGTTTCGAGATGGACAAATCAGGGCATGCAAGAAACTGGGCCCATGCTCGGATGGAACGTGGCGACGGAATATCAAGCGATTGTTTTTGCGGCGTTATTTCTTCAAATTTGTGTACAAGTTTTTGATTCGGGGAGGTTGTGTTGCTCTGGTCTCTCTTTGTTCCGATCTCTCACTTGTACAATGATGATCTGAAGACTCCTGCCAGTTTCTGAGTTCCTTGTTTTTGGCTCTTGCTTCGCTAAATTTCACTAGCATCGTGCAAATACTCACTATTGGGAGTTTCTTAGAAGACAAAGAGTTTATGCGAAATTCTAGAAGCTCTTTCCGTTTTGATTCATTCATTTATTCATAGTAGTCGTCATTTTCTACTTGTACTTCTTTTTCATTCATATACTTCTTTTTCATTCATATTGGTCTTCTTAACAAGGTACAACTACTTTTTCGACTAGTGCACCAAGAAGATGCCACCCCGTGAGCGTGGTAGTAGTCGCGCCCGCGATAGCGGTGCGTCGAACAAAAAAGCGAAAAGTGATGACGTTGCGGAGCCGGGAGAGGTGCCCATCGTAGGTGGTTTTTTCCTCCCTAAGCGGCAAGGAATGCGGGCTCTCGCTATGCTTGCAGTTTTCGTGCTTGCGACGTTTGGGGGCAAAGCTAGTGGCGTAGACCTGGACACATTAGCAACCTGGAAATGGCCTTTCCACGTCTTCTGCTTCGCGAGCTGGTAAAAAATACACAGAACTTGCTCCTCTTGACGAGTTTGTAGAACAAAAACGTCCGGATTTCAATAACAAGAACATCAAGTTGTAGCAGTACTGAATTTCTTCGCACGAGCAGTAGAAAGAAGAGACGTTTCTTGCACTAGCAAGAACGTCCTATGCAAGAAACGTCCTCAGTTTCAAGTAAGCGCATCATCAAATGAATGTTGCTATTCTAGATTCTCATCCTCCTTTTTCGATCGCAGGTTTGGCTGCTCAATGTGGGTGTCCTTTGTGGCTGGTCTAGTTATGTTCAACAACCTACCACGGCACGTCTTCGGCCGTCTCCAGGCGAAACTTTTCCCTCGATACTTCCAGTTTTCAGTCATTTTTGTTTCATGCGCACTCCTGCCACATTTAGTTCCCGGATCGGTGCTCGAAAGAACTGCTCTCGCGAAGACAGTCGCACTACCCCAGAACCAGCAATTCAATCTCGCGGCAATCATCGGGATTCTTCTTCTGAACATATGGCGCAAAGCTAGCTGTGGACTTTCTGATTTATATCTGAAATCATTTGGCTGAAAAATTCGTATATCCTGAGGCACTCTTCCTTCTTTCGTACTAGCTATCTCTATGTAAACTACTACTAAATTCGCTCCAATAGTCTAGAAAATATCTTCCTCTCTTTCGTTTCTCTCTACCTCTTTGTCGTCCAGAGACCTGTTTGTGTTTTCATCGTGGTTGTTGTATTTCGAGCCGAGGACAACGGCTGTGATGTTCGAGAGACACAAGGTGGAGGTGAAGCTTGGAACCGGGCACGAAATTGGGCAGCTTAAGCCAAGCGATCCTGCCAAAGCCAACGACCCAGAACTGGTTGCCCTCTCCAAGCGCTTTGGAAAACTTCATGGAATCAGTACGTCCCTCAACTTAAGGGTCAATACTGTACAATACATGTTCCTACGTTTGTCTTTCTAATTTTCACTTCACTTCTTATTTCTGTCTTTGTTTCTTCCTAGATAGGTCTCTCTACTACAGGTACAACTATCCATACTTACTCCTAGTCGCGAAGCGAGTATCAATAAGTTTTAGCTTTTCATTTTCCGGCTGGTCGTTTCTTCTTCTACCGTTCGCGTTGATCTCTCTCCACGGTCTTGCTGCTCTTGAAAACCGAAGCGAACCTATTGACTTGAACGCTGTGACTTTAGGGCGATCATCATCGAGGTGGAACAAGCAACCAGTCCCACATCAACGCGCTGTTTGCTTCGGCTTTTTTGTTTCCTTGTGGTGCTCAGTGCGAGCTGTTCCTACCGGTTCACTGCGCAAGTTTGTTGCCTTCTTCGTTGTTTGTGGACCCCCTTGGGGGTCCCGGTTTTCTTCTTGCGTTGGCCTACCAGGAGCTTCTTTAAGCGCCACAACACCACTAGAAAAGTACCCATTTCCATCGCAAGAATATCATTAGGTTAAACCATAGCAAGCCACCGCCATTAGTCACAGGATTGCGATGCTGTTTACAAGTTGAAACTTTTATTTTTATGACTTGAAAAGTATGAGACCCGTTATGCTTACTTCTCTTGGGTCTTTTCCTCTCTTGACTATCTAGATCCTTCATCTGCTTACTTCGTTCCTCTTCTTCTTCATCCGCCAGAACACTCGGGGTTTGTAGTCCTCTGGCTGCTGCTGCTCGTGGTTGTCAATCTAGTGGGAGCTTTTTAAACGGCGCGGCTTATTCTTTTCGAAGTTGTTGATTTTTGACTTATTGCGTCATTCTTCTTGAACGTGGGGAAGCCACCTCGGGGGCGTGGCTTTTGAAGTTGAAGAAGTTGGTACTTTATTTTTGGCAATTCCCATTTTCTCACCTTAGAGGTCTAAATCGTCGCCGTCCTCGATGCTCCCCGCTACGATGTTCTTGCTCTTCTCTTCCTCCGTCTTCTTTTCCGCTAAGAGTGACTCCTGCTTGCGAAGTTTGCGACGCTTGTTGACTGACGACTTGCCGCTGTCTTTATCGCCATGTTCACCATCTACTTCTTCGTGCTCTTCGTTCTTCTTCTCCTTTTTGGTCTTGCATTGCGACATTGTTCATGTTCTCCACATGGAGGACGATTCTTGACTCTTGTTTCTACTTGCTTAGAATGGGTGTATGATGTATAGAATACTTCAACCGGTTAAATAAACTAAAACTTTCATTTTGTTCCTACATCAACCCGGACCATTAAGACAGCTTCGAACCAATCCCCACTATTTATGAAGGAAAATATGCGGCAAGAATGCTGTTGCCAATGAGAATGGAATGCCGTAAAATCGTAACCTCTAATCAATCTCATCGCATTGTGTCTCGGTGTGTGGCATGCAGTGTGGATCGGAAGTCAGGTTTCAAGCTGAGGAGGAGTGGTGGGAGACACGACATCATTTCAGCAGTCTTCTATTGATTTCTTGAGCAACTTCTATGATGCACTGACAATCTACCCTGTCTGTAACTTTTTCTACTTAATCAATTGTCGGACAGAACGGGTACCTAATTATATTTTTGGAAATTACCTCCAACTTCTATGATCTTCTTAGTTTCACCTCGCTCTAATCGAGTGAGACAAACGGAGAAAAGAATCGCACGTGGCGTTTTACGCTTTCAAGATTTCTTACGAACGTGAGACGGTTTGCCTTGATGTTGCATGTAGAGAGTGGTAACTGGCGATAATGATGCCGGGACTGAAAAACGGTAATCCTGAAATTGGTCCTTCTAGGAGGTACTACACCTACGAATTGCAATCGGTCCACAGAAGATTTGCGAGTGAGAGAGAGAAGAGCGTGGGAAAAGCTGGAAAGTCGAGAAGCGATGGTCAAAGATGTGCTTTTCATTTGATACACCCTAATTTCAAAGACAAAATATTTCACATGTTTTTCTCTTACTCTCCTCAGACGAAATAAGGTTGGCGTGGTTGCTCGAAACAGAAATCACGGGAACTGCAGGACAAAATATTACTCGCACTGACGATCAGTCAGAGAAACACATTTATGATCAATTCGCTCGGTAACGGTAGAAGTTGTTAGTAGAAGCATCAAGAAGTTTAGAGATGGATAGAAGCCTCGTTCTTCAACTTCCAACAATATGTTGTTGAAAAGTTGATGACGATGAGTTTGGCTGTCACAACGACCACTACGTAGGAGGACCGACACTCACTCTGCCGAAGACGACGAGAGCAAGGGCAACATGGCTTCTGCTGGTATCGCGACAACAGCTGTACAGGTGGATGGCGATTCGCTTCGAGCGATCGAGGATGAGTTAGAGGATGGGGAGTTTTACTACATGCGGAGCAGCAAAAGTATGAACATAGTTGTCACTCGGACTAGCAATATTCATAATTTGTAGCTACCTGTTGTTGTTAAAGTGTGGTAGGCCTTTCTTTCATCATGGTCAACATTGATTCCGGACTCACCTCATGTGCCCTTGTTGTAGTAGTACGATATCATCATCTACTCATGAAGCAACGAACCGTCATTCCCCTCGCGTCCTCTGGTTGTTCACCTCAAGCCTGTATATAATGCCTTTTTCTTCATTGAGAGCATTCGGATCAATTTCGATCCGGCCGCGGTGGATCAGTTGGCGGAAGAGGTTCTCAAGTCGGGCTTCGCGCCGCTCGTCCTTGCGTTCACGAGTTTTTTCTTTATGCCTGATTCTTCTCGATGATGATGTTGATGGTGAAACAGACAATTTAAGATGAAGCAAGAGCAGGAGGTACCAGGAGAAAGAAGTGTTAAAACGCTTTTCACCTACTTATGATGGTGATGGTAATGGATGTGGATTAGCATTAATCAAAGTATGCCTCTTCTTCATTCCTCGAGGCTCTTACCTATGAATTTCCTGAGATATCAATATCCTGAGATTTTCATACTATTTCTTGGAACGAGCTTATTGCGGCCTCATCTGGATTACGTGGCGTGGGCTTTGGCCGTGGGATCTGTCGCAGGATTCGTTGCGGTGCCAGCTTTACGAGTGCAAAAAGCCAAGGGGCTCAAGCGTTGCAAGGCGCACGAGTGGAAGCCGACGACATTCCTTTACTACTGGCTAGCTATCTCCGCGGCCTTTGGGATCGTTAGTATTTTTGCGATATTTGGAATTTTTTTGATAGAAGGAAATGACACTGAACAGTGAATATCATACATATCGATATCCAACAGGTTCGCTTACAACTTTCTACGGCATGCTTGCAGGGAACAACTAGCACAAACCCCCTCTCATATCTTTTCTGATCTGATGCAGGTGTGCTGTGGGCAACAAATTTGTTAAGGCAGACTCTCCGCGATCCCTCACCAGGACTCGACTTGTGGTATGTGAGATTTTGTTGATTGTGCTTTTTGCACTATTTTTTAGTAGTCGTGGCGTGCATTGTTGCAAGAATTGGTGAGTGTGAGGAGATCGCGTGCTGCAGTTTCTTTCATATTTCTACAACGTCTACGTGTATCCGTATCAACACTACCTGGACATTATGAGACAATGAATTGAGAGCTTTTAAAATCGTTGCAACTTCTTAATCTTATTTTCTACTCATGCTAGGCCTAGGCAGATTGCGCAATCTCCCGCTAGACACATTCAGCTATTTGTGTTGACTCACTCATGTTGCTGCTGCTGCTCAACAGCGAATTGGGCAGTAGGTACCAGCCATACACACAAGAAGAGGTTCCAGCATGGGGAAGCCTAAACTTTTGAGACTCTCATGGACATGAAGTGGATGGAGCACCCGATCAACCCGCTACTGCAGCCGGCGGATGAGTTCGAAGATGCTGGGGTTGTTGCATTCTTTATGAAGATTGAGCATGCACACGACGCACTACAACTTCTAATATTCCCATGCAGATGCAATTTAGTTGTTCAAAACACTTCTACGTACTATCGTTTCCACACGGACAATGATTTAGATTTTAGTACTAAGTACTTACACTGCTCTAAATGGGTCTCTTTCTCTACCCAGTGCTGTTACAAGTACTCCTACTGCTTATGAAGGGACAACATTGGGGCATCTGCTGTTGTGACTTGCTGTTTTTACACGGGAGATTGTTAAACAAATTAATTTCGAAATATCTAAACTCACATCGGACTCGTATCTGGACCGCGCTCACAGCACATGCTACAGGGCGTCGGGAATTTCTTACTGCTTGTTATGAGATAATGACGATGATTTCTCTATTTCTAGAGTGCACAAGCAGTTGTCAGTTGTGAAGATGTGAAATTCGATCTAAAGTTAGACAAGGTGGATTTGATTTGTAGTAACCACGAGGTATTCGGAGGGCAATATTATTTTGGTGGTGAAGACTACATTGAGAGCTTCAGTAGACTTCTACAGCTAACTTGAAACTTGGGTGCGTACGTAGTTGATTGCAAGTAGTACGACTACTACGAAATAAGTCTAGAGATCATCTCCTCACACCCTTGTCGTTTGAGTTAGTTGTCAATGGGTATACTATTTGATCTCTAGAATTTTCGCTATTGCTTGGTTTCATCTGCAGGACGTAGTACATGTTGTAGGATTACAATTACTCTTCAAGAATGATCCATTGACACAACTCATTGACCTAGCACTGCTCGTTTGGAACCACACGTCTTGTTCTACTCTAACTTCCGTACCGATCGTGCAGGATACAGCCGGCACTGGAGATCGCAGCCGGTTACCAGATTCACCGTCTGGTACCTATGACTATTTTGCTGTCGGCACGGATTGCTGTTCTTGCCCAGGACCGGGCGATTTTCGATTAAGATGCAAGTGTCGTCGCGTCCTTTGATTTACATTCACTAGAGTCCTGCTCACGTAAGGGGATGGTTGATTTGTAAAAGTTTTATTTCTTTGATGCTGTTTTCGGGGTTGTTTCGTCTCATGTGGAACTTTTTTGACTATCTAAGGTTTACCCGCTTATTTCTTTGATGCTGTTTACCACTCGTGATTCCCCGCCATTTTTCTCACCCTCTAGCTACGCTCTTGGCTACAGTCAAAACTTGCTACAGCGATGCAGTTGGCTGTTTCATCTTGCAGCTGGGGGTGAAAGCACCCGGTCGTACTAGAATGTTCATCTACTTCAGTTTGTCTATATGATCTGTTGACCAAGACAGAGGAGAGTTGTTCTCTAAGTTATTGTGGAGATTGGAAATATAGCGACGGTCAGGGCGGCGTGCGTCAGCTGGACAACGAGGAAAGAGGCTTGTACTAACTATTTAAGATGACTGTAAGAAATCCATCGGGCCCAGCATCTTGGTCCCGTTTTTCAAGCGAAAAACGGGAACGAAGATAAGTCGCTAGATGGATTTGTGGTAGTTCTAAAGTAGAAAGGCTGCGCATATGTTTGAAAGCCTCAAAGTGTCCGAAAGTAGTGTGGCTCTGTGTGTCGTAAAATATACATCAAGGCTAACCTTACTCGCCTTAGTCCTACTCTTTTTCATCCAAGAATAGAAAGGGCAGCCTCCCATGTGTTCTATTTCTAGTAGTCAGTTCGTTTCGCAAAAGAACATGGATATGCTATTATATTCTTATGCTGCTTTTCGCTGAATTCAATTCATTTGATAAATGTATCTATAGAAAGTAAGAACGACCACGACGTTGTTGACTCTTCCTTGGTGCAATACCTCCATAGCAATAGTGAAAAATATGTGCTTCACCCAGCCTCTACGGTTATCAGGAATGACAATGACAGCGACGGAGGCCCATGCGTGCATGGATACCGTCTCTTGTTCTACTAGTCCATAGACCTCTTTACAACTCTCCCACAGTTATCGGCTCGCGGCAGAACAATGGGAGGCGACATGGGGGAAGGACAGCAGGACACCGGTTTTTTTCGAATGGCGGCACCGTCCGTTCGCAACAATCCGCGCGTTGCAGGAGGGTTTTCGTTAAGTTTACATTCATGATCAAAGCTCGACTGTCCACCACGATGATGATGAAGATGAGTATCGTTACTCCTGCACGCGGGTGCACATTCGAGTAGATCATCAGACATCAACTTTAAATGATTTCTTTGATGATAGATAATTGTCTTATCATCTCAGGAGACGAGATCCTACACGGAATTCTGTCACCTGTCACATGAATCTCTGTGCCAATCACTAAGTTCCCATTCACCGTTTTTTATAAATATGCTCCCTCTAATGTCGTTCACAACTATTCACCGTGAGTGTGGGATTCACATCTGCCTTACTTTTTCTCGCGGTAGTGCAAAACCAGCTTCGAACGGTCTACTTCATAAGGCGAGGCTTTTTTTGTAAAGTATCCCTAGGAGGCATTACTTCACTGAGTGGCCTCATATATAGATCCGAAATGCTTTGAAAGAGGTCCCGGGACATGACATTTTTATAAGTATGAGGATCCCTGCCCCCGTGTGGCGGTGACGCGAAGGCGCCGTGTCATATCCTATCCCATCCCATTCCGCTGTAAACAGCTAAGGAGAACACCCTAAAAAAGATTTTTGTTCTTTAAGAACGACGAGTAGTATAGGATGTTATGTTACTCTCCGAGTGCAGCAGCTAGCAGATTTGATAGCTTGCAGAGTTCTCTGCAAAGATACAGAATACCTTTTGTTTTTTTATAGAAGGACCGTCTCTTGGATTCGAAGGCTCTTGAGATTGTTATGTTACGTGGAGGCCGCATAGAGTAATTAGAATCAACTCGGAATCGGAACTGCCTCTAAATCCCGAACGGAATGAGAAGCACTGGGCGGCCTTGGCCGACGAGGATCTGAGTAAGACGGGGAGCTGATGGAATATGACATGGTTAAGGCACATACACTGCTAAGAGTAACTGGGTAATTTCTACGCTCAGATCCTGACAGAATAGTTATAACGGCTGCATGCTGGGGGCAGCTTGTATTGTTCAGAATCGAGTGCATTTTTGTGTGGTGGTTTAAGTTGTCCACAAGAAGATTTGATAAAAACCGGAATAAGACGTGGAACAAGTACTTAGCTTGAATGCCGCAAATTCGGTCTGCTCTATCTAATGACGTGATGCAATAGCAACTACGCAGGATGACACGTCTCATATCCGCGGTCGGATATTCTTTTCGAAAGTAAGGGCTGCCGGGTTCCCATAATGGATGCAAGTGGTAGTATGATAGTGGTAGCATCTGCTCAACAAGAGACTTGTCATTAGCAGAACGAAGCCACCCCTTATCGGAAAAGACTGTTGCGACGATCATAAAATGACGACAATCCTGTCTCTTAGCATGCTGTTGATCACATTGATAGCAAAGAACATTTTTACTGCAGGGAGGCATGATATGGCTTCACTTTGGTCAAACAGCTATCACCTGACTCCTAAGTAGGCGCGTACTTACATCAACTGACCCAAATGAGCTGGAGTTAGGGATGGAATTCCATGACTTGATTTGAAGTTTTTTTTCCATTTCTATCTCCCATTCAACAGTTGCTTATTGCAGTAGACTAGGGTCCTGGGGATTGGTGTTCGACCTCGTCTCTCTGGGAATCTGTCTTAGTACTTTTGTGGTATGTATTATCATTGTGAAAACCAAAAGTAGTGATTCTTATAATCAGTCAAATCGTGAGCTGCTTCGAGGGTCGAGCGACACCTTGGCCGTGTGACGAAGACGAAAAATTAAAATGTAGACGACAAAGGACTTGACTCTATTGGAGTGTGAGAACTGAAGTCTGTGGGTGGTCAGTGGAATTGGCTGAGGGAAGAAGATGTGGAAATTTCCTGAAGCTGAGACCAGAAGAGAAATTGATAGTGTCGTGTGCATCCAAAGTATAAAACTCATCTGTCTGAGGGTGACCCGAGCAGAAAGACGACGAGGTGTCAGACAGGATCTGTATGACTGCCAGAGTTGCTCCATAATACAAGAAGCCTGCTTAAGCGAAGCGCCACGCTTGGCTGCGTGAATGACTCAAATTCATTCGAAAGCCTTCCCTCAGCGGAGCACGCACCTGGTCTACATCCATGACGCAGATCCATTTGCTTCGGAAGAAGGAACAGGATGGAAAGGTATGAATTGCGTACACACTAATATATATATTAGATGCAACATAACACGTTCTCTCGAAAAGTATATATTTTTGCGCATACCGACTGCTTTCGAAATTAAAAACAATGATAATACCACGAACAACATAACATGCTTTTTTCCGATGGATAGCTTGGTTATCCATGAGAAGAAAACTTATGTAAGGGAAGAATAGGGATAGGCGAGCTTGATGCTCAGTGAAAAGCGTCGACGCGCGTGTGTCAGAACAGGGCAGCTGACTGTGTTCTACATCTTCATGTTTTTCTTTTATCTAGGACATCGATGAGAATGGCATGGTCGGTCGTTTTCTTTCTCTCCTCGTAGAAGCGAGCAAAAAATGTATTACTCTACTTACACCGAGTCCACTCTGGTGAACATCTCGCGAACAGGTATTCAAATGATTAAGTGCTTGATCCTCTTCTTACTTTCATTTCCTCAAGGAGAAGGCTGATCAGATCTCCTCTCCGTGCGTGCCTCAAGCGAGATCTGAAATGAAAGGACAGGCCGTCTCCGCAAATTATAGCTGCGCGACTCTGTGGCTCGGCGTGTGGGTTCAGCAGCATCTATCGGTAGTGTGTACACGATCTTTGAATTCTTGAAACGGTTCGCGTGGTGAATGTAAATCAAGACAACATCAATGTCAATCAATCAGTCACGTTCTAAGATGCAGCAAATAAGCAGGTACTCATCCGAAGGTCCTTTCCTGTCGTTCTTGTAGCACCGCAAAGGGATAAAAGTTATGTTCGAGAGACAAGATCTTCATGTTAATCCTGATAAGTTTGTTATCCCTGAAAGCGAATACAAATGGTATTAAATGTCCCGTCGACAGTATCGGAGTACTGACCTGGGCACCCTACCATACCATGTGAATGGTGTGGCAATGGTCAAGTTGTACTGAAAAGACCTCAGTACCATTTGATAAGATGGACCATGAGGCAACATGACATGACACGACTTTTCGCTGCTGTAGCAGCTTTTTTTTGAGAAGTTGAAGTTAGTGGACTTTCTTACCTTTCAATATTATTGAACTTCCTATACTGCTGGCAGCAGTCACTCCTGATGTTGCTATTTGATTCCTCTCGACCTACTTGTGCCAGCCTATTTCGCCGCAACGAAATTTCTATTCTCTCTATGGAAAGTCCTTCGTTTCATCTCGGGTTCCTTGTCTGGAGGAAGCTCTCATCGGCATTATATTCCACCTTTTGCTTTGAATAATTTTACTTCCTTTATTTCCAGACACTTTTGACTTGTTGCTCTTTTTTTAACTACATCGTTCTTGTTTATCGTTCTGTCGTTCAATTATTGATGAACTTTTGATTCGAACCGTGGATCTCAGATAAAGAACGCATGTAGCTAGTTGAAAGTACAATCAAGAAAAAATGGACTTCGTTACGCTAAAGGAAGAGCGCCTATGCGAGTTCCCGCGGATCCGCCACTCTGAGGGTCTCGGGAAAATTCTTCAGTATGCAAATACGACCGTTCGCGAAATTCACTTGCCAATCGGCTACAACGACCAACTCATATCAGCCGCCGAGCGTACTAATTATTTTTTTGATTTGAAGCTGTGCTGCGGCGCTGCCTATCGCTGCTAAGTCATTCTTCTTCGTCGTGGTAACAGACTGCTGGAAACAGGTGAATACATCACAAAGGCATTTTCGACTAACTTGGAAAGTTGAGTACTTATTTCAATACAGGTACGCAGGCCACAGGCTGGCAATTCATGATTGTACTAGATTTCGGCAAATAAAAACAAGTGATAGAATGAATATTGAACTACAGCCGGGGAAGTGGCACTGTTGATCGACGCGGGTTCAGCTTGCTTTGCTATAAGCGACGTGCAGCAGAACGGTTTGGCCTTGGATATCCACGATGTCTCGCCGGACACGCCTGCAGCGCTGGAGGGTTGGCGTATCGTTCTGCCACACCCGGTGGCGAACCTGAATAACCAGAGCGACCACTGTCTTCGCTATCTTGTGACCGATCATGCCATCTTGGTCTACATCCTGCTTTCTTCGGGGGTAGTGCACAAGCTTTGCATCACGCGTGGAACGAGAGGACACCTTCAACGTACACGCGACGAGGGTAAAAACGATTCATCAGAAGCAGCCGGCGCCAGGAGAACAGTAGACGAGGTAGACCAGCAAGCTGTAGCGGGTGCGGGCGGAGCCGGCACAACCACAGGGCTCTGTGTGCAATGGGTACAGGCAATGGAGCTACCAGCTGAAGGGTGCGGCTTTTCCTCTTTCGCGGTCGCCTCGGAAGATACAGTGGTGTTTGGAACCGAAGCTGGGCTACGAGTATGCCGATTTTCGAGACAACAATATCAAGCAAGTGTTCTGGATGGTCCCTATGTAGTGGTTCCCCATCAAAACCAGGGAGAACAGCAATTGGTCAAAAATCCTGGTGATGACGACAGCATGATGATGTTCCACCCAACAAATGGAACAGCCAGAGGCGGACCTCCTCCAACAGGTAGTGCTGGTCATGTTGAGCAACATTTTGCGCAACTGAATGGAGGGGTCGGTGGACGAGGAGCCTTTGCACCTCAGCCCCAGCCTCCAAGGGAGGACACGTTCATAAATGACGCGGGGCGCTTCTCCTTTTTCTCCAAACCGGTGCAGAACATTCTAGTCGTGGCCAGCTTCGGCGGTGCAGGGGATGTTCTGACCTATGCGAGCGACGGGAAGTTGCGGCTGACACGAGCAGCCGCGGTCGTCAGCAGCGACTACAGCCGACAAACGCGACAAGGACAACACCACGGCACATCGAATTATAAGACTGCCAAAACTTCTACAAATTTCACCTATGCGAGTAGTGCAGCGAGCGGTACAACCCTGACTCGGTGCGATGTGCAGGAGTTGATTGAGGAGGACCAATTCTCTCTTCGAATCGCAGTCCAGAAAGAAAAGATCGTTATCGGCGCAAAACGCTTGTTCTTAGTCGCAATGGACAGGGAAAAGGGGCTGCAACCTGTCCAAGAAATCATAACCACTCATCCGACGATGTGCCCCAGTTTTTTCGAGCTCACTCCAACCTCGCTTTTTCTCCTCTACAGACGCGGCGGCGTAGCCATGGTACTCATCTTCATTTTAAATTATTTTGATAATATGTTGAAGGTCAATCAAAGGTTTTCTGCGTGCCCATCAGTTAGATTATTCTTTTATTTTTAAGCTTTTGTCCTCATCTTTTTTGAAAGACATGATGTTCGCCTGTTGCGTTCAATTTTATTTTTATATTAGTTGAAGTCTGTTCGCTACAAACATCTATCATGACATCCACAACACTCAACAGGACGAGATTTTACATATAGACTTGGCATCTGGTTTGGATTCGTGGGAGGCTTCTCGTAAAATTCAAATGGAAACAAGGCGGAAGCAAGCTGTCGCAAGCGGAGCAAAAGTAGACACTATACACCCTGTGCACACGTGGCACCACGAGGAGCAAGTGTGGCACGCGCAAGAGCGTGCCTTGGGAGAGTTCGGGGACAGCAGCGCCTTCGAGGAGGAGTACGAGCGACATGTGAGCTGCAATCGCCGAGAAACTAGAAAATTGGCCCTGCTGGCGCGCAAGGGCGGAGCGGCAGAATTTCTGCGCCAGTTTTGGCTCTCCCGCATCTTTCAGCGCAATCGTTTTTCAGAAGCCACGCTGTCCGAAGTAATAAGTGACCTTGTCGCCATGGAGGAGCGTGTGTCCGCGGCGAAGCGCCAGAGGACGTCCGCAAATTTGGCCTCGCAGGACAGTTTCATCTACAGCAGCAATGTTGCTGGTGGACCTGCACCATCCGTAACAACATCACCGCATGCTGCTGCTACTAGGCACAGCGCCGGAGGAGGAGTACAACAATTGGGAGGAGGCGCACCTTCTGGAGCAGCCTTTTATGCGTCGTCTGGCCTGTTGAATGCGACGGAGGGCCACGACTTCGAGTCGCGACCTTCGACGACGCCGGCGCCGTCAGCAGTGAGTGTCGCAACTGTGCGGGCACTTCTAGAGCGCAGAGCAGGCGGGAATGCGGGTCACCAATCAGACGCCCGTGCTTCCGGAACGACGACGACATCAAGGACCACCGGAGGCTGCGGCTTTTCCGCCGCGGCTTTGGAGTTCATCGATTACTGTCGTGACCGCGAAAGACGAAGGAAAACGCTCTTTCTGGGGAAAGTTCGATGCTACGCACCTCATTGCGTCCGACGCACGTCAAACACTGGACAAGGTATAGTACCGGTTGCACGACTCACAAGCACAGGACTCTCAGTTCTGAGACCTATAGTAGACCCCACAGAGCAATTGTGGGATACTTTCGTTACCTTTCGCGCAATGATGCAAAGCAACTTCATCCACAAGGAAGCACTTTTATCTCTTTCAACGGACGATGACTTCCTCCTGGCAGCAGCAGTACTCATAAACTACACTTTAATTCCACTTTTGAGAATTTTCGTGAGGTACCCTGTACTAGGGATAGACTCGGACAGATATTACGGAAGCAACCAGATTATAACCAGGTGCACGTCAGTCGAATGAATATATCAAAAGATGTCCTCTGGTTTTTGTGTTTGATGATGTCGTGTGGAGAATTCATTGTAAAATATTCAGTACCAGAGCTCCACTTCGAGTATATTACGAGAGAAAAAAGGCAGAGGATCTTCAACAGAATATCAACACTAGCATCATGTTGTATGATTTTTCCATCAGGCACAGCAGCTGCCCAGTTTGGTAGGTGAAAGCCGTATGAGCGTGGCGTTTGCATCATTAGCAGAGAATCCGCACGCACTTCCCGAAGTGCGACAGACTTTGCGTGACATCGAATTGGGGGAGCCGGCAAAAAGTGAGGCAGCAGAGGCATTCCAGAGTACTTACTTTCCTTTATTCAGGAGCTTCACGATTTTACTTGAAATTTAATCTTGATTCCTAAGAGATGTTGAGTGACTGATACTAAATGAAATCGGAAAAGATAAATATACTGAGCCAGAAGCAAGAACATGTGCAAATGGCGCAGCGGTCAATGTGTCGGACTCGAGTTCGAATGACCCTGGGTTCGATTCCAGAAGGGATGCGAAATCGTGGTATGTCTGGACCTCTGAGCTCTGCTCTGCGGACAAGACACAAACAAGTAGATAGGGAAATCTGACTGGAATCGAGCACGGAGGAGAGGACAGCGACCGCTAGCGCATAGGCAAGAGGCCGTCGACATGATGACAAACTACTAGGTCAGAATCCGAGAGTACTCGGTGAAGACTACAAAGAAACGAAGATTAATAATTGCCTGACTTTTGACTGGAGCTGGCTTTGACCTGCTTTTGGTGAACAAATGCCGAAGCGTTTTTGGGAGTAGGAAGAATTGCCGTTATGTGCGGACCGGACGAATGGCCAGCTTTCCTTAGAGGACGAGCTGGGTGACTCACTTCTTTTCTTCGATGAGGTTTGTAAAGTGTAGATCTCAATTACTAGCTCTAAGCCTTACCGGATGAAAATATCTGTCTTTAGCATTTATGTTGACTTTTGAATCAACGACAGAAATCGGAGATTTGCAGGGCGCCGGCCAGCAGGTCTTGCACGCTTTGCAGGGTTTACATTTGACGCATGGACCACCGGCAGGCCTTTTAAGCTTGCAACCAGAGTCGCGCGTCCGAGACACGTGGAACCTTGGCGATTTGCTGTTGGGATCAGTGGCGCGTAGTGAGTTGGCCACAGCCGCATTGGCGATGCGGGATATCTGGGCCTGGCTTGACTATCATCGGCTTCCAGCGCCTAGCGGCACTCTTTTCGTGGAGGAGCAGGCGGAGCACCTCGAAAGTCTTGCTGATTTTCTTGCCCTGCAGGTACCGTTCATGCACACAGTACTGCATACTTTGTCGCTACCTGCCCAGGCGAGTGGCAGCAGCCTTCTTGGCGCGCCTCCAGCGCCGAGCGCGGTTGACGAATGGATGCGACTAAGAGCGGTCACTTCCGGCGGCACAGATGATGGGAGTCGAGGGGGCGAAAATCGGCACCGTGCTGCCCCTGAGTCGAGAGCAGTTATGACGAGCAGTATCATGATAAACCAGAGACGCAGTTCATGTCTTCCGCATCTGCAGAATTTGAATATACCGTTGCTGCTGTTGCGCCTGTCCTCGTCGGGCGCAGTGACGAATCCGTGGCCACTCATACTGAATTTTACGGAAGCCTTGCCGGTGGAGCGACCGGTGTCTCCGATGTACTTTCGCGCACGATGGCATTTGATGAGCCAGGATTTGGACGATGCTTGTGCGCTCTTCCGCAAGCTGCTCGAAGACTTTTCGGCGGGCGAAATGAGCGAACTCTGGCTGCAGTTGGTCCCCGAGGTGCCGCGGTGGGCCGAGCTACTCGCCGATGCAACCGCGCAGCTACGGCCGCAGCTCGGCTACTGCTTTCACGTGGCCAACGTCTTGTTACAGCAACAGGGCAGCACGGTGGCGACGCACGCGATCGAGTTCCTCGAGCGGGCATGCAAAATTATAGAAGAGGACGTTACAACATCTTTGATTGCCAATCATGGACGTGGAGGAACGACAAGTAGAACAAAGCAGGGAAGTTCTGCGGCGGGAGGGAACCTGGCGCAAGTGATAGAGGACGAGCCTATGTTAGTCGACGACGTCAACGAGCAGGTGGACGTAATTCTTGAAGATCATCATGGGTATCCAACTACGGGTGGTGCAGGTGTGGCACTAGACACGCCGACCACAGCTAGTAGTACGGTTGTTCTTGCATGGTGGGGCATGGCTCTCGAGTTCGCACTGGAACACAAGCTGTGGGGTCATGCCCTGCGACTGGTGGACGAGAAGATGGCACCGCATTCGTTGAGTGGCGCGAAGCGAGCTTTGCTGAAGTTGTCATTTCTCCTTCGAAAAAGCGGCGCCCTCACAGTGCTGGTTCCGCACTTTACCGCTTTGCGACGAGAGATGCAGGAAGCGCTGCTGCAGGATCTCATCGCACATCGCTGCGAGAAGACGCTCTACTCTTTAGCATTAGCGGAGGCGCAGGACGTGCGCGCCGCCTACATCGCGCTGCGCATGTACGAGCAACTCCGGGAGGAGAGTGAGCGAATTCTCGCGGACAACCTTGGCACTGGCTATCAGCGGCAGAGCGGGTCCGAGGGTCATTTCACGTGGACACTGGCGAAGGAACCCTTGCTATACGGCGAGTTCCTGTCATCTTCCTCTTCAATATCCGCATCAAGTGGCACTGCAACTTCCTCATCAGATCATGGTGGCCTACTACCGTCCCACGACAAGACTGAGGACTACCAGAGAAGTGCGCCAGAGGCCGTCGAGGCTTCGTCACACGACTATCACGATGAAGGCGAAAATAACATGGCAGCAGCTACTAGTAGTCCGAGCAAGCGGGTGGACGCCAATCATGAAGATGCAGAGGTTCGAGCGTCGGCGCTTCACCTCGCAAGCACGTTGCTCCACGCCGTACCGGCAGCACTACTCAAGCGGCAGCGGGACTGCCTTTTGCTCTGCCTCGCGGCAAAACCAGAGCCAGAGTTTCTCTATCTTCCGGAGGAGCCACAAAGTGACCCAAACGAGTCGGAATCAGCAGTTGGAGTGCACATTCGAAGTCGGCCGACGCCCACACGAGCGAGGCCGATAGGAGCGACTATAGGCTTGGCGGGTGCCGCAACAGAAGCGGAGCGACTCCAGCGTGCCCGCGTCCGCGGCATCTTCAGGAGTGCACGACGTCAGGCGGCGGAAGCGGTGCTCACGAGTCGGGATCTGAGGCGTAAAGTTGCAATCTTAGAGGCACGCATATTTCTTGCGGAGTCTCCGTTGCGGCCGCTGGGCATGGAGATCAGTGGTGACTGCACAACCTTGTCGGAAATCTTTGCGGGATCGTGGAAGCCTAGAGTGTTCACCACTGCACTGCTGCACGATCCACGGTATTTGGCTTCGAAGCTAGCGCAACAGGGATTGGCCATCAGCGCAGTTCACTTGTGTCAGTATTTTGAAGGGATCGACGTTTTTCAGTTTGCCCTCAGGCCCTTCACGGCGCTATTGCTGCATGCCGAAAAAACTGCGGGCGGTGCTGCAGCTGCTTCGGAGCCGGCACATGCGCTCTCCGTTCTCGTCGAGGTTGCGGCTCAGGCAGGTCTTCTTCGGGGTATGTTTCTTCGACAGGATGGAACAGACTCCTTGCTTTTTCCACCTCGTGGAGGAACAGCGAGTTCCTCCTCGTCTTCCTCCAAGGCAGGTCTAGCGGAGGAAGCGGCTCGTCGATCGCTATGGTTGACATTGGAAAGTCTCACTTTGCGTCTCGGTTTTGAGTGTGAGCTGTGTGAACTCCTGTTGTCGCAGTCGTCCGAGAGGTTGCCGGTTTCGCTTGTACAGGCTTTTTTCTTCTGCGACACACCAGAAACCTCAACTACAAACTTTGTTCCGACGGCGCTCAGTACCACTACAGCAAGGCATTTCTTAACAACTACTAGTACAGAGAACCAGCCTTCTCGTGTTAGAAGTACAGCGACGACTTCCCAGTACTGTACAGAAGCCAGCAGCACAAGCACGAAGTGGACCCAGCTTCTGCGAATGTTGATGCAGTACGGGCGACTGGAGGAAATCATGGCTCTGCTGGAGAAAAAAGTCGAGCGTCGCGGTTTCACCACCTTGGACGACCACCAAAGAGAAAACCACCTATCATCAGCTATAAGAGGTGGTGCAACTGCTTCTGCAAATGTTGTTGTACCAGGAGTAGGAGATGTAGCAGGAGGAGGCGTAGAGAGCTCTCGCCCACTGCTGTTGCAATTGCGCAATGCACTCCGCCAGCAGGTCGGGCGTACATCTGTTCCTTCGACACCTCCCGCGGCCATGCAACAGCTAGAGGTCTTGGCACAGTGTGTCCGCCGTATTGATCGCATGTTGGAGGGCCTTCCTGAAGTTTGACAACGGTATTTATCCACTATAGTATTCACTCTTCCACCGCAAATATGGGCGGCATCCTCCGCTTGGCGGTCTAGGGCCGACGGAGTAGAAGATGCTCATGAATCAGGTCGGCATCCTCGTTTTCAGTTTACCTGATTATTGTGAGACAACAACAAGTAAGGCAGAGTAGACGCACTGACTATACTACCTCAAGACTGCTTTACCATTGAGTTTGACACGCAACGCATACGCAGTCCCAATTTTTTCGTGAGAAACATCGCGAAAGCGGTATCCGCTATGTCACACCGAACAATTTTCACATTAGAGAAGTTTCAAATGTGTTCCCCCCTGCAGCAATATGGAGCCCACCGACAAAAAAAGCAGTTGGGGATCTCTTGAAATTACATGCAACGGCAACATGACACTTGACTGATAAAGCTGTCAAAACATATAAAAGATAGTAAATGATGTGAAGACTCCTCGAACATCTTCATTTTTTTCACACGCGGGAACTTATCTACGGATTGCAATCGAGGAGCACAAATTGAAACCATCAAAGTCTTTATTCTACCTTTCATCTGGTTTGAAAGAAAGAGCTTGTGGGCATTGAGATCTTCGCTGCCAAGAGAATCCCTGCTCTAACAATGGAATCTGGTCATGTCATAGGTGTCGCGGAGTTGGTTTCCTAAGTGCTGACGTTTGTCGTACAGATAAGTACTTTGTATCATGTTGGCGGAATTTATTACATGATCTCTTGCTCTTGGGCATCTTCAATAAGAAAGCCATCTTCTCCGCTGAGATGAATTTGTTTTTTTTGACTGAAGACGGACGCTGAAGTGTTGGGACAAAATGAATCTTCATTCGTAAAGTGTAGTTTCAACATTTGATCTGTTGATGGGAATCGCTGATCACTCGTTCTAGTAGAATGAGGAAGATGGAGCTGCTGAAGAAAGAACAATCAAACTCTGCATTATTTTTTTCAGCTTTTGGAAGAATTCTTCAGATTCATCAGAAAATACCCCAGGACGAAGGAGGTTGAAGGATGTGTCCGGGAGTGTATCTCCTGTGTGAGACGGTGGTGAGCTTCTACTTTATGAATGTATTATATTAAATAAATCTCATAGGTCGACATTATTTTAGCTCTACTTCTACTTTTGGTATTCATACAAGAAGCCGTACTAATATCAAATATGAGTACCCATGATGACGAACACGTTGTAGTAGAATAATAGACCAATATAACAAACTACATTCCTTCCTTGAAGTGGTGAAGATGATCATGTTGATGCTGACTACTCTACTAAGTAACTGAGTCCTAGTCGCACCCTCCTGTTTCGCGCTGCGTGGTTTTGCCTGCGATTTGCGTGGGATTTTGTTTCATTCATCACTCAGAAGTACCTGCATACGAGAAGAACGAACGCATCAATTGATAGATGACGCCATTGCCGGAGATTATACCAAGCACCCATGTCCGAACTTGGCAGCCATGAGTCATCTAGCCTTTTCTACCCTGTGCATCAGGCTTTTTGTTTTTCAGTTATTTGATACCTAGATATCTTTTTTAGGAGATTGCTATCGCCGCTCGCGCGGGTCCGCGATTCCTTACTACACTTTCTGGTCGTCTCGTCGCGTAATCATGCGCGCTCCACCTAGTACTGTTGCTTGCGCAGTAGAATTCTCGTGATGGCCGGCCCACACCCTCTGCGGCATCTGGTGCAGTTGCGTGGCATATCTAAATTCATGCGTTTTTAGGTTTCTAATTGGCTGGTAAAGAAAGAGACCTGGCGGAGGGTCCCTGATTCTGCTTGATTGACCCAAGAAGTCTGTGAATTTCATCTGATGCGACGTTTCTTACGATGTTGCTATGATCGTAGTTCTGTTGTTCTTCATGCTTATTTTCGGAAAACTCGTGACGAATCGCAACAACTCTTACCTTGATAAGTGGGCTTGATTTTCAACCTATTAATTGATATTAGATATCTACGAACTACCTCTACCAACTTCATTGGTAAACTTTCGATGTTGATCTACTTCTTGATACTAAAAAAATAAAAGTAAGCCCTTTTTTGGTTAGCTAGGTTTAGGTCAGCAGCAGGAGGTCAGAGGTTCCATGGCATGCCTTGTGACTTGAGGGCGTTCATTGTTGAAATGAGCGGGACGGCGGACTATGTTTAATCCATGCATTTTGTTGAGCATTCCGATGTATTTGCGAGTTTGTTGTAAATATATTTAACAGCATGATGTGCTGCATGGCGTTAGAAAAATTATTGTAGTCCTGCTCTTCTCCTGCTCCACGCATACTATCGTCGTGGCCATCAAGAAAGAAAAGGCCCCAACAGTATCCAGTGTCAAGGCGGCGTCCCAGTATCGCGGCTGGCTACAGCAAGCTTCTGGATCTGGAAGAACCTTCAGGAGGAGACATTACCTTAATTGTAATAGATGATACCTTTATCACGACACAACAAAAAATTTTCTCTGAGCTCTTTCTTGTTAAGAGTCAGCTCCGGCGGCGGGTACGGGCGACAGGATAATGAGGAGCGATCGTATGACATGCTAAGCGCCTGCGAAGAATAGCGCGACGAGAAGTAGTGGCAACAGCTAGCGACGCCTAAAGCAGCGCATAAGGAGAGTGAAAAGAAATAGTCATCCGGGACCGGCGCTTTACATGCTCATGGTCTGACCTTCGATCTGATCACTTTATCGGAGAGGCTCGTACTCGTAGCCATTCAATGTAGCAATTTTTTTGGACTCTGCCCTCTCGGTGCACCTTCATCTATGTATAATTCATCATGTAACATGAACAATTGTAGCAGTAGTCCTAACAACAGCTTCTGCCTTCTGTTTCTTCTGCCTCAAGCGGAGCCTGATATAATGATGATCGCCCAGTACTAGTGTTCTAGTACTTTTGGAAAAACGGCGGGCAAGTTTGGGCAAATGCGAACACTACAAGAGAAATTTGCTTCATCTCCCAGGACGAGTGTATTCTTTTACAATGGCGAAAAATCTGCACAAAGGCCTGAACAATGGAGAGACATGGGATGAAAAGCAGCAGGAGCTTAATTCGGAGAACATGGAGTTGGTGGAGGCCATCGCGCAGGCACAAGATGACTCTTGTAGATGTAGCGTCCTCGGGGATTCGCGGTCTTCATTTTCATCCAAGAATATAGACGAACATGGTGGAGGGCATTATAGTACCAAAAGTCATGATATCCTCGGAGGATAACCGGCAGAACCAGGACCACATCAACATGGACGGAACAGCTTTTAGGAGAGGTCGTAGGTCTTCATCATCAGGCTCGTAGCATCCGTCTTCGATACAATTTCTCACATTTCCTTGTGAGGTACTCAAGTGGGGGCCGCTCGAGTCTGGATGGTAGAGAGCGACCTCTAATAAAACTACCCCAGCATAATTACAACAGGAGCGCCTCTTCGCACGGCTTAGAGGAGCAGGAGGAAAGAACGATGATGGAGATGTTAAGGCAAGGCTAGTTTGTTTTCAATCATTATCATCACCGAAGTGTGAAAGTAAAGGGTACATGATCGATGCTTGTTGACTCAAAAGATGGCCCTAGAAAATAGCACGAGCCAGGTTTCATAACATGAGGCGAAGCCCACCCTTTTACAATACGTGGGGCGAACGGGGAGCGTGGCCACGGATCACCATCATCAAGAAGAGGCTTTTTTTCAGCCAGCTCAATAACAATGGAAGCATTGAAAACCTGGCAAAAAAAAATTATTCTAAAGAAAGTAGGCGGGAGACGACCGAGCTACAGCTACAGCAGAAATGAGCCAGGACCGACACCAGTACCGAGGTGGGACGGTGGAGGACTAGAGGATGCAGTCGTCCGGCAAACTTCGGAAAATGAAGTGGCCTTTGACTCTATTAAGGTTGAAGACTAATCAGCATTTTTTTGGGGTCTCAATAGCATGGTGGTCACATTTCAACAGTAATCACTATTTGCTAACTAGAATTATGGAAGTCGCCATCTTCTCTTTCTCATGAAGAAATATTGACGGTACTTCAATCATAATGATTCACCTACAGTTTGCATTAGGTAAGGTCTGATGAGAATGTTTTGTCTGGAAATGGAAATAATGGGTCCCCTGTTGATATTGTTTTATCGATCAGCATGAGTCATCTGTTCGAGGAAATTGACGAGGTAGATTCCTGATTTTATTGATATTTTGGTGTTTTCCACTGACGTCCTGTTGCTGATGCTTCTCTACACTTCATCAAGTAAGTCCACGGGGATAGTAGAAGTTTATCTAAGTCGTATCGTATCGTTATTTTCCAGTGATGCAAGAGATAATTGTGTTGATCGAGGATCATCTAATGTCTGCAGCGAAAGTCAAGGAACAAGTGTTTCAAGCGCAACTTTACGAAAGCAGTCGCGCAAGCGTACCTTACAGATGCTTCGCCAGCAAAATATGCGAGTGCAACAGCACTACCGGTCGATGCATAGCGTTCCTTCGCGTCAGCAGGATTCGCATGCGGGTGAACCACCGCCCTCTGGTTTTGGTGCTAACCCAAATCATGAGGCTAGGAACGGAGTGGAAGGGGATCATCATCTTATTGAAAATCGGCAGGATAGTGCTGAGCATCATTTGCGAGTTACCGATGATCAAGGTGATGGACGAGGGGATATTCGGGATCCTCCTCCGAGCCCTTTCTTCGGTCCGCTACACGCGGCTTCAACGCCGCACGATGAAGGACGCAGAGGCGCAGAGAGCTCAGACCGGGATGACTCTTCTCTAGGCCCACCGCCCTCGGCCGGTTTCACAGATCTGAGCTCTAGCGCCCAGTCTCAGCTGCTATACGAAGTGCGGCAAACCTACCGAGGCATGAAGCGCTATTTTCGTCGTCGAGACCGAATTAATAACCATGGCAACGATTATGCTCACGGACCCTCTGGTGATGGCGCAAATGCGACTGGTGGATTCAGCGATGACGACGTAAATACGTTGGCAGAGGAGCAGGAACTTCGAGACCTGGAGGCAGATATCTCGTCTGGCGGTCTCTACACCGCCCTAAATAAGAATGATAGTGAGCAGCAGTCCACACTGTACACCGAGGATCTAGGAAGCGTCTACAAAGACCGGCATAGTGGAATGCAACAAAATGAACATCCTCCACATGATGGGCGACACGACTACGACCAGCACCGGAACAGCATGTTAGACCACGGCACGGGGGGCGAAGGAATTGATCATAGAAATCGTATCAAAGTATTCGAACAAAATAACTATGATCAGCGCTACTGCACAGGTCAGCACAATCGTAGAGCTGCCGGGCAAGAAATTAGCTATCATGATGCTGACCATCACCATACAACATCTGGTCCTGGCTTGGCTGGGTATGCTCCTAGTGGACAGCAACTACAAAATGAATTATCTTCGTATAGCACTGGGGAACAAATTGACCACGTCGGTGCTGCATCATCCCACTCGAGGCCGGGCACTGCAATGGGTGCGCTACAGGAGGCGCCTCTACGAGGTAGACTTGACAGCGAAGGAAAGGTCGACGGGGTGCGCTACCAGCACGGGGTAAGTGGTCGTCGTGAATCGCAGCAAGGATATCCCCGGGCAAACCAAGCACGTGGAGATGGGCAGCGTGACCTCCACAGAATCCGCAGTTCTGTCGTTGGTGGACCTCAGTCGCCGCATGGTGAATCGTCAGGATCATCCCGCCATTGCGCTAAAGTAGATGAAGGAACTGGCCTTCCACGAGCATTGAGTGCATCTTCAACAGGATGGCACCCAAGGAGAGGCTCAGCATCAAATTTGGAGCATGAGCCTCAGAGATGGGCGCTTCAGGCGCATGGCGCCTCAAGTCATCGGCTCGCCGGCACCGACGGGCAGCTCCGTGCTAGGCCTGAAAATAGAGGTCAGCAAGAGGAGCAGCGTCCGTTATATGACGGGGAGCACATCAGCGACCATGGAGGGACCAGGAAAGCACCTACTCCTGTACTAGAGGACGACGGTACCCACAAGAGTATTTCGGCAGGGGACGGCAGCACACACAAGAGATGGTTGCATCCTGAAGGTGAGAAAGGGCCACCAGATGAAACCAAGTATTTGCCTCCAAAAAATGCACCAGAGAGAGGCGCTAATGGGTTTGATCCACAGGCAGAGGATGGGTCCCTTCAAGAAGCGCTGGCTTACCTAATGGGGCAATTTGACGACAAAGACGGGACGCTGAAGCAGGCGCTGGGTGGACTGGATTTTTCTGCAGCTGGTGTACGACCAGGTCTCGGTACAACTACACAGAAGTCCTGCCCATCACCAGGACGTGCTTTATTGACCGAGCACGAGCAGGAAGGCTCTGCAGGGTTCCGCGCGAACCGCTCGTCCAGGTCATCGTCTTACTCTTCTTGCGATCCCGATGGGTTTTTTCCAGCCGCGTCGAGAACACAAGGTGGAGTGGCAACAGGAGAGGAGGAGAATGTGAGAGCACATGAAACACAGCATCCACCGCACTCTCTTCCGTTTCAGATCTCTCCCAATGGTGTCATGTCAACGTGGACTGCGTCTCCACACGGCTCGAAAAGCACAAGAACGAACCTTTCTGAGCCTGTGCACGGTCGTCGTGGGCTTGCTTCTAGCCGGGGTTGTGGTCTTCCTTCTGGCTGGGGACATCAGCAGGATAACCACGGGTTGTTGTGTCAGCACCATACGCGTTTCGGCTCCCGGGTTGAAGCCTGTGAGGACTGCGGAGTCCTACTGCGCATTAGGGTGGAGCCGTGCTTTCCGGAGGTCCATCCTAGGACGAGGTCGCCGTCGGTGCTTCCAGCAGGGACCGCTCTGTGCCCTCCGGTGGGTCCGCCCGAGAGCTCCGGTGCGTGGTTAACATCCTCACGTGGTGCCGTAGCGCAGCCCGCAACATCCCCTTCTTCGTCGACATCCAGTAGTAATTGCGACGCGAATCACAACTATCCTCAATGGGGTGCCGGAGTAAGAGTCACAAGGAGTAGGGCAGCGAGATCATTCTCCGGCTTCGCGTTTGCCAGCGGTCACGCCTTTAACGAACGTGATCTTCGACTGCAAGATTGTACGGATACTAGCACTAAGGGAAGCAAAAATCACGATGAGGAATACAACAATGACTACGCGCTGCAGCAGCAGCAACACGCCGCCCCTCTCGGTCCGTTTTCGTCCTTCCACCAGGAGGCTATTCGACCAAGCCTGGAATGCCGCCTAGTCCCTCACGGCGACTCGCTCAACCCATCACGAAGCGGGCCGGTGGTCTACATTGGTGGAGCCTCGAGGTCAACACGGCCGCACCCTGCGGCAGACGCGAAATTCTCCACTGTAGATGCACGTCAGCAGAGTCGAGGAAGTCCTCCACCTGCACCCTCTGTGGAATATTCGAGAAGAGCAGTTGGCGCATTAGCAGTCGGGGGTCGGTTGGTGCCGGAGACATCGAGATCGGAAGAACAAATCCGAGGTCCTGTGCCGCATCATGGTCGAGGAGGAGGAGGCAGAAATCTCGTGCCGCAGCTTGACCAAGGAGGCAGAAATCCCATGACTGACGACCACCACCACCACCCTGACAAAAGGAGTATAGTGGGGGTAGGACCAGGAGAAAATTTTAGCACATCATCTGCGAGACAATTCGTTGAGCTCTCCCACTTGTCTTCTTCAGGGTGTTCCCTAGAGGCAAATGGCATGGGGCGATTGCACAAGTTCGGCGAGAAAAGAGGTGCCGCGAGAAGAGAGCAGAACAAAAGCGATACAGCCCAAGCTTGCTTGAAGGAGGACGCGTCATCGCGTTTTACCAATGACGGAAATGAGGTACGACCATCAGCTGCTACAAGGGATTTTATTGTAGGACCAGGCAATTATCACGCTGTGCCTGTGGAAGGTGAGCAAGAAGTTGTACTATCACGAGTAGTAGAGAATCAGGAAATACATGCTGATTCCTTACCAGCACCTGCGACGAGTAGCGGAGGAGTTTCTTCTGCAGCAGGGGGTGACCGCAATATTAATCTAGAGGACCAGGAGCACATGCAAGGAGGACCATCTAGTGTTCATCCCGGCATGCCCTCCCCTGACACTACGTCGGCAGAACAACGAAACAATTCGGGCACGACCGTTGCTGCCGTGGCGTCTCCGAAGGGGGATGAGTTTCAGAGGATTAGTCGAGCAGAGGCCTCCAGGATATTTGCAACGCTCATGGTGGCAACCCTTCACGACGAATTCTACAGTGAGTGGCTTAGAGGCGATGGTAATACTTCTTGACTTTATTAAGTAGACGAGTTGGTCCCTCTTTTTACCCCTCCTCCTCTCCCTCTTCATCCCCGCGTGTTCGGTTATATATATTTATGATTATATGTTTTCCTAGTGCATCCGGCTTTCTACTAAACAACTGCGGAGCTTTGCCAACTACCAGCTCTGCGCCTTGGAGGCGCTCATGACCTTGAGGCAGTCCTCATGCTGGTCCTATCATATTGCGTCTGATTGCGCGCGGAGTACCGTAGTGCACAGCCCGCCCCACCCCGGGCCCACCTCGCCCCCGATAAGACGAATCCTGCTAGTGCAGGGCTAGCCAGTCTGTGACGAGTCGCCGTCTAGGGCACTCCCGCTTTATTAGACGAATTGGCGGCGTATTTCGTAAATAACATTGATGATCATCCTGTTGAAGTACGCCACGATTTCATGAATAAAAGGGGAGTAGTGTTTGCACTTTATTAACCAGCTGTAAGTAAGAAAGATAAAATTTTTGCTGTTGATGTGCATTTTCCATTTCTTACAACAATGGAGTAGAAGCAACGACATAATGCTGGTACTAGAGCGGTCAGATAGTATGATGCATGTTCTGGTGGAGTTTTCCACATTTTATATATATAAATATGTACCAGGGAGGGAGGCCCCCCCCCTGTGGATGGATCTGGGGTGGACCACGCCAGAGGGGTCCAGCCTTGCCACCTTTGCCAGGTCTGTCGAGGGGCTGCCGGGCGGGAAGGCCTCAAAGCGCCCACTTTTGACCCCTTCCCGCTTCTTGCATGTGCCCTACAGACCTGGCAAAGGTGGCAAAGGCTGGGCCCTCTTGTCGTGTTGCGTGTACCCGACAGAGCTGGCAGGCGAGGCAAGGCAGGAACCCACCCCCTTGGCGTAGGGTTGGGCACATGCAACGCGCCAGAGGGGTCCACCCTTGCCACCTTTGCCAGGTCTGTCGGGTACATGCAGCACGCCAAGGGGGTGGGTCCCGCCTTGCCTCCTCTGCCAGCTCTGTCGGGTACACGCAACACGACAAGAGGGCCCAGCCTTTGCCACCTTTGCCAGGTCTGTAGGGTACATGCAAGAAGCGGGAAGGGGTCCGAAGCGGGCGCTTTGAGGCCTTCCCGCCCGGCAGCCCCTCGAAAAGAGGGGCCGGGGCGGGGAGGCCCCCCCCTCAAAAAGTTAGATCGGGGGGGGGCCTCCCGCCCTGCGCCCTGGAACATATATAGATATTTTGAAAAATGTGGATGTTTTCAAGGGTAAGATATATCTTGCGCAACGCTCAAAGCACTACGTAAAACAATCAACCGGTTAGTTTTCATCTCACCAAATCTAGGCTTATCCCATGCAACAATAGTCTTGTCATTTGCAGGTGATGTAAAGCTATCAATGGTGTTGATGGGATCGGAGGTGTGCGTGGACAGCCAGTGTGTGCTCGATGATGCACCCGGTGGCACCAAGGCTGGCACCTCCATGGTGGAACGGTTCGCCGCAATGTTGCAAGGTCCCTTTGAGCAACTAAGCGGTGACGGGAGTACATGTCAACTCGAATCCGGACGCCAAAACCTCGCCCTGGTTGACGACCCCTTGATGCCTGGTTCATCGGCTCCCTCATCGTCGTTTGTCGAGGATCATCAACGTGAGATTTCGAGCGGAGCTGCAGTATCCTCATCGATCAACGTTGGCTCCGACGAACCATTTGAAGAACGTCCGCCATCTCCCTGTGACGTGCACAACTTCCCTGTGATAGAACGAATGATGTACACGCAACTACGTCCCGAACTCTTTCCAGCGGCTGGGCCCCGGTTTACCGCAGTCATATATCAGCCAGGTAATGTTGTACTTGGAAGATGCGTATTGAATTATACTCCTTCTAGATGGAATGGGCACAGCTTATCATCATCATTGTCATAGGTGAAAAAAACTTACCTGCTGGTCGTGTCATTTATACCCCATGAATTGCTATCTCACGACGTGTACTACTTCCACTGCTAGTGCTTTGACTACTGGATGTTGTTTCGCCGTTTGTTGTTAAGTAGTGCTAGTGGTTGACGAGCCTCTATAATGATATCTCGTGCTTTTTAGAAAGCATCTGACTCTCCTAGAAGATGAATGACTTTGAGGAAGCAGAATTTAGATGTGTATCTCATTAATCATATACTGGCGCTCAGTTTATTTTCGTGGGGGCGGGAGGTAGGAATGCAATAATCATCGTGACGATGAAAAAAATTTACATACACTACAGCTGCGACGCTCGAGTTCCGGCAGTTGCAGGTGAACGCAGCAACTACGCAGTTCTTCAAAGCAACGTTTCCTCCGGTCAACTATCGCTCCTACTTATGCTGTTCGTGGTTTCTCAATAAGTTTTCATCTTAGATGAGATAAGATTGTGGAAAATGATGACGGAGATGGAGTTGAATGTCCGCTGCGCAGTTCGTGATAACTAAGATGTTGAATTTGCTGCGAAAAGTATTACAATACCTGAAGATGTGAGTGTGTCCTCTTCATGGAAAAAGTCCTAGCAGTTTTCTCTAATGTTTGGCTTCTTGAGACCAGAATTTCCGCCGCAAATCAGCAGAGTAGAGGCTGCGAAGGTGTCGTGTGTCGAAGCGGGCCACGAGCAGTCGGAGACCGATGACGCGCCAGTAGAAATGCGTGTAATCACGACAGCAGAGCGCTTCCTTGAGGCGCTTGCAACCAGATGTCCGTGGCATGAGCAACCAGTGCCGGATAAAGAAATCGTTGAGGAGTTCCTCCGTGAGCGCTTTTTTCTCCGCAAATCCACATATTATGATGAGGAAGAACTTTTTACACGAAGATGTGCACCTAGATGCACAGCTCCACAACAGCATGCGTCCTTGCTTACACTAGAATAAACATCTTCGTATGAGTCTCTTGCTAGTTGCAGTATGCTTCTTAGTAGCTCTAAGGTTGTATCCTGGAATCCTACGGCGAGGTTCCCCGAACCAAAGACGAAATCTCTTTTACGGCAAATCGGATTAGAGATCTCTCGACGATGGACGAGTTGGCTGCGCAACTTGAAGGCCACGCGTACTACTTCTTCAATGCAACTCATTATATGACTCTTTGAACACTAACTAAACTAACCTAACTAAATAACCTAAAGCTACTAATAGTAATATCAAATAGAATTAGAACAATTTGTTTTAGGTACATCTGGAATCTACTTTGCTTTTCCAGAACCAACCATGGTATTTTCACATCAACAAAAACAAATGTGCACATAATGGTCGGTAACGTTCATGGAGTTTGAATCATTTCCGCTCTGCATTAAGCGAATGTTGAAGAGTATACTCATGAAAAAACACGAAAGTGGGGAAAGTAGAAGTGTTAGTTCGTGGTTCTGGACCTTCAGTTTTCAGGATTGAGTTCCTGCTAGGACAAGCAAGGGGTGAGGCTCCGAAGTTGGCATAATTTTGTGCCAACACTAAGGTATTTTCGCTATATGCTGAGGCTGAATGCGCTGGATAGATCGTATACTGTTGCAGGCGACGAGACCCGAGGAAAGGAGGGTTTACTAGTTCATTGGCATCGCAGCTTTTCGTGTCCGGAAGTTCGCGTTTACCCGCCGCGCAACGGGCTGCCGCTTATTTTCCAATACATTGGGGAGGCGGTTGAAAGCTATGCCGAAGTAATGGCGCAAAATCATGATGCAGGTGCTGAAGGTGAGAACTCTACTCCTCCCACAGCTGCTCTTCCACCTCCACCGCAGAACCGTGGTGGAGACGGAAATCTTTCACGGAACAGTGGCCAGGATAGCCATGGCTCTCCCAATTTGCGAGGGGGACCAGGATCCACCCCCTACAAGTATCGAAATAGCAACAGAGACTCCGCCCCCGGTGATCCTTATAGTACCAGCAAACATAAACGACAACACACAGAAAACCAACTCTCGTCTGACGAAGCAAGACTGCAAGTGCTCAACAGGGACCACGTAGACGGAGTAGTAGAGGGAGTCAGAGATGGCAACATAATACGATACAACGAAGGCCATGATAATCACGACGATGTTGACAACAGTGCTCTGTACCGCAATTTCGACGATGGTGAGATGGAGGAGGGTTTTTTTCCAGCCTCGTCATCGTCTAGCTCTACCATGATGAGAATGACAAAGAAAACAGCCGTTCAACATGGGTCACCGCGACCCTCAACGTCTTCAAAATTTCAGTATCGTCCGCGTTCGCGACGGCGGGATGAGTTATCTTCGAGACCTGGTGACTTGTTCCCGTTTGATTGCAGACAAAATTTTGGACTCCGGAAGGCTGTTGTACCAAGTTCGAATGGTCTGGAGAACAGCACGCAATCGAGACCGGAAGGCGGCCAAGGCTCGGGGCGTTGTGATGCTGGGCACCCAGCCATGAGTACGAAAAGCAGGCATGAAGGACATGCCTATGGCAGCAAGCTTGTCGTAGGCCAAGAGCAGCGAGAAGATGGGGTGGAGGCAGAGGGCGATACCGAACGCGCCGTTGAGGAGAGAAAGCAAGACAACTACACCAGGTCCAGAACCGCCACTACCGCCGATGAGAAAGTGAATGCGCATACCACTGGGGAAAATACAGCAACGCCGTCAAATTTGTGCGTTGGAAGTAGGAGTACAACAGGAGTAGAGCATGGTCACCAGCAGCCAGGAGTTTCTTCTTCTTCGTCATCAAACCAACTTTATCGTGACCACAATGGCATGTGCATGAGTCTAAAAATGAACAAGAGCAGTTCCAGAGGGATTTCTGCCGATCCCTCTCTGCGTGACCCGGATTTGCCATTGGACAAAAATATTAGCGGGAGTAGTTCAAGTAGTTCTAGGTGTACTTTTAGTAGAAGCTACCTCTGTGGCGGTCTCGGCCAGCAGGAGACGATCGTGGAGCAGCGCTTTGACGGCGTAAGTGAGCTACAGATCTCGTGCGGTGACGAGGAGTCTCGGTATCAGCGAAACGGACGCAACGGTAACGGACAGGAAGTCACAGCATCAATGTGTTATAATCCTAGTTCTTCTTCGCACGCTGTCGGTACAGGCGTATCCTATTCCGCTCTCCGCGGACCACGCGGCGGGCCACTTTTTTATTTTTTTCAAGGGGTGCGCCGGGAGGACATGAAGCAGAGCATGTTAGAGCAAGTTTCCTCTCGCAGCAGCTGCGGCCGGCAGCTCAATAGGGTAGTAATTTTTGTTTTACATACATAACAGAGTAGTTTATAGCACGCATGGTGCATGGAGTAGCATGGAGTGCATGGAGCGCAGAGCTTTAAGGGGCGCAAGAAGCTCCCCCTTTAGCTCCATGCTACTCCATGTGATCCATGCACTCCATGCCATGCGAGCTGTGAAACCTTATAAATTGCTCTGATATAATTTGGTACTTATTTGTTGTTGGAAGATTCTTTATAGTTTTTGATTTTGATGAGTTAGTGTTAGTTCACACGTATTGTCAATGTATCAGCACTACAATTTCTACAACCTGCACCACATTATAAATATATGTAAATATTTTTAACTAATATCAGCGGCGTCGCAAAAGTAGGCATCGGTCGCGGAAACAACATGGTCCTGAGGAGGAACGCGAAAAAGGTCATCTTCGTAGGAGGAAAAGAAGTGTGCGCCTTTTCGCCGACGAGCTGGGTTTGGTTACTGCATACGACTTTACTTGCCTATCCGAGAACGAGCGGCAGTTTTTGACGGACTTTCTCGCGCGCGATTTGAGACCGCTTCCAGCGACGGCGCTGCCAGAGCGGGGGGGCGTGGACGTGGTATTGCACTCAGACGCGGTGCAGCGGCTTTTTCGAGACGCTTTGGCGCATGCACGGCACGAACCGACTCCGACGTTGCCGAGGTAGAATAAGAATAATTAGTACGTGTACGTCAACGTGCTTGTTTTGGACTTGTTGGAGCCGCTTCCTTGAGATCGTCCCTAGTACTTCTGCGTGAGGTCTCGTCTCTAGCATCACTATCTTTACACCAGAAAAGATGCTTTCGCGGCACGACCAGAAGACCCGCATATATCTTGCCGTGCGGTACAGCACCTGCATCATAATGATCTTTGCTACCCCTGCTTTGTGTGATGAGCAGTTTGCGTATGCGTGACACTGTCCTTCTCCACAGGAGATGCCGAGTGCCCTACTAGCCTGTTGAAAGGTTACTTAAAGGCTTCTATTTGCGGACCCGAACGCAGTATATAACGGTGTGAAGTTTCCTTACGAGCGACCCCTGTCCCATCGTCAACGAGTCGAGAAGCGTGTTTGCCTCCGAGCCTAGTCGAAGGGTTGTGTCAGAGACGCATACAGCGTGCTGATGATGAAGTGTCTTGGCGACGTTTCAAACTTCGTCTCGTCGCAAGTGCTGATGTATCTCCAAGGAAGTATCAACGAGAATAAAGCAGAAAACTACAGACATATTTATTATAATATTAGTATCCACAGAAGCAAGGTAGACAGCGGGACACCAATGTGTTGAGTGCGACTGTGGCAGGAGACTTCGTGTGCGCCAGCGTGTTTGTAAGAAGAGACTAGTGCTGGCATGTAAAAGTAAAACACCGTTTGTTGGTGGCTCCACTTTTGTTTTCGGGGCTCTAAGCGGTGGATTGTAATTGTTATTGTGTGTCACTCCTCCGGGATGAACGGTTTCGATTTACAGTTCCTCCTCAGGGTTTGGTCTCAAAGCTGATTTGGTAAGTAAAGAAATCGGACACAAATGGAGATCATGACACGACAACATCCGACCCCTAAGTAAAACCTGCTCAATAAGACCTCTAGGTCTAAGGTCTGGCTCTTTTTGTTCTCGGAAGCATTTGATTTGTGTTTTTGTGGGTGGGTGGGTGTGTGTGGGTGCGAGTGCGCAGTTGAACTTGGAGAAAGCGCAAGGTCTTGGTCTTCAAGTGACGAAGCTGAGATGGTTGTCGAGCAGCACAAGGAGGATGGAGGTGCGAAAGATGACGAGTTGCACCCGTGTACTCGAAGAAGAAACGAATCATACAGCAGTATATCAATAGCGGGGCAACTGTTCCTCGAGGAGGTGGCGAGTTTTGACAAAGAGTGCATAGTAAGTTAGTAAGTTGAAGTTCTTATTGTTAAAAAAATTTGTTGCACGCCGTTATTCTCTAAGTCTAAAACTAGCCCCCTGGAGTGGTTCCCCAGGGGAAGGAGTCGAAGGGAACACGGGACACGCGCTAGACGCGAAACGCAAAAGACACACAAGGAAGGGAGAAAAAAAACAAGAGGAACAGTAAGGAGCCGCAAGGGGGAACAGAATTGATTTCCTAACTTTCAAAATTCACGTCCTAACTTTCAGAGTTCCGGCCTTAACTTTCAAAATTCATCCCCTAACTTTCAGACTTCATGCCCTATCTTTCAAAATTCATGCCCTAACTTTCAAACTTCAGGCGCTAACTTTCAAAATTCATGTCCTAACTTTCAAAATTCATGCCCTCACTTCCAAGATTCATGTCTTAGCGTTCAAAATTCATGCCCTAACTTTCGCAATTTATGTCCCAGCAGACTTTCAAAGTTCGCGCCTTAACTTTCAAAGTTCATGGCCTAACTTTCCCAATTTGTTTCTTAACTTTCAAAATTCATGTCCTAACTTTGGTTTCGGGGTTTTTGCTGGGAAGCTTTATCTCGTGCGTTTTCGCACTTCCTCCGCTGTTTCAAGATTTTAAATCAAAACACAAAATCAAAAATCAAAATGTAAATTCAGAACTAAAAATTAAAAAAGAAAAACCAAAATCAAAAAAGAGAAATCAAAAGGAAAAAGAAAAATCAAAAAAGAAAAAAGAAAACAAAGGCAAAACTTTATAAGTAAATAGATTAGGAGATGGGTGACTCTAGAGTTAATAATACTTCGCCTTCCTTGCATAATCTTAATCTCCCTCCCCTCTTGTTGGGTAAATGAGTGAATGGACGGCAGCGTGCATTAAACATACAGAGCAAACTGCGTATGGTTGGGGCCGTTTCGTCCCACCAGTAGTACAGGACAACTACTAGTGCAGACTACATGATGCTAACCGTCATGATTCATGGAAGAAGATACGTAGTGCGAGCTGGTGAGAGTGATTCACGAATGGACAGGTATAAGGCAATACAACTATCTAAATACCGAGCATGATCCATTATCGTCGAGTGAGTCGTTATCTTCATGTCCGTACCCGCCTGATTTGTTCATTGCTTTCTCGGTAGTACAGTGCCTCTTCGGTTTCTTTTGATTCGGGCTAGTAAATTTTTCTTGATCTCGATCTTGGTCTTCGTCCTTTGGTAGTCTATTTTTAGCGATTAGTCGTACAGGTGCAAACAATGAACCTGAAGCTCCATCATATTCTTAGAAACTAAAAACTCTGCTCGGAGACCTCCTCAGCGCATGTGTATACCAGTGGCATTGTTGCAAATATGAGACTGAGAGTAAAATAATACCACCGATGAACGCACCTTTTTCCTCCGTCTCCGTGACGAGACAGGAAGCCCAGGCGTTGCCTAATTGTGGGACTACATCACAGGAAGATGCTCTGGAAATATGGCTCGCCAGGGTTTTGGTATAAAACTTAAGGAAAGCGCTGTTCTCAGTCAGTAAGCTCGTATGTGAAAAGAAGTTGCATATACTAGACTTAAGCGCCCGGTAGCACTCCTCCCACTAGAACTCTCCACCGTTGGTACAATTATGAGCATGTCCTGGTAGGTCGCTCTTCGTGCCGATGGATCTATTGGGCCCTTGGGCGGTGTACTCCGTAGCTTTTCTACAACGCTGGCCGTATTTGCGTAGTTTTAGGTGCCTGGTCGTCGTGCTTCAGGCTTTTCGCGGGGGAGGAAAGCGAGAATTGTAGACCCAGGTAACAAAAAAAAACCGTTAGGTTTCTGAACCTTGAAGGCGCTTACGCGTATGCTATGATATCAGCCGCAAAATTATGAATTGCTGACTTCTTGAAATCTCTTGGGTTGTGTACTACCTCGAGTTTTATTTCTAAAAACAGGCAAAAAGACAAGAACCGTCAAAACTCTCTCAGTTGCTTCTACATTTTTTGAACGAATTCTTCTACTGTGTCTGTGCATAAATTCATCTAACTGGATTTGAAAAGGTTTTCGTTTTCGTGAAAGAATGTGTTTAAGATGTCTTATACTAACTTATACTTGGTGGATGGACTTTTTTAACTTTGATATGGAGTAGCACTAAATCTTCTTGTTGAAATTCGATTTAGGAGAGATTGCGTCGTGTTTTTGTGTTCCGCTTTTTGCGAACCGCACTCGCACGCAGTCGAACTGTTTCATGTAGTGGTTCGCTTTCTGAGTATCATACAATTTTTAGATACTTTTTTTGGAAGGTCGCGGTATATCCGGAAGCTTGTTCTCGATGAGAGGCAAGACTGTAGGCAAGAAATATGGCGACGTTCGTTGTTGTTCTGTGCAGGGCCTTCTAGACTTCCCTTCGATGTGCTGCTTTGTCTCCTGCTGACGAGCTGCCTGGCGGTGATGGCTTTCTTGGTTAACTCGGAACTTCCGGCGGTGCCGCTTGCATTTCGTCTATCCTGATGTACTGGTCTGCCTCTTCACTTTTCTTCGCGTAGCATCATGGTACCATATGCGCTGGCGACTCTCTCTGAGGTGCTTTGCCTTGGGAGCTATGCAACAGACAAGCGCCTGCGGCGGCGTGAAGCTCTCGGGAACAATGGCCCAGTCGATGAAGGTCAAGCATTGATGTGTAAGTTGAATGCGGATGGAGTGAATCTCCACGGTTTCCTTGCTAGATCTTTGCTTTTCTTCGTTTTTTGCTGTGTCCTCTGTCTCTCTCGTCGGCGGATTCGCTTTGATCTTTGACTGATCTCTCTCGCTCTGTTAACTTGTCCGAGCACTATTTATTGGCCTAGCGTGGTCTTATTTTATGACTGACTTCGCGTCTATCTACTATTAACTGACTTCGCGTCTATTCAGTAACTACTGACTTCGCGTCTATTCACTACCTAGCTGACTTCGCGTCTTTCCCCTATTATCGACTTCGCGTCTCCTATTCACTTCGCCTGTTATTTGCAATTTCGTATGAATCTAGAGATCCTCATCTTGCACTAGTGCACTGGCGCCGTCTCGGGTATATGCCGGGTCGGCGCACCGTCCGAGAAATGTACGACTTCTTTGCGCCCACCCCAGCTGGTGCGCTGGCCCTTTGGCCGAAGACTTTGAAATTGAAAGTCGGAAGCAGAAGAGGTTTTTCGTGGTTGATGTTTAGTATTGTTTATAATGATCGAAGCAGGCCAAGACGACCTTCGTTCCAACTCTGATGGTTCGTCTACAAAACGATCAGATATTCTTCGTTAGCAGCAACTGCAGCCGTCATTCAAGCATTGTTCTGCGGGGAATCGTGTATCCATCGCTTGCTCCAATCCCTGCAGATTGGAAGCGTCATGAAAAAGAATCCGATTGTCCATTCGAGAGAAGGTCATAAGCTTGATGGCTGCTATCATATTCTCCTTCAGATCTATTAATTCTTAGCGATCGAGCAGGTCTATTTGTTAGGTCGTAATCTAAAGATCGAAACCGTTCCGTAGAGGGCGATGCGCGAGGAAAGTCAGACTGGGTGCTTCTCCACGGCGGCCTTCGGCGCAAGACGCCGGGTACCATGTGTACATATTCCTTTGTTGCTTCCTTTGCGACATAAACACCCTGCTGTGTGCGTTAGGAGACCGAAAGTCCACGAACTGGCGTTGGAAACTGAAACGAAAAGCACCTGGTCATGATGGTGCTGGATCGTGTTTGTTGGCCGAGGAGGATCTAAGGTCTTTGTACGGTCTGCTTCAAGATAAGTAGTATATATAATTCACTGGCGTTGTGTGACCCCGTTAAGTGATTAGTAGGGTAGCATCTAGTCCTAACGAGAAAAGCGTCGGTGTTCTAGTTCTACAAGGGTCGAGCGTACGGCTCTTCAGATAGGAGAGTAGATTTGTTGGCCGATTGTGCGGCCTTATGCTTCCCAGGGTGGTTTTTATGAATTCAGTACTCAATGGTGTAAAATTTCTAATACCTGTGCCTATGGAAAGGAGAAGCATCTAGGCCTATGGAAAAAAAAGAAAAACTGTCCATTACTTAGGAAATAGGGGGCTTGCGTGACGAATTTAGAACTCTCAACTCTGTACATCAGTAGATAAAGTAGACACTCAAATCGTGAAACTGACACTGACACGACAAGGATGATCCGTTCGTCGTCTAATTCGGCTTCTGGCCTACTTCGACCTTGCCCAAAAAGCTTTTCATCAAAGCATCGTGCGCAGTACATCCGTACATTGGCACAAGCGGCAATTTCACCTACATCCGATGCCCATGATTTGGACCCGCGAGCAATCGCAGATATTCATCCAGCACCTTTTTTTGATGGGGGAAATCGTCTTCCATGTGGTCGTGCAGAAGCTGAAGTTGCAACAACATCTTCTAGTACACTAGGGCGTACACATTATAGCAGTTTCAGCGCTAAAAGGATATTTTTAGATTCCAATTCGTGCAGTACCGGCAGTTGTAGTAGTACTAGCAGAATAACAAAAATCGTTGGAGATGCAGCTGAGGAATCAATCGTGGTCCCTAGAAATCCAGGCGTTTCCTCCAAACGTGAGTCCTGCTTAGGAACCTCCTCAAGGTCATCTTCCGAAGATGTGGAGAAATTGAAGGGAGAAGTGCAAACTTTGTTCGGGAACCTACGGGCGCAAACGGTAGGTCGAATAGAGGAGTTCGCGGCCGTGCAGCTTTTTTCCTTGGCGTGGGCATTTTCTGTCGCTCGGGCTCTGGACTCCTGTCTTTATCAACAACTTCGCAAGCGCGCGACGGCTCTGGCACTGCAGCTTGACAGAAAACACCTATTTCTTAATAGAACGACTTCGCAAGAACGAGAACGACCTAGAAGTAAGCCTTCTTCGACGCCTGTTTCACTTCAACTTCAACAAGAAGATCATGAGAACAATAGCAAGATGGAAAGGCAAGAGTTTTGTTTGTCTTCATCAGATCTTCTTGAACAGCAAAACAATGCTAGGCCAGGTAAATCAACAATCTCTGTGGAAGCTCATACAACTTCTGAAAGTACAACTAGTGGTGTAGAAATGATGAGGGCGCAATACCAAGAGCTGTGGCAGAAAGCTCAATTAAGAGAGTGGAACCGCGACCACGAAAACATGCTTATAGTCGCGGAGAATGAGCACTGGTGTGTTTTGAATAAGACAGTGCGTTGGGTCGTAAATCAACAAGGCGATGGTAGTTTTAAGAGCAACATTCATACTCAGACAACATCTTCATCCTGAATTCAATTGTCATTCTTTTGCTTACTTTTCTTCCTGTTTGAAAAGATAAAGATGCAGTAAAGTTCTACTTTGGTCTTTCTACCGGTTGTTCCTTTTTTTTACTTCTCCCTTGTTGAAATAGAACAGCAAGCCGAAGAAAAGGATATTGTTGCGACCCAATAGTACGCTATTGAGGTACCTGCTCTAATTGTCCAATTCGTGACAGTGATGACGACGATGCAGCCGCTGGAGAGAGCGCGTCGTCGTCCTCGTCAGGTTTCAGCAAGTCTCCTAGCGTCCACGACTGGGTGCGATGCCGATACGGAAGAACATACCCCATTTGCGCTCAGGCAGAGTCGTCTTACGGCATTTTGCACCGCTTAGACCTCGAAACGAGTGGCGCGCTTCTCTGCGCAAAGACTTGGCTAGGCTATTACCAGCTCCGCCTTCAGTGGTCCGCCTCAAGAGTGCAGAAGGAATACCTCCTTCTCTGTCACGGGCATGTGCCGCGGACGGTGACTGAGTGCCGCGGTCGGATCAAGGTGACGAAGCGCATCGTTTAAGGTCTCCGGCTTTTAGATTCAGTAGATTTAGTCTCTGTCCCTGCATTTGATGGACCACTCTATGCTAACACCTGCTATGCTGTCCGTTGAGTCAGGATTTGATGCCACTTTTACAGCAATCAGCGGTAAGATTTTTATGTAGGCAAAAGTAATCTGACTTTTGATTATACTTGATAGTATATCGGTCGGTCTTATTGCTCTTCTATTTAGAAGGTACAACATGACTGAATGACCTCACATCCACTTGGCCACGTGGTAAACGAGGGCACATGACATGACATCTAAGCTGTGAATGGAAAAAAGACGTGTGTTGCCGCTTTGGCACCAACAGGAAAGCCGGCTAAAACCGGAGTCCATGTGCTCGCTCACCTCCTCTTGCCACCGCCGGGGACAGTAGCGGCACAGCCATTGCCTCGAAGTCGGTCGAGAACACTATGTGAGAGAACAGCATCTTCTTCGAGCGGCGATGTTGAGGGCCTTGGCCTTGCAGATGGGCAGCTTTCACCCCCAGGAGACCTGGAAGAGCAGGAGCCTACACAAATTTTTACGCGGTCAGTGCTCGACCCGTTGTCCGGGCGACGGGTCGTGATTTCTGAAAAGTATTGTCCAGGCGCGTACAACGGGGTTGAGGTGGAGGGACACAACTTGCCTGTTACTTTAGTTCGTTGCAGGCTTTTTACCGGCCGCACACATCAATTGCGTGTACATTTTGCGCAGGAGTTGGGGCATCCCATCTTTGGCGACAAGAAGTATGATCGCAATGCGGAGAGGCGACAGCTGGACGCGCAATACTTCCGAGACGTCCTGGCTTCTGACGAACAACAACATCAAGAAGAGGAACATGCGACAACTTCCGCATCTTGTAGTTCAAAATCAGGAGAATGGGTAGGAGCGCACAATCATGATGATCAAAACGAAGTAGAAGATGCTCGTACAATTACAAGTAGATCAAGTAGAAGATCATCAGGAGATAAGATGAAACAGTCGCAAGAGCAAAGGATCGCCGAAGATGCATGCCGACGACATGTGCAGAAGTTTGGGCGGCTGTTCTTGCACACGCACAGGCTGGAATTCGATGCCATCGGGTCCGAGGACCGACGGGAGCGGGTCTTTGTGCCGCTCTCGGAAGAACTGCGCACCCTTCTCAGCGCAACACGTCCGGTTGACGCTCAGAGCTCCTCAGCGCTGACGGAGTGGCTCGCCTGATAGATACCAGCTTTGATACAAGGTTCTGGATTATATAATTTGTTGATGCACGACTTCCAGTGCCAACATAATGGCCATTGTTCCTTGTCTCGTTTCCTTTTGACACAGCGCATGATCGCACACACATCTAACGAGTGACGCATTTATTTTGATGGTAATCAATCGTGGGAAAGGTAGAACAATCCCAGGTGATATATAGCTAACAGAATTTCCTACTGATTGACTTGCTCGAAGGCACCCGATGAAGGTACCAAGGATGGATTGATGAAGATCGAGCACACCCTTTGCTCACCGCTCTTCGTGAACGAACAACAATAATCTTAAATTCTTGGGCTTGAATTTTTTGAAAGAACGACGATAGTCAAAGATCATGGTGGAGCAGACTCTCTCATAGATACATGCACATGGCAGCGTCTGTAATAAACGAATATTCTTAGATTTGTATTAAACATTTTCTTGCTTGTTCCTCTCACAACGACGAGGTAGACGTTCGCAGAGATACGTCAAAATATAGAAGTAGACAACAGTTTTGCTTGGTGACTACACGACCAACTGCAAGAATGATTCCGCTTCCTCCCGCACGAAACTCGCAGCCTTCCTCAGGCGGGCGCGTTCAGGGGACTTCCATGAACGCAACGGGAGAACCCAGCGCTAATCAGGATAGTAAAAATGCACAAGAAAAAGTGGCAGTGCCAGGTGGAGCTGCAACTCTTTCGTCACAAGACCTGCAGCCGTCCCCTACCGTGAATCATTATCTTCAGAACTACAATTACCTCTTTGGAACAGTCACTGGGTTTCCGGGTCCTTCGGGGTTGAACTTGAACATTTCGAGGTCTGCAAATAATCCAGCAAATTAAGGGGGCTCAACGAACATAATTCATTTGCGAGGGTCATTTCCCTCGGTCTCCTTCTTGGGAATCAGTTTGAAGAAATGAACCGGAGAAGTGAAGTGTTTATTTGAGCTCTAAGCAAATCTTTCATCGAATACTACATTGAACAACTCCGTGGATCATGCAAGAAAAACTTCTAGTAGTACCACCACGTCGACTGGTCTGGCATTGAATCTAGACCAGGCGTGTCTGAATGTTCTGAATCAGCAGTTGATGCAGCAACAACTGGTGGGATCTTCTTCAGCATCTAATATCACTCCACCGAACTACATTGCTAACATCGCAAACATGAACGGCACAATCAACATGAGTCAACAAAGAACTTCTAGTTGTACTTCTTCTCTCATCAGCTACAGCACAAATGATAAGCAACTTGTTCTTCCGGGCGGCGGTCTTCAACAACTTGGGCGTCCTCAACAACAAGGGGGTCTAAGCTCGACATCTCTAGACGAACTTCTTCGTGTCCACGATCCAATTGGGCCCTTGGATTCCAGAGGGACGATGAAGATTTCTAACGTTAGTAACCGTGAAGTTGAGGACATTGCCACCAACAAGATTGTCGCCGGCGACGAGATTGTCTCTCAGCAAACTACTAGTAGAAAGAGTAAACCAGGAAGAGGACGGAAAAATTGTCGAGGAGAAAACGGGGGCGGTGGAGACCAAAATTCAAATTCTGGTTCTGCTGTAGCAGGATCGTCCGGATCCTCCTCTACTACCCATGTTTTTTTTAGTAATCAGCAGCGTCAACAACAACATCCTCGAGGAGAACATCATCATCATCAGCAAGGTTCTTTGGAGCACCCGTATCGACAAGGAAGCGACTCCCTTTCGTGGCGCTCCTCTGGTCCATCGCGCGATGAGATGGTCAACAGAGGGTCGCATAATCTGCGCCAAACTCGCGAAAATAGTGATTCGTGCATGCTTGATGATAGGGATAGCCGTGGTCGATTTGATAGGCACGTCAACACAGTTGAACTTGAAGCTCGGACGACTACGTACAGGAAGTCGAGGAAGATGGTTAACAAGATGGCGGACAATACTAGAAATCATATTGCACGAGAAGGTGAAGAAAGTTCTAGTAGTTCATCTACTTCTTATCTGCAGCAAGACATGAGCCGAGGAGGTGGAAAAAACTCGCAAGGGAAAAGCTCGCAAACTGCATCTGGACCAGTCTCCCATCATTTATTTCCACCCGGTGAAACGAATACTAAAGGAAGCAGGACGAGCAACTATGGTTCTGCAGTTGAGTTTCAGTACAACGGGAGGATGCCCTCCGCAAAAGGCGGAAAATCTCTGCCGTTTTCTGACTCCATCTTGGAGGAAGAGGTTCCCGTAGGGGGGTGGACGAGCGCGGATTCGGGGTCTTCTGTCTCACAGCCGCGACATCAACGTCGAGCTGACGTTTCTGGTGCACCGGAGCCTGCTTATCATGATAAGGATACCTCCTTTATTCTTTGCGATAATTCGAGAAGAATACCGCGAGTAGGGTCCGCGTCCTCGTCGTCGGGGTCGTTCGGCTCCAACAGGTCTCTCCCTGTGGATGATGCCAGAAACGACGCAGCGGCGGAATACAGACTGCGGAGAATTACTGATTTTGCGGCGAAACGGATCGAAAGAGAGGCTTATGAAAAAAAGAACAAGGAGGACCAGGACCAGCAAAGTTCAACATCGTCGACCGAAAGGCTTCAGTGGAATCGTCCTGCCTCATCGTCTATTCAGCATGAGAGGAATAATCTAGTCCAGCAGGAGACGAGAAATTTCTTCAGGAGCGGCAGGAGTTCTGCACTGCCCGACGCAAAAATCACCTCAAAAGAACTTTTGAGCACGTCTTCATCTGTGATCGCGTCAAAAGAACTACTTCTGGGCACGAAGAGAAGCGTAATAAATGGGACGCCTGAAGAGCACCCGGGTTTGGATGATCTGCGCACGGAAGACTTCGATGCATTTGATGCTACTGCGGCAATTTCGTGGCATCGTGAAAATTTCCGTAAATTCGCAGAGCTGGCTTCCTATGCTGGAAGTAGTGCTTTGGCGTCCTCTCAACTACATAGAAGTCCTGGAGGTCCGCCAACAATCAAAGATGAAGCAAGAATACTGGTGGACCGCGACTGCCGACGCCCAAAAAGCGAGGATGTCATGAGCAGCATTCAGCGCTCGCTACAGAACCTCCCACGCCACCGAGTTGTTCACTAACATTTAAGCTTCAGGGAATACATCTTCAGTATCATCCTGAAATTTTTCGCCAACGAATATTTACACACCTATTCTTACAAAGTATCACCCCGCACGAGTATACAGACGTGACGATGGATTCGAACCAGTGAGCAGCAGCGTGTTGGTGCACATGCATGGCAATGTTTGATATCTTGAGTAAGGGCACCATGGCAAGTAAAAGGCATTGGCACTGTAGTCAGCTGCGACATCCAACTTGGGCTTCAGCCAACAGAGGCGGATGAATCCACCAGAGGAGCACTGAGAGTTATCCCATAGTAAAGAGACTTACTTTGTTAGAAAATGATGTTCTTCTCTGCAGCTAATACATATGAACATACTATGATTCCTCGTCGTCGAAGAGAGAACTATTCATGATAGAATTTTTTCGCTGTGCACGAGAATTTAACCTTTTTTGCGCCGACCACTAGTATTGTTGGGTTACGTATTGGATACATGTGCATCGACGCCAGTTTCAAAATTCGTCTGTCCAAGTACTGCATCTTGACTTGTTGTGGAGTATTATTATCTCTGTACTGCTGCAGGCTATCCCAACAACGCAAGACAGGCTATAACTTCAACTCAAACTTCTACCTCTAGCTCTACAACCTAGTACAACATATCTGTCGTGGGAAGATCTTGATTTTTTTATCAAGTAAATCCTCAAGCGTGAAGATGAAGATTCATTGAATGATAGAGGCAAGTACAACAATTGACCAGATTTATTAAAAACAGTTTCGCAATACAAACGGCCACAGATGAAAGAACAGCCCTTGATGACCGACGTTAGAGGATGCGGACGATGCAGAGCAGGAGTTGAATTGAGTTCACGTTGATGAGTGTTCTGTCTGCGTTTCAACAAAGATCTCCAACTAACAATGAATATGAATTGGTCACGCTGAGTGACGACAGTAAAGGAGTTCTTACTATGGAAAAACATACGTGGGGTCTGCATGGCAATGTTGACATGACAAACGCCAGTAGTGTATTTGAAAGATGATCCTCGTCCTGTTGGGAATCAGATTTTTAAGTATTCGTTCCATCTATCTTGTTCATGGGCAAGTGAAGAATCTATTTCTTTCAAAACAAGGCGCAAAAAGAAAAATAAGAGCGACGTTATTTTCTTAAATTTGTTTCCTAATATTAAAATATAGTCTTCAGCCTCTTTTGTTTGTTTGAAATGCTCTCTTACGTTTTTATGGTCCCTGGGCGCGCCCCTTTGCCTCGCATGATTTTAAAATCGAGATATTGATATTCGCGTTATTCCCATAGAAGGATCAAACAAAGTTGGTTTCATTCATAATTACTTACATCGACTCAGTTAGGACATTCGACTATAGATCAGGATGACCCTCCCAACCGACGGCTTTCGCTCAGATGAGCCAGCATGGAAGGTCGTCGACCTTCCCGGTAGCAAGTGCAAAGGTGTCGTCGCGACGCGCAATCTGAAACGCGGAGAGCTTATTCTTGAGGAAGAGCCTTTGCCGCTTCGTTTATCGGCGCAAGGCCTGGATGACGAAAGTGATTATAGAAGTGAATCCAGCGACGAGGAGGTGGAGGATGATGATGCCAGTTGTAGTTGGGGAACGCCATCTACGACCTGCGAGGATGATGCAGGAGCTGTCGATCACGCTGAAGTAGAAAACGATCAGCAAGAACTTGAAAATGTTGACCGCAAGGGCTACCTTTACCACGACCAGGAGAATGACGTGGTAGTAAATAAAGACAAGTTCAGCTTCGGGAGGAGCGTTGTTGTCCAGGCTGTTGAGCAGGACGAGCTGTTCGTCTGTCCTGCGCGTGCTTTGGCTCGTTTAGCAAGAGTGTTTCCGCTAGATGAGAGCTGTGCGGGAGGTCCAGCGGTGCTACAGTCCATGCTGCGAGAACGCCTGGCGCGCAGTCGGATGCGAGAGCTTGAGAAGAAACTCGGACTCTCATCACTCGGCAGCACAACTACTTCAGCCACTACGAGTACGAGTTCGGTCGACAATTATACATCGTCGTCGAAAAATCCGCCACGACCGCCCTTGACAAGGGAAGCATTTGCGCAATTGCACGATGCCTTTGAGACGGTGACGAAATGTAAAACCGCACTTGGAATTTGGCAAACGAATGCGTTGTCAATACCGTCTTCCAATAGGCCTGGAGAGAGTGATTTATTGCCTGCTGTAATATGTCCCAGAGTGGCACGCTTGAACCACAGCTGCACGCCTAATGTCTTACACTGCTTCGTCGACCGCGATGGAAATGATAGTAAAGCACTAGGACCAGCATCAGGTAGAAGATGTACAACAAGGACGACCTCCTCATCCTCTGGAGGAGTGATGCGCGTTGTGGCTGCCAGAGACATCCTCGTTGGGGAGGAGTTATGTACGAGTTATTGCGATGTGACTGACGATCGCGAGGGTCGCCAGGAATTTCTTCACAAGTTCTATCGTTTTGAGTGCACCTGTGTGGCGTGTTCTAGGCCGCAGAACCGGGATGCGGCTGGTAGTCTTAGAAGGAGTGAAGATGAAATTGAAAGTTGTGACGAAGGACGAGACCACGATGTTGAAGGGATGAGAGATCATTGTCTTGAATCAGACGAACGGAGAGCGCATGCAGGAGAGGTTTTGGATGCAGCAGCTGAGTTTGAAGATTCATTGTCATCAACAATTTGTGCGCAGAAGATTTCAACAAAAGACATACAGCTAGCCTTGCGCGCCTTGGAAGCGGAGCGCCTGCTCTGCCCCATGTTGGAGTTTAGGCTGTGCGCGTACGCCTTCCGTACTCAAAAATGCACATCGAAGCGGAGCGAGGCAAGTACAAGACACAAAACGACAAAAATAGACTGGGGCACGAGGGCTCTTTCTGCTCTTATATTGGCCGAAGGCTCCGATAGCTTACGAGCGCAGAACTGGCAGCGATTGCTTGTGGAAAAGCCTGTGCGGCGAAAATGAAAGTACATCAGGACCTCAACAATTTTATTTTTGTATTGCCCTCTTCCCTTGTATGCCTCCCTTCCTTCCGTTTCCTGTTCTGACCGTGTCTTCGTTTCCGAATTCTACTAGTGAGCATGCACCCATGTGTAGTAGTTTTCATGCCTGGATTCGTTGACAGCGAGCACCGTTTCTAACAATTCATGTTACGGACCGCATGGGCTGAAGGTCAGTCGTTGGCGCCTTGTTTGTGTTGTTTCTTGTTTGTTGGGTTGTTCGTCGTGGCCTTGTGCCCGTTTCCTTTCTCTCCAATCAAATCATGGCTAGGAAGGGTTAGTGGGTACTTGATTGTTTATGCTTGACTTGATCATCTAGTACAGAATGGAGTAGCGGCTGCGTCTGCAGTAAACAACTCAATATTTTTGTATTTCTACTAACTTGCCCACACGACCAAGTTATCATAGACCTCAATATCTTCAAGCACACTGTAGTTGGTGTGTTGTTAGCTTGTTCGTTACATCCGTGATTGACGACGAGGGTGTGTCTTCTATTCCCTCAGATTGCGTCTGATGTACTTTCCTTGAAAAAAATCAAAAATGACCCGTATCGAGAGAGGAGAACATCTGTTTCCTAGAGCCTTAGGATTTGATCTGGTCTTGCAAAAGGCAAAGTCTATTGGTCACTATCTCCTGAAGCTATCTGTGCACCACTAGAATCAGTATGGGAATGGTGATGGTAAATTTTTAGAAGACAAAGTAGAGAGATTTAGTTGCGCGACGCTTTTCTGTACTCGAGCGTGGGTTCCATCTGTGTCCGTAGTGTAGCGGTACGTCTGTTATTGATGAGCATGAGGTTGCTAGTTCTGTTGAGCTTGAGTGTAGTGGTCCGAAAACCATGTACGATAATGATTCTCGAGAGATTGCCTGCTGTCAATTGTTGTCATCTGGTCGAAGTTTAAATTTTGGATGCATTGATGTCGTTTGAGATCCTCTTTCGACGAACAGACTCTTTATTCCTCTCATTGCTCTCGGTCTCGTTTCCGGATTTTCACTTTGAGTGTTGCTACTTCTTTCATCTTCATTATTCCATTATGATGCAGAAAAGTTTGTTTTTGTGGTGATCAACTCATCTCGTACTTTTCTCTAGTTGTGTTTGTGAGGAGTTGTTGGATAAAAAAATTGTTTTTCTTGAAAGAGCTTTTCATCTTTTATTGGCTTTGTCGCGATGGTTTTAGAGGAGGCAACGGGTAACCCTATTCCTGCACCCGACTTGATCGTTGCTGAGGCAGTCGACAACGACGGGGTCGACGCTCTTGAACGAATTACGGGTGAACCTCAGCGTTCCACTGCTGCGGTTGACACCATACCTCGTGCTGCTCGCCGTGTTCCCACCGCAGAACCGGAAGCGTCGGCGTTTGAGCAGTCTGGAGCCACTGCGGTGCAACAGGAAGATATATCTGGAAGCCCGTCACCGCTTCAGTACGTGCACGTGGGTCGCCCGATCGGCCTCGCCGCCGCGAACAACACCTCTTTCGCGAGCACTACTGCAAGCACCACCATGGCCGGAAATAACGGGAATTCTGGAGCTGGAACAGGAAACTTTTTCCTGGACCGAGAGTTCAACATTCTGGGCGCGCTGGACGTCCACACGACGAAGCGTGAATACCATCGCTTCAGCCGAGCAAGCCGCATGGAAGGGGCACTCGCGCCTATGGTGCAAACGATCTCGACGCCGCGGGGCCGCAGCCGCAGTCCGCGGAGCCCGCACACGCCGCGATTGCATATGGATGGCTATCGACTCAGTGTGCCTGGGAGCCTGGATCCTCGAGACGCGGAGTCCTCGACGCTCTTCCACTTGCCGGTCGAGCCGGGGCAAGAGTATCAGCCGGCCGCAGGCAACTGGGCGCTCGATATGCCGATCTTGCTTCCCAAGACCACCCCCCGCTCGTCGCGGTCTCAACCACCACCGGACTTCCGGAACGGCAACAACGGTGGAGCTGCTCCAAACAAATTCCAGCAAGACGTGGAAGTCGAATACACGAAGATTATGATGGGGATGCAACAGAAAAAGGGAGCGTCTCCCGCAGCTGTGGGCGGATTGTGCTCCGAGCGGGGCATGTGGCAGCCGTACTACAACCCCACGATTTCGTTTCCGGAACCGCCAACCTCCTTTCAGGATATGTGGCATCAAACTCGCAACGCGGGTGCCGGACCCACTGCTGGCAGCAGCACGGTCTCCAGCGTGACAACTGCGAGTATGGCTCGCACTACCCCTGGCATGCCGCCGTTGTCGTCTCCGGGCCGTTCTGGTGCACAAGTGATCTACCGACAGCCCGTGCCTTTGCCGGCCACGTCGCTGGAAGCGGCGCCCGTAATCATGCCAGCAATGGCTCCAGCGGCGGGTGCTGGGACCACCACTGGCATTGAGATGGGCCGCATGGCGCGTGGGTACCAACCACCGTCTGTTCCGGGTGTCCCGAGTGCAGCTGCGCAGAAGTATACTGGTATGAGCTCGCCGCTGCCGCCGCCTGCTCCGACCTCCGGTACGCGCGCACTTCCAGGCCTAAGCGAAGTTGGCGCGTCCTCCATCCTGAAAAACAACAAAATGGCTGAACCTCTGTTGACTCGCCTAGGACCACCACCGGATCCGAAGGCTGCTCCACAGGTACAGCGCAGATAATGATCTATCGTTTGAGAAAGTAATGATCCAATATGATTTTCATTCCGGCATTCCCGTCCTTGATGATGAAAGAGGATACAACTTGTCTTCGTCCTAGTACGATCAAAAATTTATAAGTAAGTAACTACTTGGTTGACTTTTTCGTGTTTACAATGGATTTTTCAGGCGCCCGTCGAGCACTCATTTGTTCCGTCCTCTGGTGAGGGAGAGCATCCTGAGGAGCACAAGAAAAAGAAGAAAGAGAAAATGCACGCCGTTCCCAAGGGGCGCGGCGGCGCTCTCGGCGCTTTGATGATGGCAGCAGCTGCAATCAAAGACCAAGTTGGCTCTGACGAGGAAAGCGACGAAGGAGGAGGAAAGAACTTCTTCACGACAATGGGAGGTACCTCAATTTTGCTTCTAGTTTACATCAGATTACAGACTGAAACTGATGTTTCTCTTCTAATTGGTCATTTCCTTAAAAGCTAAAACTTAGTAAGGTAGGGGGTGATCAAAACGATGTTGAAAGCTAAACTCCAAGCTCACCTTCGCAAAAAAATAAAAACCTATCAGAAATAGAACTTCCTGTGTGGGTTTCGGTGCCGCTGAATTACATCATCTTCCCGATTATCGATTTGATCTTGTTTCTCTGGTTTGGAATCCTGTGGCCGATCATCAAGTGCGCGATTATTGCGCCTTGCTTTGTCCTTTTCAAAGTGTTGAATTTCATCATGGGGGGATCCCTCGATCTCGCGTACTGTATCTACGGTATAGCGCTTGCCTTCTTCGGTGGCGAGTACCACACCGCGACGGCCGCTATCGCCGCGTTTAAAATGGCGGGCGGCGATGACATCTTCGACTCCATAGGCAAGATCAAAGATAACATCGACGAATTGCAGTCGAAAAGCGCTGAGCACGACGCGGTAGACGCGGATGGCGATGGCGTTGCAGACGTTCTCGAGGAATCCAACCGCCAGTACGTGGCCAAGAAGTTCTACATTCTATTTGAAGCGATGGACCCCTGGGTGTTCACCGAGGCCATCATGAACACGTACTGGGGGATTCTCGGTACTTGCTTGTAATCGTTTGCACTTTTTCATTGGGCTGATCTTTACCGATTTTAATGTATTGTGCGGGGATGAAACAACAACATTCAACACAAAGAAGCTGAACAAAAGCGTTATCGCTGTATTTTCTTAGAAGCGACGACATACTTGTACTCTTGAATTTCAATATCCTCTGTATCTGTAACCACAGGTGTCCTTCTGACGGTAAAATGCGATGTTGCTGCGTACACCGCATTGGGCGTGTCCATGTCAACATTGATGGGGAAGATTGCTGCTTACGCATTGACGCCCTATGTGCTGAAGATGGTCAGCAAAGGAATGAGGTACTTACATTTCTACAACCCGACCATCATTTTTGTTCTTTCATTCTAGGGGGTCGAATGGGAAATCTAATTCTTAAATCACAGTTTGTTTTTTTTTTGAATAAATACAAAATATGATGTTGACCTTGATCGAGACTGGCCACCTCCTTCCCCCTATGATGAGGCATTCACTACACTATCAGGCGTTGGGTACATACTTTCGTGAAGTTTGCGACGGTTGCTATCTGTCTGGGAACGGCTTTCTGCTTCCAGGACACGACCTACAAACTGCAGTCATCCTTGAACGGAGGCGTCATTTTCGCTGAGAGCGCTTTAATCTACTGGCATAGAAACATTAGGAAAGGCGAGGACGAGTTCGATTTGGACACGACCATGGTGGACGAGTACATCGGTTGGAGTCTGGCGGTGGTAGGGGCATTCTACCAGTTCTCGCCGCTGCCGAGTCATATTCCACCACCTTACAACTTGTTGCTGCTGCCGTTGCTCCTGGTCACCGAACTCGTTAACTGGCTCGGCACGCTGTTGCTCAGTTAAATGCCCACAGTCTAACTGAAGTAACAATCATGCGACGAACGCAAAGTGGTCCACGTTAAGATTTAAATGAAAAGAGATGATAGAGATGGACGCACCACATAATCACGAAACTCGATTCCATAGTTGGTAGTTAGTAGTTCCGAATATGAAAGACTACAGTGACGTAGGATAAGAATTTTTAGCGTAGATGGAGATGATGATCAGCGCGTCTTCATGGAATCGGAGGAGCATGTGCATAGTCGATTGATAATTTCTTGAACTACATAGTCGAGTTCTACAAAGTATAATTTTTATTTGGAATGTTGGTTGTATTTGATGTTGATCGTTGTGATTGCGAATTAATATCTGACTTGTGTGTAACTTCGATTTCGTTTTCCTTCGGTTGCAAGCGTAAAAATATTGAAGCTTAGAGGCTGTTGAGAGTAAAAATTATGAAAATGAGGTCTTTATTACAAGAGATATTCGAATGATAACGTCGATGCGCCAAGGACTTTTTGGTTAGCAAATTATCTGCACCTCTTTTCCCGTACATTGTGAACACTACAGATGATGGTTCAACATTAGTCGAATGACATAGTTGTAATTCGTTGCTAATACAGATACACTGAAAAATTGAGTTCTTGATTGTTTAACAAATGAACAGATGATCTCCAAGCACCGGCATATTCATCTTTCTTCATGAATGCGTTTTTTAAGGCAAATATCATGAGTCCTTTTATATTCACATCATGAGCGAGAGCGACAGACAGCGTCCGGGAATAGATAGCGTCCGATCCATTGTGTTCTTCCTCTACTCTGAGAAAGTGAGAAAAGTGACAAGTTCCTTCGTAGCAGGGCGTTCCTCAAAACCCAAGATAGCGATGACACGAAATGTATGATCCAAATCCCAGCTTGTTGGTACTTGGAGGAGGATCTAAATGTAGACCTGAATGTAGGAAAGATCCATATGCGTACAACTGTTGTCTAGGATCCGCTACCCCTATTGATACAGGAACGCGACGCCTTCGTCCACCCATGTCCAACAAGTTCTCACCGTGAACTAAGATCTACTTCTTCCCGCTGACTGATCCACCTCGATCCCTGCATCACCTCTCTGAGGAATGCTAGAAGCGCATTACTTGTTCATGTCTCCACAAGCCCATGATCTTCTTTTTCTTTTCACAAAAATGCAACCAGTTTATTGTACAAGCTACCATCAAAAGTTGATAAAGTCATTTTTTTCTAATTTGTGATTGTGATATCAACGTACTGCAACGACATTGCAGATCAAAGCAAAGGCTTCTTTTCGAGGTTTTTTTCGTGGTTGTTGAATGATTTATTACCTAAGCGAAATCAATAAAGATGGGAAAAGCTCCAATGAAGAAATTCGGTGGCGGCAAGAAGGGCGGAAAAGGCCGAGGTAAGCGGGATCGCGACCGTGACCTTAATGTCTTGAATGAGGGCGTTGCTGCGAATGCGCCGAGCAAGAAGAACCACAATCCGAAGGACAATTTCAATTTTGCCGGCAGCCGAACGGTGCCGCTCACTGAGCGGGCGAGATTCCACGTTCGGTGTAAGCGTTTCTCTGGTCGCACCTCGGAGGAAGTAGGAGCGTTTTTGGAAAAAGCGTTCAGGGAACTTTTCCGACCTTCAGGTCCATCTTCTGAGACCACTCAAGATATGACAGCTAAAGCTAAGCCACCCGTTTTGGTTGACTTTTTCAAGTTGCGAGCTTGGGACTTCGGGTTTCTTACAGTGGCAAAAACCGACTGCGAAGCCGCTACGACTTTCCTCACGCGGGAGGACTTCGACAGAGTATTGCTGCGGGAATTCACGCTCGGCGTGACGGTGGAGGAGGAATGCCAGCATGGTAGTAGCGCAGCGTCGGACAAGAAGGAAGGCGAGGAGAATAAAGATAAGGAGACTCCTGGTCCTGGTGCAGCTGCCTCTTTCGAAGATGGCAAAACAACTGAAGCTAGCGCCACTTCCGCTCCAGCTGCGAGAGAACCGTTAGTCACTGTGAAGGAAGCTATTGAACGACCACCGCGAAGAGACGGGAAGGAGAAACAGTTTAGTGCCGCTCCAGACGCAGCAGAACAGGGTGGTGACAGATTTGGCTATAAAGCCGGCCACGTACCAACGTTAATGGAGCTGAAAGTAAAACTAGCGAACTGGTCCAGACAACGCGATATCCCGCTAGTGGATAAGGTACTACTGCTTATACTTGTCGATCTTGGCTTCCTGTTTGACAAGGACTAGCGGTTGTGGCGTTTGTGCTTTGAAGCCAAAATTTTTGTTTCTGATTTTTTGGAATGATTAGTTTGTACTTCTAAGTTGTAGTTCGTTGCCAGAAATCCATATCCACCAGTTTTTTTAACGCAACATGGCAAATACAAACAGGTGACCCCGTTGTTTTCGCAGTGGGACTACGCTCAGCAGATGAAGATGAAGCTGACGTATACGCGCACAACCTGCAAGAACATCGTGAAGCGCATGAATACGTTCTGCAAGGACGAGGGTCTCCAGCTTCCGCAATGGTCGAATATTCACTGCTCAAATCACGGCGTCATCGTGGAACCTATCATAGCGTGTCCGAAGTATGTGCGCGACATCGGCTACCGCAACAAAGTGGAGTTCTCTTGTGGCCAGAAAGATCAGCCGGATGAAGAAGTAGAGGGTACTGCAGCAGCAAAGGCTGACGATGTTGAAAATTTCGAGGTGGGCTTTGTTCAACGTATGGATTACACGAACGAGCAGATCGTTGGCTGTCCACAAAATCTGCCTCACGTTTCTGCATGCGCGAAGCAAGTGGCAATGGCGATGAAGAGAGTCATACGCAGGTCTGGTCTGCCCGTGTATAAGCGTAGTCGGGGAGAGCGCGCTGGCTTCTGGCGGCTTGTTATGTGCCGCACCGTTGACACTAAGGACGTCGGTCCCGCGCAAGAATCTTCGACGTCCTCTGTAGGAGCTACCTCGACGTCTTCGACAGGAGTCGTAGCTGCAGGACAACAAGACTTGTTTTTTCGTGGACGCGCCATGCCTAAAGAAGTGGTTTCGAAGACGTCTGATGAGTCGGGTCCAGCGGTCGTATCTTCCTTCACTTTCACCGACGAAAAGCATTTGTGTGCGCAGGACGAGGAAGACGCGAAGCGTTTGCTTAGCGAGGAGCATCAGGCTCACGGAACCTTGCCACCAGAAGAACACAAGATTCTGTTGGTAATCCAAGTTACCTGCTGCCACGACCCGCAGTTGCTCGCTGGTTTGACTAATCTGGTGCGGGAGGAGTTCAAGGACTTGCGCCTGTGCAGCGTCTATTGGGCGTTAAACGACGGTATGTCCGATGCGTTCGACTTCAACGCACCCTTGTTCAAGTTGCTGGATAAAAACGATGAACAAAAAGACGAAGCAGCTAAAAAGCTTTTATTTGATCAGGCATACTGCCTTGAGGAGAATGAGAAGGAGCGCAACTGCAGCGTGCGTCCCGGACTCGAGGGCAATGATGAAAAAACTTTCGTCAAGCGATTCCAGGAGGTGAGAAGCCATCTGTTGGAGACGCAGACGGAGGATGCAGCAGTCTCGGAGATCAGTGCTGTCTTGAAGCGAGAGCGCACTCATACGGATGCACAAAATAGTGTCGAGTTTGTGCGTGGGTTGCGTGGAAATAAGTGGTTTGGACCCGGGACGTTGCTTTCTTCAACTTCGGTGGATGAGTCGCCCGCTGGCTCTGAAGACGATCAAGACGAAGAGAATGCTTCTGACGGTGAAGAGGAAGAGTGTAGTCCAACCGCGGTGTCTTCGACCGCAGGTGGAACCTTTGATGCTGACCAAATGGTTGTGGACACGGAAGAGAGGACGGCGACCGGCAATTTGATGCGTCGCCGCACGAAGAACGAGAAGAAAAAACGCAAGAACGTGAATGTGAACCCTGAGCAAACCATGTACCACGCCTTTGGGGACGAGGCTTTAGAGATGCCGCTTTGCGGCCTAAACTTTACGGTTGGGCCCAGTAGCTTCTTTCAGACCAACTCTGCAGTCACCGAGAAGCTTTACAATAAGGCGCTGGAGTGGGCTGGAGTTGGCGTTTATGGAAGCAGCAAAACTGAAACTGTTACAACTACATCAAATCAAGAAAGTCAAAGCGGCGAGAACGACGCAATAACTAGTTCTACAACTTCTCCCGCTTCTGAGCAGGCAACCGCACCAGTCGTTTCAGTTGCTGGTGTCGATCTGAAGCAAGACGAATTGAAGAACAAGGAGACAATGAAGAAGCCGAACTTGATCCTGGATATTTGTAGTGGCGTTGGTACCATCGGCTGCATTGCTGCAAAGCGTGATCCAGCAAGTCTCGTCATCGGTGTCGAGCTGATTCCTGAGGCCGTGGCCGCAGCCAATGCCAATGCTTCCGCAAACAAGCTAGACAACTGCGTTTTTCTCTGCGGTAAAGCCGAAGAAGTACTGCCGGGGCTCTTTTCGTACTTGCATGAGCGCGCTAAGAACACGAAAGAGTCTAAAGATAAACTTGTGAACGAGCCGCGGTTTGCCAGGATCCATGAGCAGGTGGACACAGTTCTCAACCGCGTGCAAACGCGCTTCGCGAAGTCATCTGGCGAGGCAGATGCTTCAAGTGTGGAGTTCACTGGTTTTGGAAGCACGACCGCCATTGTGGATCCACCGCGCATTGGCTTACACAAGGACGTGTCGATCGCTTTGGCTAGAAATTTGGGTATTGAACGCCTTGTCTACGTGAGCTGCAACCCTGACACTTTGTGCGATGACGTGATACGCCTCTGTGCGCCCCAGGGAGACGATCGCGTCTCAGGCCGCTTCGTGCCCTTCAAAGCAGTGCCAGTGGACATGTTTCCGCACACGGTGCACTTGGAAATGGTGTTGTATTTGGAGCGATACTGCCCGGCTCGCCATGACCATTTGTGGACCGGTGAGCCTGAATGGGTCTTGAAAATGAGAGCGCGACAAGAGACTGACCGCCGACCTCAAGAGGTGAAGGATTCTGAAGAGGCTGAAAAAACAGCGAAACGAAGAAAAGTGGATTCCTCGTCTAGCAAGCCTGAGGAAGGAAAGTCGGAGGAGCAATATTAGCTTCTCACAAGCTGCAAGCGCAAGACCGAACTAAGAGGGGTCATAGGATCACGGGTGCACAAGAACTACGGTTGTGGATCGAGCGGATGACAGAACGAGGAACAAGCTCATGAGTCGGCATTGGACGACCACAAATGCGCACTAAAAGCATCAGCATCACGATATCGACGTTGATGAATCACACTCATTCAATTTCAAGCGAGGAGGCGGTCTACTTGCATTTGAAAGTCATGAATCATTTTGTTCTTCAACATACCTGATTACAATGTTTTTCACACCTGTAATGGAATGTAGTTTACTCCCGTTTTCCCCACGCTGCAAATCCCCAAAGGTATGAACTATATCATTGAAAACTATTCGCAAAAATGATGGTTTTTCAAATTGCAAACGGTCGTAGCATACCAAACCTAATGCCTAGTGCAGCTGCACCCGCACGATCGGATGGTTACAAGGAACATCTAGTACATGGGGTAGTTGTTCGTAAAAGCGATACCATTCCTCCTCCAAATCCATGCGATGTGTCGTTTCTTGCAGGGGGCAGAGCCCCAAACTTCCGAGCGGTTGTTTTTTATGAAGAACAAACAGAGGTCCCAATGTATTACTGTTCCGCTGGGCGTTACGAAAACGAAAGTGGATCCGCATGAGAAAACAGAGATCACAATTACTGTTCCGATGATCGTCACGAAAGTGGATCCAACAACTCGCACTTAACATTATAACCAACTCTACTATAACGGATGCTTGAATTCATTCGCTCGGATTTGCCAATACCAAATGTCAATGGAAAGAGCGACTCGTTTTTGATCAGACAAGACTTGAACGGACTCGATCAGGTGCAGACACACTACCGGAAAGATCAGTAGGTCGAAATGAAGCACAAGCAAAAGAAAAAGACGTAGTTGAAGATGGATCCGCTGCATGATCTGATGAGTCACAATGTGTTAATGTTCTTATTAAATAGAGGTATTGAGTCTAGAAGATTTGCATTTTGAGTCCAGACATCCACAGACTGACTATTACCTTCAAGTTTGGACCGCCGGATTAACTCTACTTTAATACATGCAAACGCAAATGCACATGCTTTGACTTTTTCATAGCATTTACTTTTTCTTTTTTTCCAAGATTTAATTATAATCTGTTTTTTACTCCCGTCTTCTGCCTCAGCCTCCCTGATAGACCCAGATCTGGTCGTTTTGATGTATATGTGTAACTCCCTTGTAGTGTCTTCAAAGTGTACAATATAAATATATTGAATACAGATTTTATCGTTGCTAGATCATGTTGTATTGATTATTGTTTCCCTGTTTTTATGTGCTGCTGTCCAAAATATCTGTATCATTAAGTATCAATGAAAGTGCATAGAATTCTTCTAAAACGGTCATGAGCCCATAAGAAGTTATTTGCTTTTCTTGATAATTCTTTTATTTTCAATTTCTATGGGAATGGGAAAGTGTCACTTTTTATCGCGATAATCTATCAACAGTGTATTTACTAGAAGATGACGAATCAGGACGAAGTTCAAAATGGTGTCGCGTCACCTGAAGGTGCTGCACCAGTCGTGGCTCTAGACACGGTCGACGGCGCCGCCGAGGAGGAGGTTCAGGCGGTGCCGGGCACCCCAGAGAAGCCGAAATTTACGCCGCCTCCAGATGTGCCAAACCCAGAGACTGGCACCGCTGCGGAAAAGTGGCCAGAAGTGGAGGACGTGTCAAAGTCTTCAATTCCGCACAAGGATTATTCCCGAACGGAATGTCTTGACCCCTGTTCCCTGTGCTACGAAGCAAGGCTTGTCTCCGCGGATTTTACCTGCGGACACCAGTTCTGCTACAAATGCGCAGCGACGTGCAGCCACTACACCAAGGCGGGGATCTTGACCTGCCCTCTGTGCCGGAAGGAAGTCGTGGGCTACGCGGAGGATCGTGGGTTAGAAGCGTACGTGCGCTGTCCGGTGACGATCCCGGAAGACCGTAGCGTAACTGAGCTGGAGGAGGAGTTCATAGCGTTAGCAAGGATCGGCTGTGTGCACCGTGTGCGCCAGTGCATACGCCGCGGAGTGTCGCCGTCGTATGTCGATGACGACGGGAACCAGGCGATCTCCGTTGCCGTGGCGCTCGGCAGGTTGGAGTTGGTCCGCTACTTGGTGGCCGTCGGTGTGGACCCCAATTTGAAGCGGACGGACCTAAAGACTAAGATGCGGAACGTTCCGCTCCTGGTGAGCTGCCGCTTGCCGGCAGTGGCGACAGCGTTGCTAGAAGGAGGCGCGGACCCGAATGATTGGGCTCCTGTGCATCCCGATGGATATACCGACGTCTTCGACGCTTTTCAAGAAACTGACAAATATATGGCAACGGAAGAAGATGGTGATGAAAGTGATGCGGAAAAAGAAGACGCACAAACATCACCAAGACTGCCACGTGGATGCCGGCTCCTCCACTACTTTGCGTACACGCGTAACCTTCCCATGCTGCGCGTCCTCCTGAGCCACAAAAGGACAAACCCAAACGTCTGCACGGGACATGGGGGATACAACGCATTGCAGCTGGGACTCATGGCTTGTCGTAAATACGAGGATGAGAAGCACACCTGGATCGCTCTGATTAAAGCTTTTGCGGAGGGCGGGATAGACCTGAACTACGCTGGTGGGCACCTGAAGAACGCAATTGCGGCTCCTGATGCTCTTCGAAAGCACGCGGCAGAACTGTCTTTGCCTTTCAAGACACGAGAGCAGATGTTGGAAAAGCGTGGATCATCGTCGCAGGATGAAAGTCTGGCAAAAAGCGTGAGATTCACACTTGGCGGAGAGCATGGACTCCCTTTGACATCAGAGGAAAAAAGGGGCTTACCCTCAGATGCTGCGAGCAGTATAGCTTTTGGCGTCGCTGGAAGTGGTTCCACAAGCAATTCCGCGGCATCTCTGACGGGCCTAGCGGCTGTTCGCGGGGTGGATCGCATGGAGCAGGTGCTGGAGTATGCTGGCGCGCGGGGTCGGGCCGAGCACGCCTCTGCTGATGTAGGGCGGGGTAACGGTGCAAATAGTGGCTCTTCCTGGCCGGCTGGAACAGTGATGCAATTGTCTCTCGGTGGGACGGTTTTGCAGAGTCTAATCTTCTGGAACTCCTCGGATAAGTTGTTTGACGTCATCTGGCACTTGGTTTGCACAAATAACGTGAATGTCGATCAGCGTTCGAAGGTCACGGCAATGCGTATCATTCAGCCACTGGGCGACGACTTTTCGAAGGATACCTGTACACCCGCAGCCTTGGCCGAGGGTACTCCGTCCTACAACTGGAAAGAGATTTCTCGGGCGTCGGGCGCGGAGGTGTCGCATTTGCCCGGACCACGGCTCATGTATTTCGCTACCGCCACACATGTTGAACCATATCGTTTATTGCCTTGCGACCGACGCACCCTAAAGTTCTTGTTAGATCCCGAGGATCCGAAGAGGCGTCAGGGCAACATGCGCATCCTCCTTGATCTCAATTTCTCTTTCGACCCGATCACTGGAACCACGCCGCTTCTGGAGTTCTTGCGTTGCCAGGACAGCAGGAGCCGAACAGTGACTTCGCTGCGCAATATGGGAGCTTTTGGGACGAGTGGGTGCGGCGGCTGCCTGGAAAAATATTGTGAAGACGATTTCGAGGAGATCGTAGAGTTGATGCTGAATGCTGGAGCCAGTCCCAATACGGCGGCTGTGCTAAGCGCCCCCTCGCTTCACGCTGCGCGAACGTTGGCGCCTGTAACGCCCTTGCAGTACAGTGCGCGAATCGGTCGGGTGCGGTTGATCGAGATGTTGCTCGACGCCGGCGCGTCTTCCGGAGCTCGTCGCGCCCTGAACGATGCGATTGCTCGGTCGGTGCCTAATTGGGAAGTGAGTAGGCCCACGCGATTGAAGGACACCAGTGTATGCGGTCCCCTTCCCGGCCCTTCCGGTAATTCACCAGCAGCCTCGAACACGACTGGAGGGAACGCGGCAACAGCGCCGCGCCCAGGAAATGATCGGAACACGCAAGCGAGGGCTGCACCACGCAATCGAGGGCGTGCACCGCAGCAGCGGCAGCCGCAGCAGCAGCCATATCATCAACAACCCAGAGCCGGTCCTATGATGCACCCCCAAATGCATCAACAAATGATGGGTCCACCTGGTTATCCGAACTTTTATCCTGGCAATCCAATGATGTCGCCCCAGTACGGAGCCCCCATGATACAAGGGGGTGGGGGCATGTACATGAACCCAATGATGCAACCAACGCCTCCAGGATATTTCATGCCGCCACAGGGGCCTTTTCAGCAACCCTACAACTACCCGCAACAGTTTTTCAACCATCCACAAGCGATGATGCAGCCGCAGCAGTTTAATCAGCCGCAGGCAATTATGGGAGGTCCTCCTCACAATCGTAATACCATGCCGGTGAATGCCAGTGAGCCTGTTGTAGAATACTTGAATGATGACGCTAAGGAGGAGTCGGCAACATCAGAAAGCGAGGCTCGTACTGCTGCGCATGTGACGATGGAAATGGTACGGCTTCTTTGTCAACGGTTGAGGCTTGGTTCGAGCGGTGCCTTGAATAAACGAGAACCTCTCTTCCCATGTGACCCGCCACAAACGGCGCAAACAGCGCTTCACGCAGCAGCCTGGCGCTGTGCAGAAGGCCACTGCGCACCCGTCGGGCGGTACTTGATCCGGATGTGCGGGATGGATGTGAATGTGCTCGATTCAACCGGCATGATGCCACTCCATGTTGCGGCGGAGAGGGGCTCGCTGGAGGCCGCTCGGTTTTTGCTCAAAGAGGGTCGCTGTGTGGTCGACCAGCCGTGTCGAGGTCTCGGGGCGACTCCGCTCCTCTACGCTTGTTCGTTTCTGAAGAGTACCGAAGTCGTGGAGCTCCTGATTTCCCACGGTGCAGACGTGAAAAAGAAGTGTCCCTTTCCTTATATATTTGCGGTTGTGAGGATCTATTTGGAGCGGAAGTTGCGTTTGAAAAAGGAAGCGGTCCTCGAAAAACAGACCGTAAAAGAAAACAAATCTCTGTCTGCTACGTCACCTCAAGCTACAAGTGCTGCTTCAAGTAGTAATTCTTCACCCTCGACGTCCACGCAACACCAGCAGTCTTCTCCTGATGGAAGCACAACTGGCAGTGCATCACCATCAGCATCAGATACCACAACATCGGCAGCTTCGTCGCGAACGTTGAACAACGACGAGGACGGCGGAATAAATACCGAAGTTGTGGATGCGTCTACCTCGACCTCTTCAAGTAGCAATTCTTCGAACACGACCGAAGAACAGTCTCCCAAGAAGGAAGACGAAGGCGAGTCTGATCCTGTAGCAAAAGCAACGGCAGCTTTTCGAGAGGAGCTTAGAAAAGCATTTGCGGCGTGGCTCCTAGGACACGACTTTCCGAATATGGAAAAATATAGAGTTGACTGCCTGCAGAGCTGCCGTGTCGGCGATCGGTTATTGCGATCACTAAATCTGGAGGCGGCGCGGCATCTTGCCCTTGCCGGCGATTCCGAAAACGTGTCAGAGCGAGAACTAGAACTAGTTGAGAGCGCCCAAGACTATATGGTACGTCAGTCTTCGATAGAAGCCATGCTGCTGAAGCAGCCGCACTTCGCGTCGGCCTCGAAGACCACTGGCGCGGCCCCACCTCCTGCGGTGAATAAGAAGCCAATAAGCAAGCAATCTCAACAAGCTCAAAGCGAAAGCTTTTTCTGCTGTGTTACAGGGCGAGCTAGTAAGCCGGCGCCGCGGCCCGCGCAACCGCAACCAGCGGCGGTAGCGCCCGCGCCTCCACAAAACGAGCTCGTCGATATTATTCTGCGCGACGAAGACTGATACTGATCACATCTATGTTGAGTAATTTCACTCTGATTTAATACCATAGTATACACAGTATATTTCTTCGGTAAAAATCATGACCCTAGGTTGTAGCCACAATCTGAAAAACACTGACATCCAGTCGTGAAAGTTCAACGTAAAAGAATGTGAAAAATTACAAAGTCGATGCACGCGTTGCGTGCGGCTCGATTACTTGTTCGTTACCAGCAACGAAGATTTCATCTTATATGAACCGTAATGATTCCTCCATGACCATGACCCCTTCAACTAGTACACCTTGGTGGAATTTTATGATTAGTACTTATCGGTTCACAATGTAACTTGCTAACAGTATACCTCTTCCCCTCTTCCCCTCTAGCGTGTGCGTTAATGATTAGCTCATCTTAAAGCAGGGCTTGAGAAGTTAAACAACCTAAGTACAATCTAAGTAATCAAATAATAACTATATGACTAGTGCCGTGTCTCTCCTCATGTCGCTTGCATCTTCTTTTGTAGCTGCTTACTATGCTCGTAAAGGTACAATAAGGCTACTTAGTAATAGCATTAAGTAAGTTGTAGTTGTAACTCGATAGTTTCTGTTGAGAACAGAATGGCATAACGTTATCGGATAGGAGTAAGGTTACGCTCTTCATCAAGAATTCACTTTATCCATATTTCTGAAGGAAGCTCAACTATGGCTAAGTACTTAAGCGGGGGATGGCCCTGCTGTAGATGAATAAGTTGCACAGGTCTAGTTGTAAACCAACGAAATGAAAGGTTAAGATATTATAATGGGTAGTTGTAAAAAATCATAATCATCATGTATCGTTTTTTAGTGTGGGATCCGCTTCTCTTACGGTCGCACCGATCGGACCATGGATACCAGCTAAGGCTGTGATAGTGATTATGTTCTACGAGCATGCACAACCACCATGCTTTGACGAATCCGACCAACCGATAAAACAAAAAGGGGAAGGGTGATGTTTCGTATTTGCTTTGAAGATGAAGTCAGCTGCTATCCGACTTGGTCCGTTGATGAAAAGCGACTTGTCTTCAACGTACCACTCACCGCATAAGTAATTTAGTAGAAGTAAAAGAGCAAGACTCAATAGAGTTACGACTTCCCATACAGATAGAACGAACTAAGTATTTTTTTTTCATATCAATCTATCTTCATCCATACATCATGAACCAAGAAACTCATCCTTTTTTTTCCAGAAGTTATCCGACCTTAGACATGCGAGAGCGAGGTAGCGTGTGCGTGTGCTTGTTTGTGGTGTTTCTGATAAACCGATGATAAGAAAATGTATGTAAAAGATGCAGATTCACTTTCTCCTCATGCAGACGTGGTGAGTAAGTAACAACATCGTAACAGCAGCTTACGCGTACGTATGGAGCACAACCACAAGCAACAAAGCACAAGACTGCTAACAATTTCTACCTTGAAGCGCTTTCTGTGGTGTTTCACTGGGTAGCCGTGTCCGTACAACATACGATACTTTCTTAGTAATTCCATGATCCTCGTACGGTGACTCTACCGAGTGATCTTCGTACGACAAATGACATGATCCGATCAAGAGTAAACGTGCACGATCCAGTTTCAGAAATAACAGCCTGATCAATAGCGGATCAGAGTTCAAAAGAGACAAAAGTTATACCTTTAGAAAGGATGAATGTAGAGAGGTCCACAGGAGAATGAAAAAAATGGATTTCTTTGTGAAAAATCAACCCAGTAAAGCACTACGATTTTCTTGGATCACTTTCTACGAAGATGATTCGTGGATCCATGTTCAACTTGCAGCGAAATCTATTCTTTCCGGATATTAAAGTACACATGCTCATGGTGCACTCAAGTCGAAGAAAACAAGGAAGAATGATTTCATGTGACTCGAAAATCAAATAACCCGCAGTTTTGGCCACAGAGAGAGATTTTACGCACGCAGTAGTTAGAATAGTCAGGATTTAGAGTTAATCAGTATCAGGCAGCGTTTTTACCCAGTACTTCAACTAGGGAGCCAGTTGTAGTTGACGTAACAGTTGTAACAAACACGCGTAGCCAGTTTTTAGACAACAACTTTGTTAGCATTTTCTATTTGAAAAGAGCGGCGTCGCAAGCGTTGCAGCTAGTTAGTAGTACGACCACGTATTAACTTTCGATTATAGCTACGAAACAAGGCCCCTTTCGTTGTACCCCTTCGAACGATCAGTACCCAGGGTCATTACACTTTTTATTCTCGCTTCCGTGTTGACTCATGATTGACTTTGATGCAACATAAAAGTTGTTTGTCCACTTGCCTATTGTAATACGCTAAGTACAAGAACGTAACAAGGTAACTGAGTAGTTTAAATTATTGTTATCTATGAACTAACTTCTTTAATATCGCCCGATCAACGCAGTAGTCGTATGTTCCTTTGACACTAGTCCACCTCTCAGAAAGTAGCAATGAACAGGAAAATAGAATTTCCACAGGACAAGAAGAAGAAGAAGATGAGTGAGGCTGAGGACGAAACTTCTTTGGATGAGCCCGAACACGACACATTGGGCTTTCCGCCTATGGAGATGAATGGGGATCCGACCTCCCCTAGCACAGCAGCCAGCACCCCAAGCGCGATTGCGACGTCTAGAAATAAGGTCAAGACGGGTGACGAGTATGAAGAGTTTGAAGATGCTGCGCATGTTCATGAGCGAAACGAAGATGCTCCATTTACTCATGATGTAGGGGCGTCAGGAGATGATCAAAAAGAAAGTGCAGCTCCTGATTCGGGTCTGAAGAAAAATGAAAACCAAGACACCGCGGAAGGTCAAGAATACCATGACGCAGAAGAAGCTTGTGATATTAAAGGACATGAAGGTGAAGAGAAAGATGAAACGATACGGAACTTTGAAATTGGAACCTCAGCCGAAAAATGGGTAGAAACTGAGGCGGCCACAGCATCGCACAGTGATTATGCGCGGAGTGCACGTTTGGACCCTTGCTGCCTGTGTTACGAAGCCAAACTGGTCTCAGCCGATTTTCTGTGCGGTCATCAATTCTGCATTGGCTGTGCCGCTAACTGCAGATTTCATACCAGCTCAAGCGGGCTCACTTGCCCTCTGTGCCGGAAGGAAGTAGTCGGCTGTGAAGAGGGCACTGGCCTGGAGGCTTACGCCCGCTGCCCCGTTGCGATTCCGGAGGAACTCTCAGTGAAGGAGCTAGAACAAGAGTTCGCGGCGCTGGCATGGACCGGGTGCGTTCACCGAGTGCGCCAGTGTGTGCGCCGTGGGGTCTCGCCTTCCTACGTCAAAGAAGACGATCATGGAAACCAGGCGATCTTTGTGGCCGCGGCAGCCGGAAGAGTGGAGCTAGTGCGCTACTTGTTGGCGGCTGGTGTAGATCCGAATGTGACGCGTGTTGTAACGAAAGCCGGCGTTCTGCGAGCTCCATTACTCGCCCATTGTCGTGCTCCTAAAGTCGTAGAAGTGTTACTTGATGCAGGTGCGGATCCGAACGCTTTCGCGCCGGTGCAGCCGCACCTGGACGCTAGTGTCGCGGACGAGTGGGAGGATGAAGAGGAGGATCTGGCGTGCTTTTCACACGCGGCAACGGAAGAGTTGCATGCGGGAAATAAAGAGTATGAGAATCCGCATTTGCCCCGCGGTTCCCGGCTGTTGCACTTCTTTGCGTACACGCGAAACTTAGCGGTACTGCGAGTGCTCCTGAAAGATACCAAAACGGATCCGAACCTCTGCTCGCACTATGGCTACAACGCACTGCAAGTGGGCCTCAAGGCGTGCCTGCGGCATAAAGCGAACGCGCAAACGTGGATCGAGATGATTGAGCTTTTCGCAGAGGCTGGCGTCGATCTAAATCATACGGACGGGCCTTTTCTCTCAACGTACGCAGCCAGCGACTCTTTCCGTAAGCAGGCTGAAGAGCTCTCTATGCCCTTTGCTGAGCGCGAAGCGGTGTTGCGACAGCGATCCTTGGAGGGGCAGAGAGAAGGCGAGTCCTCATCGTCGTCTTCATCAACCAGTGAACATGCATCATCTTCGAGCGACGTCTTCTTCAGCTTGCGCGGCACTTACGGCGTTGCGGACGCACATTTATCAGATGGTGAATCCCCCGTGAAAAACCCGGACCAGGAGGATGCTGACGTAAACGATAGCCAAGCCAAGAACAGATATTTAGGCGTGGCGGTTGGGGAGACGCAGAGAAAACAACTTTGGTCCGCGAGATTGGCGATGTTCCTTAGCGAGAGCAGTAGCATTGCCACGATGGATGCTGGAACAGTCTTTCCACCTGGGGTGGAAGGCTTCCATCCGTCATTGATGCGGCGAGAAAAGACCTCGTCACTGCTGGAAAAGTGTGACGCCTTGACCGGGGGGCCCGATACTCAGGGCTTGCCACCGGGCACCGTTGCCAGAGTGACCTTTGCATGCACAATCCTTCAAGCTCTGGTCATGTGGAACGTAGGGGATGAGTTACTTCCCGTGATCGAGCTCTTGTTGACGAAATACAAGGACCGCGTGCACGCGGACGCACGAGCAGCCGTTGTCTGGGTGTATATTCTGAAACTGAAGCGCAAGAGACCAGAAGTCCCGAGCGAGAAGGATGAGCTGCACCTGATCGACCGTGCGACGGGTGCCGAAGTGTCGCGCAACGTACCAGGTCCGCGACTCATGTTCTTCGCGACAACCAGCGGGCGCAATCCGCGCACGCTGCGTTATTTGCTAGATCCCTCCTACGATCGGCGTCTCGACGTTTCGCGTGACCCGCTTACGGGCAGGACGCCGCTTCTGGAGCTGTTGCGATTACAAGACTACCGCATAGAGGATATGCGAGAAGCGCGAGAGGCCCGAGGAGCCACATTCTTGTTCCTCACGCAGGAGCAGGATGAAAAAGAGTTTGAGGACATGGTCAAACTCATGCTGAAAGCGGGGGCGTGCCCTGACGAAGCGGGTTCTACTGCGAACGTGAACATCTCACAGCCAGTGACCCCTTTGCAGTTTTGTGCAAGAATCGGTCGAGCTAATCTTGTGCAGATCCTGCTGAATGCCGGCGCCTCATCCGGTGCTCGCTTGGCCGTAATCGAGGCGGTCTTGCGACGGGTGCCGGAGTGGCAGCTGCATCAGCCGAGCCGCTTGGTGCAACAGAAAAATACTAACAAAAGCGGTGTCCTGACAACATCATTGCAATCGAATGTGTCGGACAGTGTCGTCAACGCCTCCGGACAGCACTGTCAGATCTTGCCCAGTAGTCCGCAACCTCTCATCCTGCGGGATCAGATGGAATCCATCAACGTCCGGATGGTCGAAAGGCGCACAAGAGCACCGGACCGGAACGAGCTCGAGCAGCAGCTTGCTACCTCCACAACCAACTGCCGCACCGCGATCGAAGTGACGATGGATTTAGTGGAGCTCCTGTGTGAACGACTCGACTTTGCCAAAACCGGTGCGCTGAGCAGGTTGGAACTAGGATTCGGGGAAGATTCAGGCGTGGAGTCAGCGTTGCACGCAATTGCCGCACCCAGTGCCATAGAGCACTGCGAGGTTGCCGCGCGCTACCTCATCACGAATTGTGGTATGGACGTGAATCTGCGTGACTCTTACGGCAGAACGCCCCTACACGTTGCGGCGGAGACCGGAGCGCTGCGCGCCGCCGAGAATTTGTTGAGCCGAACCACGTGTCTCGTCGACGCCCGGTGTCATATGCGTCGCGCCACGCCCTTGCTCATTGCGTGCGCTACGAGATGCAGTCCCGCTATGGTGGAGCTGCTGCTACACAAAGGAGCGGATCCGCGCGCAAAGATGCCCTTCGTCTGGAACTGGCATGCCGTGAAAAGAGTCCTGACCTATGCGGCGATGGTGAAGCGCCAAGATCTTCTCGCCAGAGCTGAGAAAGAAGAAATGGACGAGGATGTGAAAGAGTGGCTGCTCGCGGATTGGACGGAGAAGACGAAGGCAGTGTACGACTTCGCAGCCAGACTTCATCCGACTGTACGCCGTATTCGCAAATTTTTAACAGAAGCTGGTCTTTCATGCGGAGACTCAGTCGATGACATTGAAAGAGGACGCCGCGGAAGTTTGCCCCTCGTCGATTGCCTGGAAAGCGCTCGTGTCGCTATTCGTATGCAGAACGCGGCTTTGTTGGAGCCGCTGAACAATGGGCACGCAAACGTGAATACACAGGACGAGGCGACGCAGTTTATCTGCGCTTACCGAGAAGCACTCGATGACGTGGAAGACGCCGTAAAATGCTTTTCGTTAGTAGAGTCTACCCTCCAGAGCCACCCACGCTTAGCTCCGCCCAAGCCACCAAAGCCGGAAACGAAAAACACGACGTCCTCAGGTGGCGGATTCTTTTGTTGCGCTTCGGGTAGGAGTAAACCAGCTCGCGCAGTGAAGGCACCCGCCCCGGCCGCACCACCTGAACCGAAGAACGAACTGGCTCAGCTGGTAAAGGCAATATAGAAAAATCAAGCGACACCAGGACCCTTCCTTGTCCTCCTCTTCATTTCAAAGCGTGCGCTCATACGAGTTGTGAAGAGAACATTTTAGAACAACAAGGTCACTCCCCAAGCAATGGAGTGGATGCGCCTTTCCTTGGGGTGTGAGCTAGTTGTGACTACAGCTTTTTCTTGGAAAGATCAAGACAAGAAACCGCACTTTCCTACCAGACCATATTACCCCTTTATTTCTTATCCTTCCAACCATAATTCATCGCACACACCTCGCTTGCGGTTGCGCCCGAAGTGGTTTGACATTTCGGAGCAGAGACATACCTGACCTTATTTCTGTACACGTACGCCTGAAACGATTGTGATCATTTTGGAAGGCTCAGATAGGATGACATGTGATGAAGAAGCGGCCCTCTATGCCAGCATACACCCCACACTATGTTTTTCGTGACTGCATTCACTCTACTAAGTGTTCTTCTGATGCTTGCGTTCACAAAAAAATCGGTCGTAGAGTTCCGCTTATGCCATAGTCACGAAGTGGAAAAGCTTCCCATCTGCTCTACAGTTCTAACTTTTCTGTTGGTTATTCATGAAGCAGATGATTATTATAAAATACAAGAAACCGGGGTCGCCCCTTGGGCGACCCCTCCTTGATAGCAGCACAGTCACAGGCACAGAGTAGAAACATAAGAGAAAGCAAAAAAAAAAGCGACTGAGGCACGGAGCGCCCGCCCCTTGGCCTTGGCGGCTGCCGTCGAGATGATGGAGAAGAACAAAGACCGAAGCAACCCACGGAACCCAGAAC